TGTGCCTCAGGCTCACGTCCGAACAATTTGGCGAGGCCGCCGGCACCGCCAGCGCCAGCAGCGTTTCCGCCTTTGCCCTTGTGGTGTGCTTCAGGCTCACGTCCAGACAGTCTGCCGCGGCCACCAGCTCCGGCAGCGTTGCCTCCCTTGCCCTTGTGGTGGGGAGAACGAGTGTGAAGATCAGCCCAGTGAGCGTCGTCTTCCTCTTGAGTCAACTCTTGAGCATCACGGCCGGACACTTTGCCGCGGCCACCAGCTCCGCCGGCGTTGCCTCCCTTGCCCTTATGGTGAGGAGAGCGAGTGTGAAGGTCAGCCCAATGAGCGTCGTCCTCTTCTTGGGTCAACTCTTGAGCATCACGGCCGAAGAGCTTGGCTAGACCACCAGCGCCTCCGGCACCACCAGCGGCGCCCGCTCCGCCTTTACCCTTATGGTGGCGAGCTTCAACTCCACGATCTGCGAGTGCAGCTACGAGGTTGGCCGCGTGCACAGGTCCGCTTCCCTGAAAGATTGTAAGTATAAATCATCCAAAGCAATATCAGCCAACTTACTGGCATGCGTGCTTTGACGGCATTATCGACGGCTTGCTTGTTGTTTGGCACAACGTAGGCTGAGGTTGAGGCACCCAGGGCCAAAAGAGTAAGTGCGGTAAATCTCATTATGAAGAAAGTTTAGATGAGTCTTGAATTGGATGAAAGAATGGATCTGCCAGCAGAGAAGAATAGATGAAACAGGTCTGAGCAGGTTGTGAGAAGGAATGAGCACGTTCAACGCTTGATGCCTTTTCTTCTGGAACTTCGAGATGCTTTATAACTGAAGTATGCTCCGGGGAAGCACAGCGGGTACATGCTTGCTCTCTCCTCCAGCTCCTGAGACATGTTGCATTGCTCACGGCACAGAAGCGGAGTTGACACCCCAGTAGGTTATCGAGTCTACCGCGATGTGACAGCAGTGGAAGGCGTTTGTACGGGAAGCCAAACACGGAAGGTCTTGACGGGCTTCCGTCTCCACCAACGACACCGCCAGCAGTGGACAAGGCCTGTCAGTGTTTGAAGAATACGGTCGTGTCCAAACCGAGCCGCCGCGCAACTGCGTCTAGCCTCAGGTTCCACGGCATTTTACCGATGATTCTTCTGGCTATTGGCAATGCGATCTGTATAGCTTGCTTTGACCAGATGATGATGGGGTTCTGGGGCTCGCATCTCATTGGATAGACTGTAACCGACGAGTTTACCCATGGAACTAGTGCCTCGAAGCCGCGGTTCGCCTCTAGCACAGGCAACTCTTTGACGTTATTTCCGTTGTTCTGTCATCATGCTGCTGGGACGTTTGTTCCATGTGCGTGTCATGTCAGTAAAGGAACCCCGTTTTGGCTGGCGCGCCAAGCTGAAACGATGGTGCCGAAGTATGAACATCCAGTCTTGGCTAAGTGTCCACTTCGAAACCCAAGCAGCGGCTGAACCAACGGAAATGCTGAGACGTCCCCACTTCCTGCGTCTCAGAAGGCTTGGTAAAAGCTTGTTGCCTTAAAGCCTTGTCGCAGACGGGTGCACAAGGCTATTGTTGCCTGGCGTGAACGGAAAGAGATGCCTTACAGGGAGCGACATGCACGGCATGGCGGCATCGTTTGAGATGTTCCGTGTTTCGGTAACCTGCCTCTAGCGATACCCAAAACGTATCGGAGGATGGTGTCGCAAGACTAATCTTCATTCCTTGGGCTATCAATTCTCACTTACTCACTACGCTTTTGTCCATCGTTGTTTTCTTTCATCTTACTCGAACGTTGAGCGGTCGTCATTCTATTCTACATCGCGGGTCGACTAATAATTCTTCTTCCAACGTCGTAAAGACCAATTTTGAATCACATCTATTGTATAGCTCTCGCTGTAAGAGTCACGATGGAGAAGTATACCGATTCCAGCTCTTCGCAAGGCGACTCCGAAAACACCGCCTTTATCACCACACAATACCAGAGAGACGACAGGCAAAGAAGGAAGAGCTATATCTATCTTACACTCTTCAACCTCTTCCTCTTCACACTATCAATGCTTTCATTGATCTGTTCGGTAATGTCGCAAAAAGACTTCTCAGGTCATTCAGCAGCGAAGTTGATGGATCAGTTCGACGTCTTTTGTATGTTCACAGGTCTCGATCACCCGGGATCGTTAGCTAACACAGTCTAGCACCTGCGAAGCATGTTGTCGAGTACAGTCAAACAAAGTTCGAGTTAGCGAACCCATTGAATTCCTCCAAGTACGTTGGCATTACCGACGATGTAGAGAATGCATGGATGGACGTCGCATACCGTAAGTTACTGCTTCTTTTCCTTAGACACCCATACTATACTCACCCAAGGTTCCGTCACTAACAATACGTAGTTCCCGATCAGATGGTTTCCATGGAAGACTTCCCTAAGCTGCAAAAGCCCGCCGATGCCCTTCAAGTCGTAGACCCGAAAACAGGCGAAACAGGATACCGGGTTGGCCTGGAAGTCTTCCACCAACTTCACTGCCTCAACCTGCTCCGCATGTCGACGTACCCAGATTACTACCCCAAACTCTGGTGGAGCGACACGAACGACAAGCCTGAAAAGGTCAGGGCGCACCTCGGTAAGCTCGCGCTCGAACTCGTTCACTCCCGATCACGACTAACTATTGAATCTAGATCATTGTATCGAGATCCTTCGTATGAACCTCATGTGCCTCTCGGACGTTAACGTCTTCACCTTCCACCCGCAAGAGGGTAAGAAGGGGTACTGGCCTGACTACGAGAGCAACCATGTGTGCAGAAACTTTGAGAAGATCAAAGATTGGGCTAACGATAACGCGATGCCTGATCTCGATGTGTGATCTTGTCGTCGTACATAGTCCGGGTCGCGATGTATATAGTCTAATGATATTCGCGATATAATTCCATTGAACAAACGGAAGAGGCTCTCTGGCATCTTTCTTCTCGCAAACTACAATATGTTCCTTTTTTTTTCTTCTTCAATCGTTTCTCGCATGCAATCGATTCGAGTTTCTCGTCCGCACATGAAACAAGCCGTTTCAGTTTCGCAACACGAACCATGCGTTGGGTTCCACTCATTGATCTTGGTCACGCTGTGCTTTTTCGACTGCTTGGGCAGATTTCAAGATTGTAGGGCGCAGCAACGTTGGTGGATGTGAAACCACTCAGGGCTTACATTTTATATCCTGGCACGCTTTACAAGACTGTGAGATAGAGGCTATTGTCGTTCCAAAGTGCTATGTATTGATTTTTGAAGTGATACAAGAGAGTGCTGGATAGTCAAAGTGTTCCAGTGAAGGATGATGATAATATGGCAGCTAGGATAGGGCATCTAATAATGCCAAGAGTAGGGTATATTCCGACGACAAGCAAATGTACAGCTAGTGATATCTATTATTTTCCAAACGCCAAGAGTGAAGCTTGTATTTGTGCCCTTGTCTATTACATGTCGAGATCTGGCATTTGCAAATCGTCGCCCGGCTCCATCATATTCAATAGATAGCGTGATCCCGAAAACCAATCCTGCATAGGATTTTGATTTCCCTGTGATGTTCCTAAGGCGACACCAGATTCGTTCGCGTTGTGAATTGCCTGAGCTTCTCCGAAAGGATTCATGTTCGCCGAAGCAGGAGTGGTGGAGTATGTAGTCGTGGGCCATGCGGTGTCAGGCATTAGGCCGAGCGCGCTGAGATAAGGATCGAACTGAGACATAGTACTAAGATCAAGTTGTGTGCCATCCACAGTTGTATAGTATCCAGAATGTTTGTTCTGTGAAATTCCCCTCACTCGCGAAGCGGCATCTTGTCTTTTAGCCGCTACGTAAAGCTTGGTAACCCGCAGGAAAAGATGGCACATCTTATAAAGCTTATCTGCACCTTCAGAAATTGTGCGACAAGATTCGAGGCTGGTGACAAATTCTGAAAGGGAGTGTATATCAGAATCAACGTCGGATGTGTCTGCCTTCTGGATAGCATTGCAAAATAATACGATGAAGCTATTGTTTTGGATTAGCTGAGCAGCGTGCAGACTGCTGGGGCAACTTACGGCGTGAAGGGCGCCTGGAGAACCGACCAGTGCACATATCCCGACCATAGATCTTCTTGGCCCTTCTTATTGAATTGCGCACTTGCTCTCATGTGCGCTACAAGAGCCGCTCGTGAAGACTCGAGACATTCCTGATTGAATGACATGTTGCTTGGACTCACCGCTCTCTGAATCAGTGCGACGGTTGAATAGTGCATGACAACATCAGAGTAGAAAAAGATGTCTTGAACACGCTCAAAAGAACCTTTTCCCAGATCAGTCAGTTGGTTTTGATGATGGGAATGGGAGAGCTTGCCTTGGATGTATTCGCTAACACCTGGGTCACGCCCCATGTTAGGTGACTTGTGTACATAGCGTTTGTATTGAGACGGTTTCGGAGTCTCATTCGGGGTGTGACCTATCATGCTCGGCCGCTCTGAACCAAGGCTAAATGCATGGCCTGGCTGACTGAAATCCACAAGTGAAGCATCTCCTCGTTCGTACCAGGCTTGGTTGAGAGCATTAACAAGATCGATGGCGATGCGCGTGCGCTCTTCGGTAGACTTCAAAAAGGCAGCAGGGCAGAACAATTTCTCGTAGGTCAAACCCTGTACTCGCGCGACCTTAATCCAGTACGAGAGCATGTCGCTTGATTCGGGATTCTTGTCGTCAGGATTACTCGACACAACGAACGGCAGAGATATGTCCCAGTCCTGGAGGATGCTTGAGCGACCCAAGCGTAAAGAAAGGGTTTTGTCGAGCATATATATCATCCAAAAGATTTGGATCTTCGTTTGACGGTCTTCCGGGTTGTCGTTGACCATGGTGTTGATACGATGGTAACCTAGGCTTTGACACAAGCCTGCTGCACTCGATATCATAGTCCAACATAGAGAGGGTCTGCACTTCTCAACCGCTTGTGCTGCACCAAGTACCAAGGCCATGATGTTCTCATAGCTTGCTGGCAAGCATATAGCCAACTGCGACAGGGCCACTTCTGTCTGCCTCCTGCATATGGTGGCGTATGTGTAGTAGTTAGTAGTGTCCATGTTGACTAGAGGAAAGACCCGAAATTCGTTGAACACATTCTCCAGAACGCCAAAAGTGAGCACGCGTCGAGCGGCGCTACAAGTTTCTGGGTTATGATATGCTTCGTAGAAAATATCTTTAAGATTAGCCATCCGCAAGAATGGAAACACCACCGCAAATGCCATAGTTGGATATTCTGATTGCATCAGCACTGAACGAGATGTACAATATGTAGCGTCTTACCACTAGCCTTTTCCAAAGCGTAGCACGCTGTATCCCACGGTGGGCGCTCTAGATTTGCAGGGTCAATGTCGGCAAGAGAGTTGTTGATCAGGTGGTTGGAAGACGCGTTATTTTGGCCCTGCTGAGAAACCATCTCTGCAAGAGCAGTAAGCGCCATCTTGACTTCTTCATTCTGGCCGATAGAGGGTGTGCTCCCAATAGCTTGCGCCAACATCGCTCGAGCATAATCAGACTGGCTGTTGATGGAGCTCTCGCCCTCGAATGGCGCGGGTGTATGGGCATCAACGAGACCACTTCCTGGACTTCTGGAAGGACCAACCCTACTCGACCGCGACTGGCTGCTAGTATCGTGGGAGTCTTTTTGGAGGTCTAGACTGCCAAGCTTCTAGAATGTTAATGTACGAAGTCAGTGTATGCTTCACGTGTTGTTCGTACATGGGAGTCTTTACCGTTGCAAGACTAGCAAGAACATTTTCGATACCTGCTAAACGGTCTTCAATTCGATCAATCTTCTTCTCGCTAAGCGGAGTCAGTCCTGATCAGATTACTCAACACCAGATCCGGACAACTCGGTTGATTGGCTGCAGCGGACTTGACATCCCGCAGTACGCGACCTGAGAGCGCCGCGAAGTCGTTTAAGCCCATGCGAACGCACGTTTACCCAGGAAATCGGTAGCAGTGTGGGTACGACTGGCGCCACAAACGATGACGACTACGCCACAAGCGATTTATACGTACTATTCTTCAGAGATGTGGACCCTTTGTCGCTGCGCCTTCTGCTGGGGAGGAGTTGTCTTGCAAGCTGCACGAATCAGCAGCGATCCTCGGAACATGCCAAGTAGAACATACCCAATTTACTCGCCTTGCAGTTGGAACATGGCAGGCCTCTATCGCAACGTATCTTGCGCGTTCGGCAACTATCGCACTAGATGTGGATCGTCAACGTGTGTGCCGCCCTTGATATTTCTTATGCGACTTACCGCACGCTTGGACATAGCTCCATCAAGCGATCCATCCATGTCGTCGTCTTCCATGGTGGCGGTTACGCAATCGGTGCCGCGGTTGTTCTACGCGTGAAGTGCCAGACTGGATTGTAATGTGGGTGTGTGCGGAGGACGGACTTTTCGGGATCCGCGGCTTTGCGAATTATCAACGATGTCATTACTCACAGCTAGAATCACGCCAGCATAGGCAGCAGCCTAATATTGCGAAACAGAGCCTACTCGAGTGAGTCAAAACTATAATGCTGTGAAGCCGAATGCTGCCACCAGGTTTCACTAGCAGAGATGCGAAGAACGCGCAACCCCGTGACTGGGCCGAAGATTTCAAAAATTCGCCGATTGGCTCGCATTACTCGTATACCGATCCATAAAGGAAATATCCAGCCGCTTGCGACGCCCTTTTCCGAACGCCTGTTCACCGCGGGTCCGGGCTTTGCAAAGTCCGGACGCAATGTTCAACTTCATTGAGATGGCTTTAGATATCGGGGTAGAGCACTGCTGTCTGCCTACCCGCCGCATGTAACATTCACATCAAATATGTCGCCAGATAAGGATTTGCTTGATACGCCTGGGCAGAGCACAAGCGATGACGTCAAGAGAAGTACAACACCAACAGACAAGAGCGATGACGCGGTTGGGGAGCCAAAGGGAGGTATGGGCGGCTACGTGGTAAGCATGCTAGGCAGAACTAGAGAAACGCCGAAAATAACGTTGTCAGCGCATCTTCAAATATGCAGATCGCACTAGTTGGGCGCTCAACATCATTGCGTTTATCGCAGCAATCGCCGCTGGAACCTTACTTCCACTAATGTAAGTCATACGTGCACGCCATCTAGGTTTGTCATACAGGGAGATAAAGGGCTGTGGAATCTTACAGCGCTTAGCCTTGGTCACTTGACAAACACACACTAACCTATTCTTCTCATTTTACAGGGACCTGGTCTTTGGGAAATTCGTGTCAACATTTACTGGATTTGCGACGGGCTCGATTAAGCCGGCACAATACCGCTCAGAAGTGGACAAGTATAGTCTGTACTTTGTGTATCTCTTCATTGCAAAGTTTGGGCTGGTCTACATACACTCGGTAGGTGGTAAACTATTCGTATCGCTGAAACTTATGCTTATGTTTCAAGGCCTTCATCTCGATCGCGGCAATACGGACCACTAAGGCGCTAAGACTGGACTTCATACGACACATTCTTCGGCAGAACATTGCGTACTTCGACTCAGATGAAGCAGCCTCGGTCACAACTCAGGCTACGACGAACGGAAACAACGTTAACAATGGCATATCTGAGAAGCTCACGTTAATCATTCAAGGTGTATCGACCTTCGTCTCTGCATTCATCATCGCCTTTGTCATACAATGGAAGCTTACTCTGATAACGATAAGTATTGTTCCAACAATCATTGTCGTGGTTGGCGTCTCCATAGGTATTGACACCAAGAACGAGAATCAACTGCTACCGATCTACTCCAAAGCTGGACAACTTGCGGAAGAAGTCTTCTCGACAGTGCGAACAGTTCATGCGTTCTGGCTTCATCCATTGCTGTCTCGCAAGTACGACAAGCTTCTTGGCGATGCTCAAGAAGTGGGCATGAAGAAGTGCCCGAACTATGCCGTTATGTTTTCTACCGAATTCTTTTGCATCTACGCAGGCTATGGATTGGCCTTCTGGCAAGGCATTCGCATGTTTGCCAGGGGTGAAGTCAAAGAAAGTGGTACGTAATGCGTCAGATGGGACTGAGATGGAGCTGGAATGGATGAACCCGCCAAGTCATGTAGCATACGATACTGATTGCTCAACAGGCGACGTTTTCACTGTCATTCTCGCTGTCATCGTCGCAGCAACTGCTATGACAACCATCGCACCTCAAATCATTGCTTTGACGAAGGCGGCTTCATCAGCCGACGAGCTATTCAAGACCATCGACCGGAAGTCTGAGATTGACCCCTTGAGCGATGATGGCAAAATACCAAATGCGTGTAAAGGTGTCGTCGATATTCGCGGCCTCAGTTTTTCCTATCCAGCTAGACCCGACATCACAGTCCTGAAGAACTTGACGTTGTTGGCACCTGCTGGTAAGACTACAGCGCTGGTAGGAGCCTCCGGTAGCGGAAAATCCACGGTCATTGGCTTGATAGAACGTTGGTACGACCAGGCTAGCGGCACCATATATCTCGATGGTACGGATATCCGGGAGCTCAACCTGACTTGGCTGCGTACGAACATCCGGTTGGTACAGCAAGAGCCAGTACTGTTCTCCGGCACTGTCTACGAGAATGTTGCGTTCGGATTGTCCGGCACCGAAAAGGCCAATCTGCCTGAAAGCGAGCAGCGAGCGCTCGTAGAAAAGGCCTGTAAGGATGCTTATGCTGAAGAGTTTATTGAGCGACTACCCAAGGTTTGTTGTGTTGCTTCTCCCATTTTCACAGAAAATTCCTTAACGTTAGATAGGGTTACGATACACAACTCGGCGAGCGCGCTATGAACCTCTCAGGTGGTCAAAAGCAGCGCTTAGCTATCGCACGATCTATCGTTTCAGAGCCGACTGTCCTCTTGCTAGACGAAGCCACTAGTGCTCTCGACCCAAAGGCAGAGAAGATCGTACAACAAGCGCTTGAGCGGGTCTCCCGAGGCCGTACTACAATTGTCATTGCTCATAAGCTTTCCACCATCCGAAATGCCGACAATATTGCAGTCATGGCTCATGGAGTTGTGGTTGAACAAGGTTCGCACGACGAGCTCCTTGCTGAAGATGGCGCCTACGCCCGTCTTGTCAAGGCTCAAGATCTTGGGCAAACAGAGGGAGAGGAGCAGCTAGATGAAGATCATACTGCGGAAAAGGTGGATCTAGTCCGAACACAAACTCGAGCATCGGCTATTGGTCAAGAAGCGGAGAAGCCAGAAAAGGACAACATCAACTACAACCTGCTGAAGTGTACTTTCATAGTCCTCAAGGAGCAAGGTGATCTCTGGAAGTGTTTCATTATCTTGGCTGTTGCAACCCTAGTCGGAGGTATGTTACCATATCGCTTAGACCTTCCTGTTACTAAAGTGCGACAGGAGCAACGTATCCTGCCCAGGCTATCCTCTTTTCTCGCGTTGTCGAAGCCTTTCAATTGTCTTCAAACGAAGCAGTAGATCAAGGTGACTTCTACTCCTTGATGTTCTTTATCGTGGCACTTGGCAACTTCACCGTCTACAGTGTTGTTGGCTGGACCAGCAACATCGTAGCGCAGGTTGTCGCGAGAAAGTTCAGACGCGAAATTTTCGACCTTGTCCTCAAGCAGGATATGGCGTTCTTCGATGACCAGGATAACGCGAGCGGCGCTTTAGCATCAAAGCTCGGGGCCTATCCTGATAGCTTGCGAGATTTGATGGGCTTCAACTTGATGCTTATTTGTATCAATGTCGTCAACATCGTTTCCAGCTCGATCCTTGCCATTGTAGTTGGTTGGAAGCTAGGTCTCGTTGTGGTATTTGGAGCCTTGCCCTTGATCGTGTTCTCCGGGTACCTCAGGATCCGACTTGAATTCAAGCTCGAGGATCTCACCGGCAAACGTTTCGCCAGCAGTGCTGGTCTCGCTGCTGAAGCAGTCTCCGCCATCCGCACAGTTTCTAGTCTCGCGCTCGAAAGGCAGATCCTCGCACGCTACGAAGGTCGATTACGCGGCGTTGCAAGAGACGGCATCAAAGCTCTAGTGTGGACCATGTTCTGGTATGCACTCACACAATCCATCTCGTTCCTGGCAATGGCTCTCGGTTTTTGGTACGGCGGTCAACTGATCAGCACGGGAGAGTACACGACTACCCAGTTCTTCACAGTCTTCATTGGTGTCATTTTCTCGGGAGAGGCTGCTGCTGCCTTTTTCTCGTATACCACGAGTCTGACCAAGTCGGCGACTGCTGCAAATTACATCTTTTGGCTGCGCAGATTGAAGCCTGCTGTACAGGAAGACGCGTCGAAACCACCGTTCGACGACGAGAAGGACAAGGGTCCAGCACACGTCGAGATGCAGGGCATTGACTTTGCCTACAAGTCTCGGCCACACGCAAAGGTTCTCGGAGGTATCGATATTGACGTACAACCAGGTCAATTTATTGCCCTTGTCGGCGCTTCGGGCTGTGGAAAGTCGACGATGGTCTCGCTTCTCGAGAGGTTCTACGATCCCGTTACAGGACGCATCACCTGCGATGGCGTTCCATTGATGGGTCTTTGTCCGCGCAAGTACCGCCGAGGTGTCTCTTTAGTTCAGCAAGAGCCGGTTCTGTACCAGGGATCAGTCCGGGATAACATCGCCATGGGTGTCGAAGGCGATGTGACTGACACTCAGGTTGAAGCCGCAGCCAAACAGTCCAACATTTCAGACTTCGTTGCGTCTTTGCCAAACGGGTTTGCAACGATGTGTGGCAGTAGAGGCACACAACTATCTGGCGGGCAACGTCAGCGTATCGCTATCGCTAGAGCGCTGGTCCGCGAGCCGCGTCTGCTTCTTCTCGATGAAGCCACTTCCGCGCTTGATACCGAGTCCGAGAGGGTCGTCCAGGCGGCGCTGGAAGAAGCGCAAAGTGGCCGAACAACAATAGCGGTAGCGCATCGTCTCAGCACAATCAAGGACGCAGATATGATCATCGTCTTTGCGAAGGGAAAGATTGTGGAAAGCGGCACACACCAGGACTTGCTAGCTAAAAAGGGTGTATACTACGAGATGTGCTTAGGCCAGAGTATGGACCGGGCGATACCCATATGACAGTCGAGCAGACAGGACTGAGTGCTTTCTTTTCGTCTGAACTGAACCCAAAATTAGAACCGTTCATAGACTGTGCGATATGCAACATCACCCGCTCGGCTTCGTTACTCAAGTTTCGTGATTGCCGATGACTAGTGAAGGCCTGAGCGGGATTTTCTGCTGTGGACATCTGACGCCATACCTAAGTCAGATTATGACATAATATCGGTTTTAACTCCAGCGCCGGAGGACAAGAGAGCACGCGACAGTAGATGATTCGCGATGCTGCCTGAGGAGACGGACGTTGTTGATGCGGAAGGCCGGTGACCCGCGACTGCGTCATGCTAATACCTCGCTTATCGACCGGGGTTTGCTCCACTTTTGGCTTCCTTCTTCTCTGTAATCTGACCCTTCAACTGTTCATCGCGACAGTCGATTTCCATACCTACCATCGAGATGCTAAACGCGACGGTTCCTGCACTTTTTTGCCAAACAATCTAGACTGGCCCTGCCGCCGGACTGAACTCCGCTGTACGCGTCTTCAGATAGTTCCGGCGCCGGCTGGACCTACGCGGCGCGTCATGGCTTTAATCTTTAGAGCCACCGCCTTAATCCGCAAATTACACAAAAAGGCTGGTGTGTGGCTCTAACAACCCATATGCCGCTGCCGCGCATGTGGAGGTGCTGAAGCACAACGCGATCCATCATCGTCAGGTCAAACTGCCAAGACGTCTCACAAAATCGCCGCAACCAACCACGAACTCGAGCAAGCAATACTCCTGGCACGAGCGCGTCTTAGCATCGCTCAAGTCAACAGTTTCATGCCTTTTCTTGACGATCGCACACTGTGTGCTGTGGCTGTTGGTGAGCCTTAGTTTCAAGGACACACTCGACAGCCCAATAGCAGATGAGCCGTTTCACTGGCATACTCCGCACAGCGCTGGGGATCAAGGCAGCTCCGAGCTGACCCACTGATTCGCGCTTTGGAGACGTTATGCGACTGAGACTAGTGACCCTGACGGCAAACTCCCAAGCCGTCATCCCACATTGATAGCATTGGCGTCTCCATCTTCCGTTGCTTCACTTTCTTTTCCACTTCTTGATTGATGTGGATTGTCGTTCCTTCAGGAAATCAGGCTCTATTTTCGTTCCTCCGTCGACCGGATACATTCATTTCGGTTCTTAGTCCTGGGGACATTTTTTTTACCCTCTTGTAGTTTGTTGATGTTACTTGCGCGAGCGCATTTCAGTTTATTTACTACCTAATAACTTTTGTTACATCAATCATGGCACGCTATCAACTCCGAAGGCCATCCCCGGTCAAGGTCTTCCCAAAGCGCATTCGTCAGGTCGATCCTGTTGCAAGTACGATGCCTGCTGCCGAAGCTGAAGAGGAAGAAGGCCCAGAGAGCCCAGATTCACCATTCAGCAGCCCATCAACAGTCGGTGACATATCCGAGAGCGAGGATTCGGAATCCGAAGACGAGGCCGAGCCACCATCACCGGTTGAAAGCGGTGCCACAGCTGCATCTACTGCAACTCTGGATGCCACTTCAACCCTGAGTGCTACTTCAACTGTGGGTGCTACTTCAGCTGCGGGTGCTACTCCAACTGCGGGTGCTACTTCAACTGCCGCTATATCAATGCCAACCTCTTTATCGGAAAACAAAAGTTCGGCTACGGCTGTGCCTTCCTTCACCTTTGGCAGACCATCTTCAGGAAAGGATGCACCACAACCCCAGATTACCGGGTCCACACTCTCAACTGCTGTTCGTCCTACCATAACGTCAACCATCATCAAGGAGGTCAGACCAACAGACCCTCCGGAGCTGTCTTCGGCAATAGCTTCAGTATCTCTAGCTCCGCCACCTGTGAACACAGCTGAGCCAGAACTTTCCGGCGAGAGTAGTGTCCCCCAAAGGCTTCCACAACGAGAACAAGAGCCTATCATGACAAAAGACGCCATGATTGCAGCAATAGTGTTGGGTGTACTTGGTTCGTCACCACCATTCTAGTTGCTACTATTCCATTGCTAATAACTGAGTAGGTGCATTAGCGCTGCTTGTCGCTGGAGTAGTTTTCATCAAGCGCCGCAAACGTAAGCACAGTTATATCGATGCGGATCCATCATTCGAATCCTCCAATCCTTACGCACCCGCCTCCATCCCACCTCCAGAGACCGCACACGTAGGTACCGCATCTTCGATCTTCGCGCGTCTCAATGGCGGCGACGGTGCTGGCGGAAACGGTCATTTGACCCGATCCACCGACCGCAGCAATACACTATTCGGTCCAGGCCCATACTCCCGCCCCGAAACCGTTTCTACCGAGCGCTCAACCCGTGTACCACCAACGCCAAATCCGTTTGCTGATCCACCCCTCAACAAAGCGTACGATGTACTAAACAACCGACCTAGAAGTACGACGCTTACGGATCGCGGAAGTTGGCAGCAAAATCCCTTCAAGAATCCAGAGAGCGAGCGATTCGATCCTTTTGGAGAGTTGAAAGAGAAGGCTAGAAGGGAAAGGATACGGTATGTGGAGGATGCGAGACGAGAAGCCGAGTTGAGGAAGCAGATGGAGCAGAAAGAGGCGATGGGACTCCGGCCGGATGGTATACCGTGGGATGGCGGATATCGGTGATGATTGGGACGAGTATGTGTGCATTTAACATGTTCGAAGGCTCGACATGAGCAGGAGCTGTGTCTCCGTGGCAATTCAGTCTCCAGCGACATACTTCACACGCGCGCACTCGGATACCCTTGTAAGTTTACCAATAATAATACAACACAATATCTATTATCTCACATGGCCATGGTTCGTCGTACTAGCACTGGTAAGAGCGGAAGCCCACAACACGCCAATCGCTACACATGAGAATCGCACTGAAGTGAGGTCACACAAGTCTGGAGAGCATTACACAGACGTAAATAGGTGAACCAGAACTAGAAACACTAGGGATCCCCCCAAAGCATATGACCAAACATTCGTCAGTAATTATTGCTATTTGCTTGACCCAACTCTGTCATCAAACTTTGGATCTCTCGCGTTCAAACCCTCGTCATATTGAAGCTCCTCTTCGCGCTCGATGCCATCTTCGTCCACCATAAGTGCGCAATTTCTCTTGATCAGGTGCCATTCTTTCTCATCATATGTTGTGGGCTCAGACGCGATAATAGTATGTTTACCCATCATGCCTGCTTCCCCAATCTCTGTGCCCGCATCCGCGCTCCCACCATCCTTATTGTCTGGGTTACCAGGGTACTTTGTATTCAGGGTGCGGCCCGCGAACTCTGACCAGTACAGACTCGGTGGCTGCTGTGAGATATGGTTCCGAAAACGGATAGCGAGCATCTTCGTACCATCGGTGGTACAGAGATTCAAGGAATTTGGTGTGTTAGCTTCACCGAGTAGGTTCTTTTGGAGTGTGAGAATTTGAATGACGGTCTTTTGCATGGCTTCATGCATTTTCTTCAGGGGATATGCTTTCTCCCAGCTTTCTTTACCACCACTGTTTGTAAGATTTGTGATGTAGAGAGCGGCAGCGTGCTCAGAATCTGTGCTACCAAGTACGTTGCAGTATGCGTCGAAGGAGAGGAGGGACGTCATTTCTCGGCGAATAGAGGAAAAGTTTGAGATGACACCATTGTGCATGAAGACGTGGCGACCGAAGACGAAGGGGTGGCTGTTTACTTGCGTTACGACGGAGCCGCTTGTGGCGCGGATGTGTGCGAAGACGCATTGTGATTCGGTGTTGTAGCAGAGAGACTTGAAGTTGAAGTCGTTGATCGGCGGCGATTGGGATTTATAGAGGGCGGGACGAGGACCTGTGACATTCTTAACGTAGGACGAGGTCGCTGTCGTGTACCCTGGGTGTGTTAGCAGATTTCCGGGACCTGAGTGTTCTTGTAGCGCTGTCTTTTCTGGGACTCCAGGCCTTGGGCTTTCCGGAGGTACCTCGCCTTGATTCTTGTGACTACCAAATACACGTGTATTATGATGTTGTACATCAAGAAAGCCATATGATGGTACAGGGATACGATATGACACGTACAAGCAATTCCGAGTCCGTCCATATTCAGTAAAGAGTTGCGCATCCGCATCAACTCATCGGGTGAGTCATCCAGGTCCTTTTCTTCATTATGGGGCAGTAGATGCGGCAGATAGTGCTCGGAGCATTGCTTGCTGATGCTGTTGTCTGGCGTGATGAGAACGTCTGACAGCAGACATGGTTCCGTAGGAGAAATGTATGCAAACCCTTGGTGTAGGTATACGAAGTCAGTGCATGTCTCACATGCGATTTGAACAGAGACACTTACAACGACACATGATGCTTGATGTCCTTTGCGTTCAAAGGACGTGTTAGCATTTGCGATTTTACGAAAATTGCAGGATCAAGAACGGACTTTTGTAATGGCACGGATCTAGAGCAATATTCTCTTCAGATACTCACCGTGTATTTCAATGCAAGATGGGTCGTACAACAGTCTTGACGATGCGACCTTAGTGACGTGGAGCCTTTTTGTAGGTGGGATATGTTACGAGGATGTCAGGACGCGCGTGAGGGCACGTATCACAGCTGGAGGACAGGAATTTGTAAAGATGAAGAAGTGAGGAGATGCCGGGCACAAGACGAGAGAGCGGGGATAACGACGATAAGGACGCGCGTGATTTTTGTACTCGTAAAGAATAAGACACGACTTGTTCAGGCTGCAAGAAGGACCTGGGTGGCTGAGCCCGTGAGGCTGAGACGGCTGACGGAAAGCGCCCGAGAGCTAAGTACAGGAGTTGCTAACACACAACGCTTGTATGCGGAAAGCACGATGTCGTGGCGCGGGGCAGGCAACAGGAGTGGGGCGCGTTGATACGAAACTCCTGTTAAGCACCAACGCAGGCTCTGGATGATGGCATTGCGAGGCAACTCGTCGTTCGAAACGTCTTCCACCAGCACTTTGTAAACAAGGAAAAAGAGTCAAGATCGTGGTTGGGGGCGTGGTCAAGATTACAAGATCTGTTTTAAACCCTGGCTCATACAGCCGATGACGACATGTTCCCTGAGCGGTAGGAACAAGAGAGGGCCAGTATAATCCCCAATAAATGCGTGTCCAGAGTGCCCGAGTGAGCGTAATGGTATGTATTGGCTGCATCGCAAGCTGTCCGCAGCGAACAGCGATCGCCGCGCGAATATGATCTCCCTTGCCCTGGATTCAGGGTCCGTCCAGAAGTGTCTCGGAACAGCGGAAGCAAGGGAGTGTGGGCCATGAACGGAGAACTCCACTATTCTGGAGCTGATAAGGAATGACTACGATTAAAGATTGCTAACGTGGAAGCGTGACTAGTTTCCATATTGCTTGTGTGCAAATAGCGACCAGCACGACGGTCGAGACCAGAATGCAGTGTTGCCGCGGAAAAGCTGTGAGCATTGCCATGGTGTTGTGCTAAAACGCTTGCAGGCGGCGATGGTGACCTAGATCTGAGCATTGTAGGGCTTAGCGAAGAGGGAATGTACACGCGGCAGCCATCATCGATTGATCCGCCACAACGTGCCTGAGATCGAGAACGAAGAACAATGTGATTCCGACAGTAACACCTTGCGAGTCGTGTCTGTGACAGCAACGCTCACGCTGCTAGATACGCCCCAAGAACAATCGTACGTATGGAAAAAGGTAATCGATTCCGTCTTGTGCGCTGTGCGACGCCTGGTAGACTCGATGAGTTGCACTTCTTTGCTCGGTGGCTGCTTGCAAATGTCTGCCATGTATCGTCGCTTCGTCCTTGGAAAATCGGCAGAGGGCAAGCAGGTGCGACGAACCGACGATGAGCCGGAGCCGGAATCGGAAGGAAGATTTCTATGCTGCTACCGTTACTCCCATTCTTCACCTCACCTCTTGCCCTCTGATAACGCATCCAAAAAGGCCCCCCTCCTACAACACGGCGAATAATTAGGGCTGCAATGTAGACACAATGAACGCGATTGCCGCTCAGCCCACAATCGGGCGATGCCGAGGACCCAGCGCTTTTAGGCAAAAAACAACCGGACGCTGAGGTGAGAGGCTGAGCGCTATTCCTTTCGAGTTGACCAGTATGAGCATTCCGCAGAATCGGCTCCTAGGATTCGCTACTACACCTGCTGCGGATCTTCCAAGCCACCCGTGGGCAACTGATATGCAGGCAGTTTTTTCGAATTGCAACTACAAGGCGACGCGAAGGGCTTTGAACGATTACTATCCATGCAGGAGCATATCTCAAGAGATGGCGATCAATTCTTTATCGTATCGAATTTCCGTGGCAGAAGGGAGAAGGACCGACCCATAGCACATACTGTTCGCACAGTACAACATGCCGGCTTCAGGGCGGTACTTCTCACGCGCGATGCCGTCATTTCATTTGTACAAGGCTTGGTCTCCCGCAATGCCAATCTCTCAACGCGCGCAAGGCACGAATCAAGCACCGTGGCGTTGTTCCTTGCTATCAGCCGAGCCCCGGTCCAGAGGCTTCGTTATGCGGCTCCCCTAGACACATGTAGCTGGCGGCATCAGACGACCTCTTTCTCACAAAAGATGCGAGGCTCTATCAGCCGCAAAGCGCCACGCCAGAAGTAATCGTACCAGACCCCGGATTCCCAAGAGCCTGGTGTGACAAATGGCTCGCTAGCTGGTGCTCGCGTCTGAGGCTGCGTTGCCTTCACACGCCTCTCATGCAGCCACTCGCCAGCACCGGAAGCCCGCCAACTTAGCAAAGCCCGCCGCGCTGGATTACGTTCCCTTAACTGTCTTGAAATGGCGGAGGACCTGGGCCCTGGTCGCCCGCCCCAGAACCTGACCCAGGCGCGCCTGCCCATGGGCAAACAAGACGTTTGCGCTGCTTCGCTGAGCCCGTCTTGTCACCCACCCCGGCTCAGTAGGGTGGCGCCGTCCACGCCGCTAACGAGGGATGGCGCATCCCCATTCGCGTGCCACAAAACGAGCGGGGTCGCTACAGCCGGGGTGGGTTGAAAACTCTGTGCCGTCGAATCCCATGCCCAGAATCGCGGTACATTTACTACGCCGCAATCAGTTAGTCTTCGCCGTCCGCCTAGCGTCCCACCAAACCGCTTTCGAGTCGTAGTCGCATCGCAGCGCTCACCACCGAGAGGATCCACAGGCAGGGCAGACTGGGTGTGCCGCGCCTGTCTCTCGTATAAGTACCCTGCCTTTCACCCCAAGGGTCCTGGTTTCGATAAGGGCAATCTCACTTCCTCTACCACGTTGTAGCCTTCCTTCTGTTCACTGGCATCCAGTGCAACTCATCTTGTTGTAGCTTTAGCTGCTCCCCCACGCGACTGATAGTCGATCCCTCCCCCCCCCCAGCGTCGACTCCAGAGCGACAAATCCCAATACCTGAAGCGACTTTCCATACGCGACATTACTCCCTTGCGACAACTTACCCTTTGCCTAAAGCGACAATCCCCATTGCAACCATGGCCGAGGACAAGAAATATTCTGGAGAGTTCGTCCGCGAGACTTATCCTGGTGACGATATCCAACATGGCCAAGTGACCGACAACTCCGACGACTTGCAGCGTCATCTTGGTAACCGTCAAATCCAACTCATTGCGATTGGTGGTTCTATTGGAACTGCTCTCTTTGTGTCCATTGGAGGTGCTCTCAACAAGGGTGGTCCCCTCGGTATACTCCTCGCATACACTGGATACTCTTGCATCATCGCTCTCGTGAACAACGCCATGGCTGAAATGGCCAGTTTCATGCCCGTGTCCGGAGGTTTCATTCGAATGGCCGGACACTGGGTCGATGAGTCCCTAGGCTTCATGGCCGGCTGGAACTTCTTCTTCTACGAAGCTCTGCTGATTCCTTTCGAAATCACAGCTCTCAACATTGTGCTGCGATACTGGAGAGATGACATACCAGTCGCTGCTGTCTGTGCGGCCGTCATCGTTCTATATGCGTAAGAACTACCGATTAGCCTTGAGGGCGATGTACTACATACATAGAGGACAGAAACTAATTATTTCTAGTGCTTGCAACATCTTGGCTGTAAAGGCATACGGTGAGGCAGAATTTTGGCTCTCTGGAGGCAAGGTCCTGCTGATCCTGATTCTCTACTGCTTCACCTTCGTCACCATGGTTGGAGGTAACCCTCAGAAGGATGCCTATGGCTTCCGACACTGGCGCGACCCTGGCCCAATGCCCGGCAGCAGCGATCTTGGACGTTTCGAAGGCTTCCTAGGTTCTCTTTGGGCTGCGTCCTTCTGTATCGTTGGTCCCGAGTACATCTCCATGGTCTCCGGTGAGGCTAAGCGTCCTCGCGCGTACATCAAGACCGCGTTCAAGACTGTGTACTTCCGATTTGGTGCCTTCTTCATCCTTGGTGCTCTTTGCGTCGGCATCGTTTTGGCATACAACGACCCAGAGCTTGTCAGCGTCTTGGCAGCTGGTGAGAGCAGTGCTGCTGCCTCTCCCTACGTCATTGCTATGAAGAATCTCAACATCGGCGGCCTTCCCCACCTTGTGAACGCCCTCTTGATCACGAGTATCTTCTCTGCGGGTAACACGTACACTTACTGCGCGACTCGCAGTCTGTACTCGCTTGCTATTGAGGGCCGTGCCCCCAAGATCCTGCGCAAGTGCACCAAGAACGGTGTTCCGATCTACTGCTTCTGTGTAGTCATGATCTTCCCGTTCTTGTCTTTCCTGCAATTGTCGGACGACTCCGCCAAAGTCCTGACCTGGCTCACCAACATCATCACTGCTGGTGGTGTCATTAACTACATCGTCATGTGCGGCACCTACCTTGCTTTCTACAAGGCTTGCAAAGTTCAAGGCCTCGACCGAAAGACGCTCCCTTACTGCGGTTACTTCCAGCCATATGGTACCTGGATTGCGCTCTGCTTCGAGATTTGCGTTGTCTTTGTGTATGGTTACAGCACCTTCAAGCCCGGCAACTTCACCCTTGAGTCTTTCTTCACATACTACACCATGGTTGGCGTTGCCCCGATCCTGTTCATCTTCTGGAAACTCTTTAAGAGGACCAAGTGGCTGAAGCCACATGAGGTTGACCTTGTCTGGGATGCTCCTCTCATCGATGCCTACGAGGCCTCCTTCATCACACCACCTGTCGGCTTCTGGACTGAGATGTTGCAACTTATCGGACTGAAGCGTAACGTCCCCGTGGACAAGCGTGCTGTTTGAATTGCTTTTAGCGAATCAGCGAAACCTGTATAGCAGAGATATTCTGTCATGATCTAACGCCATTGGATAGATTTTCTATCGCCAGAAGCCTATGAACACTGGCTGCGCTCTTACATAAATACTATACCCATTCATTCTGCGAACATCGAGATATGGCAGCTTGCGAATGATTCCCGACCTCCGCTATACCTATGCGACAAACAGCGAGGCCAAAAAAAGGATACCCAAGCGACAATGTACCATGGATTTTCGATTGTGATTAATATATTGCAGCATCCTTCCTAATGGCCTACGCGACACTACTGAGACGACAATTCCAATGCGACACAGTCTTAAGAGATTTCCTATGCGACAACGCTACCATGTTCGTAGCAACGCTGGTGATGCATCTGCCGTCACGCACCAGCTTGCCTAGTGTCGTATGGTTCAGCACACTGACGGCTTTTGACCTGCCAAGGCACGGCTGAGACCATCCCTCAACGACGATCGACATTTCGCATACGTACGTTTATTGGAACAAAACACCTGTAGACTGCGGTCCATCCGCCTGGCTTTTGGGAAGTCGCCCGAACCCTAACGTGGCATCAGAGAGCACTTATTAGGAGGCTCGGCAATGCATTCCGCGCGACTCACTGCCACTGTTGCGCTACTGCTACTTCCACCAGACACAGCCCACGACCATGTCTGCCTCGACTCGCCTCGCCCAGCCCCCTTGTGCGCCACTATCAAACAGTATCAATCCACCCACACTTGTATGCAGCCGCCTGCTTCCGGTGTTGGGCCAAGGTCTCCGGCTGTTTCTGGATGCCTCGAGCCTACAGGTCATCGTTGTTAGTAGGGCGCCATGCGAGATGTCTCACTTGCCTTATCATCAGGCTTCCGGTGCTGCTACACGAACCCCTGCCATAAGCTCGTCAGAGAGGCTGGAATTCTTGAGGCAGAGAGTCAACGATTCGCTCGCTTTGTGGCTTGTGTACGCATCTGCGACCGTGCCACCAACGCTATAATACCGCTGCACTTATCTCGGACCTTCTACCAAGGAAAGAGAGCGTTTCAGGCCATCTTCAGCTTCACAGGCGTCGGTGCGCAGTATATACGATCGCTCTCGACGTCCCGAAACGGCCAATTGATCCCGTCGCCAATATCCCGGTCCCGCTCGTGGCGCACTATAATCCCACGCCCACCACAGCTCCGCACGTTTGCATTGGAGCCTCTATCTACCGTCGGTAACGCACTATTCATGCTGCACTTTGTGGTTTTGGCTAGATGTCCGTACCTTGCAGGACCTTCTCCGCAATTGATAACGCATGTGCTCGTCGACCAGGATGATAAGACGGCTCCATCTTTCCCCGCATTGTCCACATCGTGAGCTGAACATATTGGTGTATTTTCGAGAAGATGGCTGAAGCCCAAGCTCCATCTAAGATTGCGGAACCGCCATACAATGCTTGGACACTCACGCTCCAGTATCTACACCGAAATTGAACTGGACAAATTAGCAGAAAAGGGTAATATACAGACTCAGCCTACTAATCATCATGTCCACCAGATTGAACAGTATGATCTTTCCCGTCGGAAAGCATCTCTACTGTAAAACCGCAGCACTGCCTACTCCTTACTCGGCAGATAAACACCTCAATATCGAATTGGCATGAGCGATGGTAGTTATCTTCGTGAGACGCACCATATGTGCTTAACCATGGTACAGTATACATTTTTGACACGGCGCTGTCCGAGCCAGACTGCCATTCTGTGGATGGGTACCACTAAGAAGTCACAATACGCTACCACAGGCTGCTTATGGTACAGTTGCGGCTCGGAATGTTTCCATGGGTGATCTGATGTACGTCAACTATCTAGGCTCGCCAGTACTGTCATGCTATCCTCAAAGATGTGTTGACAGTAGCAGTGACAGCGGTAGTGTTGTTAGTAGGTGCAATGTCTCTAGCATAAAGAATCTGATCGTATTCTGGTAGAGAGGCTTTACACGATATCGCAATTAGGTGGCATCAGATGATTGTTGGTAAGTTAAGAAGATTTCTGGACTCGCTTTGTTCAAAGGGCAAGTACAGTTCAAACATATGTTTCTTCACGTTCAGGAAACAGATTTCACGAGGCTAGAAGTAGGCTGTTTCCGGCATTACTTTACCAACTTATCCAGAAGACAAGAGAGTCAATGGACGTGACAATAGCTTCAGTGTTTGCACACCTAATACTATACATATTGGTAACGGCACTTGTATACATGAATATGTTTTGGCAAAACCTTCCACCTGTTCGACAACAAGTATAATGCAAGCCCCACGGTCTTGTCTCCACGAATGGACGTCACATAACTCCGTAACACCGACCCACATGTCCCGTTGCTATCTGACCATATCACATTCGCCTAGGTTTACCAGCACTGTCCACGCTCTCTCACCAAAGACGGCAGCTAGAGCGCATGCCTAGCCGGCCCTTCTCGCCATTTCTCCATGAAGAGACGGGCCGATTGCCCTTGTTCTCGAAACTGACCCCGTGCACCATTGCCAAGATGTTGGCTGGAGGCCCAACGAGCCATATTACTTGTCGCACAGCAGATTGGACGCAATGCATATAGAGGTCAAGTCTGAGGTAGGAGGGAATCAAAGGCTGGCGTCGAATACGTCATCGTGCGGAGAAGGCGGGACCCTGGACGGGATGGACGGGACCGGAGTTGAGCCGAAGAAATTCTGGGGTAAAGACCACCGCTTTAACACGTCGTCGCGTCGTCTCTTGCCTGTGTAGTGTCGATCGTTCTTCAATCGCCGGGTTGTCGTTCGGGTAGACCCTTCTTTCAATTCGTATGTGTCCTTTATATGGCCCGATTCTGGACTTCGTGCTTCTTTCTTCATCTTCACTACCCGCAACTTTGCCACTCCGAGTTCTTGCCTCGACATACGGGGTGCATCATCGAAACCCATACAACTGCCCTATAGCTTCTTGCATGTCGACTGTATTGAGTGTAATACGTGGTCTCGGATCCCTGATACGTGTGATGATTTGGAGGATGAAGTGCGAACCCAATATTAGGAGTAGACAAGGTATGACGATACGACTCAGTACACGACCCCATGAAATCCGTATCTCTTGCGACTTTCTCTCTTCAAATACTTCCCCTTCTGCAGGTGTAATGGTTGTATCCTCCATCGGTATCGATGCTGCTTCTAGAATCGTTCTGTAACTCAATCGACCAAGCCATACATGCCAGCCTAGCAGCATGACGGCGGCTAGAGCGATGCTCGTCCACGAGGCTACCGCGTATGGTGATCGTGCTCTTCGACCCAATAGCTCGTAGATCTCATCCAAGCCTTGGACAACGTGTTGCATCGTAAATGGAACAAAGAGCATGACTACCGCCAGCGCGACGACTTCTAGGCACCGCATACTGAAGCGCTTGAGGAATGTTGATTCGGCCTTGTGGACATGCCAGTGTGAGAGTAGACTTAGGAAGTCATCCGTGCGCGGGTGGGTTGTTGACATTGTTAGCAGCATGGCGGTCGGTTTGGTGGTATAGCTAAAGTTTGGCAGGCGTAGTGATGATGCTCGAGGAAGAATAATGGTAAGGAGGCGGTAAAAATGTCGACACGGCGATACCAATTCCTAGCGACAAGAGGCTCTCTTATACGAAATTCAATGAAGTAGGTCGATATTGTCTCCCGAAATCCACGTTGTTGGTTTTGTTATTGATGTTGTTGCTGTCCTTGGTGAGGGCCACCCTTCCTTCGGTTGCCGATGTGTTGACGAAGCGCAGTGACGCAATCGAAGCAACACGTCTCTCTTCCTTCTCTTCTTGTCCGCGAGTTCAACTTGATGGCTGTTCCGATACGAAACTCAAATGTCTGCGCCTCCTCTCGTCGTGTCTTACGCACTAAGACGACGTCTTCTCCGAGCCCCCTAGCTCCGCGATCTGCGTACCCGAGCACACCAAACTTCACAGGAATGCGCAATCCGTCTTTTGCCTTATCGCTAGCTTTCCTGGAAGTCCTGCAGTTGCCAGTAAAATCGTTTTGTCGAGATTGTACGTTTGGAAAAATCGTTGGCAGTTCTACCTCGGCTCCTCGCGTCCGTATCCTCGTAAACCCGGCGTACGAAGAACCCTGCCAAGCCCCTCTTCGCACAGGCTTTACCGCTCTTCCAGTACCGGTACCACGATTCGTAGGCCGAGCTGAGTGCAACAACGATACTCGTATCCAGACGTGCTCGTACAACAATGACTGTTCCGCCTTGAGGTGTCGTGTTACAAGAAGGTGAGAAAAAGGTAGGATGGTGATGATGATGCTTACAACGACGTAGTCTGGGTCTTACGAAGTCTGCGCCCTGATCCGCACTGCGCCGCAGCAAGTAGGATTGCACTGGGTGCCTGAAGAGAGGGGCGCAGTAAGCATTAAGGGTTGCCCCGCATCTGCAGCCTTGCGACGCTAGCTTTTGACCTGAAATTGTGATTGGTGCCCGGGCAGAAAGCGTGCCTGTGGCTGGTTAGGAACTCAGATGTGGAGATTGGATTTACGATGGGAGAGGAAGGTGAGTACCTAATGAGATGAATTAGTGCACGTGATGTGATAGTTTTTAGAGGTAACGAGGCTGGGAAAGCTTCGTGACACTAGGAAGAGATGGAACGAAATGATTGGGGAAGAGTTACGAGCTTTACGACCGAAAGCCTCGATCGCATGGAAATGGTGAATCTCAAGGTGGTCACCTGTCTACGCTTTCTATTCAAAAACAATCGTGAAGCCGTCCAGGCTGCATTGGCCCAGGCATCTAGGCACTGGAGCCGAATGTTGAAAGAACAAAACAAAACACCGACAGAATGCGCGCTAAAACTTCAAACCATCCGCCCAAAATGCGCAACGTATGCTTTGTCTACAAGCGATCAAATAGAATTTCCATGATCCCCAAAACTGACCGTCCTTGCGCGTGTCGGTTCTTGCAATCCTGCATCACCATACCCTTTACCCTCATAGTCATGTTCATTCATGACACCCAAGCTCTTCCAACTGGCCTTCTCCTTCAAATTGTTCTTGCTTGGTTTTCTGCTCAAATTACCGTTCTTGTCGGCATCGCTGTAGAGGCTTGGAGTGCTAGCTCGATGGACCGCAATGCCGATGCCGAGTCCTTGACCGTCAGGCAAAGCACTGGTAGGCGTGTTCTCGTACGAAAAGTCTCCCATGTTAGCTCTGCCTTTGCCTCGTCCATTGTAGTTCCCTTCGTCTCGAAGAGTAACATCACTCCCAAAAGCTGGACCAGGACTATGACTCGGCACCCTAGTCTTGCCATTTGATGGGCCTGCAGCGAAGTCGCGTGGCTGGGGCGGCGAGTCTGAGTATGGCGTATATGCGGTGTGGACTCTGTTCAAAGAAGGCGCTGGTGTATGGCCTCTGCTACGAGGTGCGCTCTTGGGCATGCCACCGGGGCTTGGTGCGCGGCTAGGATACTTTGATATGAGGCCACCAGTTTCGTTATCGCTGTCGCCGGCCAGAGATCTGTTACCCCACGAGACATCACGGTGATGTGAGTGGCGTGGATGGCGGCTCGTGTAGTGTGTGACAACTAAGAGGATATTATCAAGGAACAGTACTAGGAAGGAGATTAGCATACAACCCTTCCTCATTGACAGCGAATGGAGCTACTTACCACCAGCGAAGAACAGCACCACTATTGGGATTATCCAATGGCTCCCTTTGAACTTGAAACCGTTGGTTGTCTTGTCGGCAATGACAGTAGACACTCCCAGAATGATGAGCGTGAAGCCAACGACGACTCTGTTGATGATCTCGCCGAATTCGTATTTCGTCTTGTGTATCTTGTTGAACCAATACATGATGGCCAATACCAGCAATACACAGCCAGCACCAATGAAGAACTGCATTGTAGTGGTGTTGAAAACATCAGATACCGCGTCCAGCTTGACTCGTGGACTCGTCGTAGTTGATGTCACAGCGTTGAGTTTTGCTAGAGAATCGGCATGTGCCTCATACACAAAGACTTGCGCCCTGTCGAACATGTAACGAACGACGTCGCCGGTGCGGTTGTTCCACTCGTCCGATTTGAATCCATACGTTGCAGTGTAGTTCTCGATAGCAGTGAAGTTGGTGTTCCAGTTGTATGTTGTGTTCCAGTATTTGCTCTTGAATCTACCGTTGACTACAATCATGCTCTGATTGAGGTAGTCAATATAGCTAGTGGTGTTAGAGTAGCCATCCGCCGGTTTGGAATAATCGTTTGGCTTTAAGGACCATATCCATCTGAGAGCTTGGACGGCAGAGTTCCATACGATCAGCGACGTGTTGCCTTCGACACATAAGAGAATTGCTGAGTGCAACGGATAATGTAAGAGAGCCCACACTTGTTGTCGTAGAGTTCCGAAGCGATCGTGAGAAAGCTGGTCGAAATACAGCATCCACAAAAGGTACTATGAGCTTGATTAGCAGCGTTCCCCGAATGACTCATATGTGGCAACATACCAAGAGAAGCACAGCTGCAATGACGGTTCCGATCTCACTCATGTTATTGCTCGTCTGACCTTTCGTAATGCATGCTACGCTCTTCACCATCCCGATGATTCCTTCTCCGATGATGATGAGGGTAAGCAGTTGTAACCGCTCCGTTAGATGGGTATACTTGAAACTGATGATCCGCCATATCATAGCGATGAGAAAGATTAGAAGACCTTCAACAATGGATATGATCACCCTGCGTACTTTGTTAGTCTGAGCAGCCGAATTGAAAGAAGTCTACTTGCCATGCGAGTTGCTCTTCAAGACCAACACGACCCCTAGGAAAGACAACCATAGTGATGGCATAGCCTATTGCTGCCGCGGCATGCACGCCAGCGCTCAGACCTAAAGGAATCAACGTCTGACGGAACATGCGACCCTGCCACATAACCACAGCGTATTGTACAGCGATCGCAATTCTACCGATGACGAGTACAATGGCAAAGTTCCGGTATGACTTCTCAACGCCACTGGTGCTGTACTTGTCGAAGACCGGACCGGCATACACAAAGCCAGTGAAGATGCCGAACTGTATGGCTTTGTGAAACCGATTCCACACACAGTCGATACTGAACCGCACGTCGAATAGTGTGACGCTCAGCCAAGTAAACCACATCAGAGTGAAAAGTTTGAGGTAGTTAATGAGTGCTGATAGAGTGTTAGTTACTGCATCAAGGTTTGGACAAACATGCGTACACTCTGCATCAGTGTGTTGATGCATAGCCGTGAAGTATGCAAGGTTGGCAACGAAAAAGAGGTCGTAGAAAAGCTCTATCGTGCTAGCCTCTGTATGTTGCTTGTAAATGATGATGTTTCCGCGGCTTGTCCTGCCGTTTCCGGCAAGTGTGGTCGTATCATTCGAACTGTCGAACGTGCTGGTGTGAGTATTGGTCTTTTCTAGGTCTGTGGAATTGTTCGTCACTACTTCGAGGACATCCTCGTTGATGGGATTTGCGAGGAGGGGCAGGTAAGTCCGCCTGTTCCTGTGTCCTGTATGCGCACTGCCGTGACTGTCGGTAGTCTTCCGCCGTAAACTGAAATAACGTGCGAGGTCCATGATGAAACAAACGAAAGAGACGGAATGAACTTCGTTAGTGATGCAATTAAACTGATGGGAAAGCTAGATAAAAGGCAGCTATCCCACACAAGATATATATTAAACGCCAGCTATCAGCGAAGCTGCCCTAGAACAGTGCTGTATCTGCCAAGCACGCGTCGGTCCGTCGTCGACAGTGGATCGTAGTAGTCTTACCACTGTATGTGGTGAGCCTTCGCCCCCGAAACATCGTGAATTTGGCCATAAAATTGTTGTTAGGAAGCTTAAACAAATCATCTGTACCGAGCGATCGGTTAGACTTGTGTGCCCGGGGAACTGCCAGGGTAGTAACCACACATTTCCAGACACAACACCAGTGAGGCGTAGACGACGGAAACCGCGGCATGAACCAACGGGCAGGCCTGAATAGACGCACATGCATGTCAGAACAAGCGGTACAATCCGAAGGGTATTCTTAAATCTGCACGACATGGAGGTCGCTTGCTGTTGGTAGGGAAGTGTCGTATGCCGTGAGCCGTGCAGATGTGCTGCATGGTCAGCGTTGAGCGGCACGACTTTGTGTATCTCGAATCTGTAAGGCGAACCACGTTGTCGGTGTGATCGGTGCAGGGGCAGTAAGTTGTGCCGATCTTCTAGGATGCTTGCCAACGATGACCGAACCAGCATTCGCTGCCAAGCTTTCAGATAAGCTCAGCGGACAGTCTGCGGTCTCGCAAGATGCTGCGGTCCAGGCTGAGCACACCTTTGTATTCGCCAAACGCTATCTGAATTCCGATCGTGCTTACTCTTGCCAAGGAATGCGTATCTTGCTTGCAGCAGCACGCCAATACCTGCGGTTGGCCTGCGAGTTCTTGAAATGGAAATTTGTGCCAGCGCAAGTGCTGAAACGAGCGAACAACGCTTGGCCAGAAGACTACATCCTCCCTGACAGAGATACATGTCTGTTTCCCCATGTGACTGCACGCGCTTACTCATGACGGGTGTTCCGGCGATTATGAACAAGCCGCATTTTGTAGAGGCCTGCATAGTTTCAGCACATCTGAATCACTTGGTGGATTCACCCCAGCGCACATGTACACGCAGCCCCGATGGACTGCTAGAAGAGGGTTGCCACCGAGCTGGCTAAATTGAGACAAAGACAAACATAAGTTGATAGTCGAAACGAAGGCCGCGCTAGAGATTGTCTGGTGCCTCTGATTGCTATCTTCTGGACGGCTCAACGTAGTCACTAGTGCCTTCCTCAAAGTCCTCGTCCGATGAGCTTTCGTCGTCATCTTCGTCGTCCTCAGCTGCCTGATAGTCGTCGTCGTCTAATTCATCATCCTCATCCGGATCAGGGTCAGCTGGGGGTGGACGCCTTGCCCGCAAAGTACGACCGGTCTGACTGGCTTCCACATTGGCTTTGTTGACCTTCGCTCGCACGCGGCCCTGTCTGCCTCTGCCTTCGAAGTCAAGTTCCCACTCGAGCTCAAGTGCCTGTTGCCTGGTGCCAGCGTTATCGATGATCCAATTATATGGTTGCTTTAGAACGATCTCGGTGCGAATGACGAAGGTTCCCCAGCCCCGAGCTTTGAACTCATAAGGCGGCTTTCGGAGGATGACGTGGTTTCGCCGAAACGTAGGGTGCTAGAAATTTGTCAGCGCTACAGTGATAGGTAAAGTGGTCGATGCGCAAGTGTCTCCAAGTCATGCGCCCGTTTGATCCTTCCCGAGATCCTGTCGAACTCCCCTTGGGCTTACTAGACGCTCTGTGCGGGGAGACCTTGGCATCGTGATATTGAATGCCGAGCCTTGTCTTGACTGGAACAGGACTCGGGAACGTACCAGATGGATGTGTACTTCCTTGATCAAGTCCGGTCTCGATGTACGCACAAAAAACGTCCAGTCGTGCTCATTGTCATCGCCGGGGTTCCTGATAAGCCTGTGCTTGTTGCCTATGAGGATCATGACACCCTCAAAACCATCACGCCCGATGCGCGATCCCCTGTCCTCTTCCTCCTCTACCCGTCTCTCGGCATATGTGACGGGATACTTGTGTTCCAACTGCCTCGCCAGCGCGTTATCCGGGGCCGCAGTGGTGCGAGTCCTGCACATGGGACAGTTTGCTTCAAGGTCATACGTGGGATCATAATTTGGGTCGAAGTCTGCGAGGTTCACGTCCCAGCTTGAATGTTCGATGCGATTTGTATTGGAGGCGTCGGACCACTGTGCCATGCATGACGCACATAGCAGATGGTTGCACTGAGTTTTGACGGGCGTAAAGAGGAGTAGCTGGCAGATCTGTTATCTGTTAGCAGGGGCACGCGTGGTTGCGTGATATGCTTACAGGGCAGAGGTCATCGTGCGCGACCTCTTCCGCGTTTGACCGTGTTCCTGTTTCGGCCATGGTGATACTGCAACAGAGAGAAGAGGGAAGAAGAAATCAAGTGATTGTGCCGGAGGCGCAGTCTTTAGCTGCCATCCCTTGATGCGATTGCGGCATGGCTCGCGCGATGTTGTTAGAGGATGCGTTGCCGCCATTGGCTGTGACGTCCTCCAGGCATCAGTCCGCACGAGCCAAGGTGGGGCGGAGAGTGGTTCCACGTGATAGCGCGTCGGGACCTGCAGAGACATGCTCGCGCAGCGTGTGCTTCGTAGAAAACTTTCTGCATCAACTAGAATCACACCATGCTTCGTTACTCGGCTACTCTATCATGATGATACGTCGGTTCGAGCAGATCAAGATGAAGCGAGTCATCCCTCTCACACTATCTTCCCTCTGATACCCTCTCCGTCCAATGAGATGAACTTGCTGAGCATGAACCCAACACCAACCCTTTCGTACACTCTCGAGTCCTCGCTAGTCAGGCCTTGAATGGGCGTGACAAGTAACACGTAATATCTTTTCTCTCTGTCACTTCGACCCTCTTTACCCTTCGCCACGACAACACATTGCGCCCGCTGGCCATCAGATGCCGTCCGTCTCTCCGTGTCATAGACAATTTTAACTTCAAACTGTTGTCTGCCTGCCACGTCAAAACTACGGGCAACGGCTGTGATGGCTACCTCACTATCAGGCCGTGTAATCCGGGTAGTAGACGGGGAAACGCAGGTCCAAGGCGGCTGTAGTTCGTCATATTCCCAGTTCGCAGAATGAAAAGGCGGATCTATGAAATCTGTTCCGCCTTTGTAGGCCATCCAAGACCAGCTTGGGACTTTGACGTTCCGAGCAATCGGGAAATTGATTGGTGTTAGGTGCTCGGCGTCTCCTTCTTCGCCACGTTGTCAAAGAATACTGTGATGAAAGAGGCCGCCATCGTGCTTGTCGCCATCATCGAAAATGCCATAATTGCCCTTCGTTCCAAAAGCTTTTTGTAACTGTTTCTAAATCCTGGCTATGATTCTGAGCATCTCCTTTCAACTGACCATAGAAGTTGTTGAGCTCGTCATTTCCATACAAAAGCCATATTATGAACTCGAGGGTAATAGCACGCGCGCAACCTCGGCCTGCCATCTCAAATATAAGTTGAGCCCTCCATGATACTAAAGCCTATGATGTAATCCAGGAGAGAGACACATTCTCAGTTTCCACTCTCTTGAGTATGTTTTTCGTTCGACGCAAAGACAAAACAATGACGGTTTCTGTCATCAACACGCTTGCCGAGACAGCGCTATCTTCGCTTGTCGAGCAAGACCATGAAGTTGTGGATTTCGAAGATGCCCAGTCGATCTCTGGGCGAAACATAGATCCAGATATGTTGACGATGCTTCTGAGAGTCAAGTTCGGCGCTGGAGCCTACGATATCCATGTGAGTACATCGCGAACAACGTGAGAGGAGCGTCAAGAACCAGAATACAAGCTGACAGACATGATAGATAATGCAGAACTCATACTGTATCATCGCTCCGCGAAGATTGTCAAGCGTTAGTCAAGCATTAGCCTTCATGCATTTCGAAAGCTAACACAACATAGGGGGAAATAGCGAAATGTCGAAAAAGATAGATCGATCCTAGAAGCACTTTGTGTTCGTTCTTCGCTCATTTGAGCGTCCTTTGCATGCGACGTGATTAAAGACCGACGATACGACGAAACCGAAGCCGCTGTTGCGAACAGGGTGCAGCGCTATGATTGCGACACTCTGATTGAAGCAATGAGCGGAAGATACGTGAGGGGAAGGAGAACAGATGAATATACGCCTCCCGTTCACGCTAATGGTGTTTGCATATCGCATGGTGATGGAGTTTGGAGTGTGGACGTGATTTAGGATCTTGAGAATTTGGAATACAATTAGAACGCATCGGCGAAACCACGCAGATTTGAAATTTGTTGACTAAGCCGCTATGACCATGTGTATCCAGGATGCAATGACCATCGGTTCTCTTATACACACTCAGTACATCTTGCACGCTTGTCCTGTAGTCATTTGCGTTAAAAATGCCCAAAGAAGCATGTTACTATGAATCGTGAGCGCAGAGTGACATAAGACAGTGACGCACCATCTCCACATTGTCCAACGGTCAACCACGTTGGGGTTGTATAGTGATCAGCAACGCTACCTAAATATAATCTCCATTTCCTTTCATCTGAGCTGACATCGGACGAACACGGGGAAAGGCAGATGATGGCTGAGGCGCATGCATGCACCGCCCACTTTATACGGGAAGCCAGCTCAAGGAACCCGCCATCCTGAGATCTGCCGAGCGCTTCGGGTATCGGACTTCCAACGGCGACGCATGAAGACGATTCCAAGGCCTTGAAATCTCGCGTGCAGATCCATGGCAAACGATGCGCAAACAGGGCGAAACTGGTGAATGGTTTTAAAACTCGCACCAGTGCAAGCGCCGATCTCCCGCGCCAGTGTCTCACATAGCAACGTCGCGGCGCGTCGCCATTGGCCCACGCTCAATTACGCGGATGTGGCTATGCCGGTTTCAAGGCGCGAAGCTTGATACATCAGTCCCCTATCCACCTTCAGCTGCGCGCCACCAACACCACGCACCGCCAACCTACTTTTGCCCAGCGTTCCTTCTCACAACTTGCGTCCCTTACGTCGTTGAGCGATTGCGATAACGGATCCTCACGACTTTCACGTTCGTTTTGTGCATTGACCCCGGGAGCGCAGTCACCCCCGAACCTGGTTTCTTAACACGGCAAATCCCCCGCGGGAGCAGGGCAGCACACTCGTAGGATCCGCCATGTGGTTCCGCAAACGCGAAAACGACATCGAAATGTCGGGTATGATGGACGGCGCGCCTAAGAAAAAGAAGCCTCAAGGTCCCCCGGAAGAAACAGAATACCAGAAATTCGATTGGAAAAGATTCTTCCTCGCCCCCAAGTACATCCGTAAGAGCGCAAGCCGCCCCTATGACAACAGAGCTTTCATGTCTGACTCAGCATCCAGCATGGCACATACTGTTCATCGTCATTGGCATCTTGACTGTCATCATCACGATCAAACATGACGCCGTTGTTGAGGTAAGTTTACGCTGTCTTGCTTTGGTGTCGACGAACACGTGGCTAACGGTGTCTGTGCAGAAACTACGGCCGTGGTCCGAGAAAGTGCGAGACTTGCCAGCAGGATGGCTAATTCCTATTGCTATCCTGATTGTCATTTCTTTCCCTCCTTTGTTCGGTCATGAGATTATCGCGCTGTTGTGTGGTGTTGTCTATGGCCTATGGATTGGATTCGCGATTGTTGCAGCAGGCACATTCATCGGCGAAGGCAAGCCTCACCAAATCCACAATTCCATATGCATTCATACTAACATCCACCTCAGTTGGCACATGGTACGCCTTCAAATACGCCTTCCGCTCCAAGGCTCTGAAATTGGAGCGCACGAACTTGAATTATGGCGCTATGGCACGTCTAACACGTGACGGCGGTTTCTTCATCGTGCTTATCATTCGTCTCTCCGCCATCCCAGCGCATTTCTCCACCGCTGTTTTCTCAACCTGCGACGTCAAGTTCTGGCATTTCGTCGTCGCTACTTTCCTCTCTCTGCCCAAACAGATCTTCCTCGTTTACCTAGGTGTGTTGCTCCTACAAGAGAGCAACGACGACGTGATCAAGACGGTCATGTTCGGCGCTATTTTTATCATCACTATTGCCATGGGTGTCTGGATTTACATGAAGATGCGCACAGTGAAGAAGACACTTTTGGAGGAGCAAGAGTTACGAAGGGTAAAGAAGGCGGAGGCTGTGGAGCTGGTGCCGAATGTCGAACGGGCGTTTGATACGCGGTACGATGAGGAGCCTGTGGCATGGTCGACTATGCAACCAACTCAGGTCAGCAGGCCGATGGAGAGAAGATACGATGAGGAGCCTCCGGAGTGGGCTATGGCACCTACGCAGCCGACCAGGATGGTTTGAGTGTAGGTTTTGGTTTGGTGTTATTTAGACTACTATATTCTTAATGGCATAATGATGTTATGACCCGCATGGGACTGGTACCCACATGATACTCCAGGTCAGGCTTGAGCTAGCAGCCGCCTGAAGTATAAATAGCACCTCCGATAACTAACCCCACTCTAAGTAGTGTATCGAAACCACGGCACATTATCGGCAAGCTCTCGCTCCAGCAACTTCTGCTCTTCGGTCAACTCCTGAGTCCCGCCTTCGAGCGCAATCTTGTCGCGTCTCGCGTTCTCCAATCGACACCATGTTGACATGAAAAATGTCAGGAAAAAAGCCATACTACAATGCGTCAGCACACCAACTTTAGATCGATCCAGTCGTGTCGATGACTTGCCTGACAAATCCGATCAGAATACTGTGTCCAATAATAAACCTTGGTCCATCACGCGACAGGTAGACATAACTCGCTATGATACCTCCACAGTTACCTCCCATTACCTGCATGGCAATGCCTGTCCCACGCTTCAAACTACCTCCAATATTTCCGCTGTTCCACGCCATACCCAGTGGAATCTGGGGATAGATCCCAATAGCCGCAAGCACCGTTCCGGCATATTGGACACTGGGCTTGCCAGTTGCGGCAAGCATGGCGAAGCCTGCGATAGCCACAAGTTGGAACCCCATTAAGAAGATGCCACGTTTCTTCACGCGATCAGCGTACCAGCTCGCGACAATGGTGAAGAAACATGCGCAGACATAAGGCGGGACGGACATGAGCTGTGCGTCGTTGGCAGTATAACCCATGTTTTTGATGATCGTGGGGAGGAAGAGGGCGAAGGAATAGATGGGACAAAATCCCGCCATGCATATAAGCATGAAGATGTAAATTTTCCAGTCGGAAAGGGCCTGGTAGACATACTTCATATCAAAGTCATTGGAAAGATGACCGTGATCTTGTTGTAGGCGGCGTTCGACCTCTGTGCGCTCTTTCGGAGTGAGGAAGCGGGCCGTTGCCGGGTAGTCGTATATGCACCAGTATGCTGTCATTGACACGAGAATGCTGAGCAGGCCCTCCAAGATGAATATCCAAGCCCAAGCCGCTTTGCCCCCAACGCCAGACATTTCTGCGATACCGCGGGCTAGCACTCCACCGAAGGCTCCGGCGAGCGTTGCGGCTGAGAAGAAGAGAGCCATGCGAAAGCCACACTCGCCTCGGACATACCACTGCGAAATATAGTAGTTCACGCCTGGAAACAGCCCACCCTCAAATACTCCCAGAAAGACTCGGGTAGCCATCAATCCGGAATAATTCTTCACAAAGCCCTGACAGATCATTGCCAGTGACCAGAAGAACATGATGAACGTCAACCAAATCGATGGTCGTGTACGCTTCATCATGATATTCGACGGTATCTCAGCAGCAATATAGAACGGGAATAGGACAGCGAGACAGTCATTGTACTGTAGGCCGTGCAGCTTCAAATCCTGTTCGAGATGGTCGAGTCGAGCGTTGCCAATGTTGGTGCGGTCTAGGAAGCACAGACTGCAACTCTGTCAGTGATGGATCTCCTGTAGATGATGGAATGGGAACCTGACAGGTAGATGAGCGACATGAACGGTATGAGATGCCAGTCGAGTTTACGAAGAAGCTTCTTTGTAGCGACAGCATCATAACCCTGCGGCTCGACGTCTTCAATCGAGACGTCGGATGAGATGGGAGCGACAGTAGTATGATCGACTTTTTTCTCTGCCATTGTAGATTGTATACCGATGCCCTGAACCGGAAGGGATAAATGCTTTACACGATCATCTGTTATATACGTGTACTTTGCGCATTTCATGCTGACAACTACTTCGCAGAAATAGTAAGAAAGCCTTCTACCATATCTGTGCAGTCCCGAGGTTCCAGACTGCCACGCTCAGCCATTATGCATCGGGGCTGTCTTACAAAAGTCATGCGTCTTTCTGCTTTCGTGCCCATGTTCCGAGACTGATAGCATGGTGTAACACTAACAGAGATTCCAGTGGTTGCGGAGCATGCATTAGCCGGTAAGATAAAGGTAGTCAGGACTTGGCTACAGCAGCCAAGGGCCGTGCCGTAGACTTGTCCTCCGGAAGCTTGTGAGTGGTAGAGGAGGTCGAAGCTTGAATGGCTATGCGGGGAAGCTTATGTATGCGGGCTGACATACATGCAGAACCTTGGCGCTGATAATCAAAACGAGTTGCCTAGTTGTAGTATTCCAAGGCGATATCTGAGGCGACGCAAACTTAATCTCCAGCGGTAGATTGATAGCCTCACGATGTGGCGTTGCTTGTCTAAGGCTTGCCATATCTGGAGGCTGTTTTCCCGTCCTTCCACTGGCTGAATGAATCTGTAGACACGGCGATCAAGCCTTGTCCAGAACACCTGGCTGCAGGTCTAGCTTGTGGTGCTGGGGTTGTCAAGTATTTTCTTTTTCGCTTTCGCGTAGCGCCATTCCACACCTGCTCAGCCTCGCGAGGCACTCAATGCAATGCGGAGATGAGACCTTCTTCTCCCACAATCGTGGGCAGATCGCGGAGTCTTTTGGTTCGTCTAGAAGTTGCCTTTCTCCCTCACTAGGTAGAAACAGGTGGAGACGGCAAGGCAGAAGCAACGTCTCCGATAGCGGCGGATGGCATTGATAAGCATAATGAAAGAGGATGCACATGATGCACAGTTGAACACTTCTCAGGTAGTCGGGGATGGTCTCTTAAAACTCGATGGAGACAATGTACCCTGAAGTGAGGGTGAGATCTGTGCGATAATGACACAGGAATGTTTCGGCGGAAACCGATCACTTCAAGCATGGTGATTGCCATGACCTCTCGAGCATTCAGCTTTCATGTACCTTTGTTGCGACTGGAAGTGTGATCTCAAGATCTTCAAGCACTCATTCGCATTGACTCAGAAGGGTCTCGATGTTTGCCTTCCTCGTTCATTCATCAAAGCTAACGCAGCCCTGGAATATAAGGGTGCCGAAATCTGGAAATACCAGGCGTCCAATTGGCCACGGAGTAAAATGCCATTCACGTTCCAGTAGAGCCGGGCGCAATCGATAGTTCCAAACAATCGCACGTCGTACGTTGCGCAAACACTACGCATCTTTACCCTAGTAGTGTGCGTTTGCTGCTGAGAACGTTGGCAAACCTTCATGACAAGGCGCTCCGTTCATGAAATATCAGGAGCACACCCGTGGAACGATGCTCGTAATCAGCAGGCATGCCCTATAATCCATTTCCCGTATGAGCAAATGAAATCGATTTCTAGTTTTGTTGACTGGTACAGTGGGCGAAAATCCAGGGTTTTAGTGGATGGTGATGTATTGAAGAGATGTCTGCGACCAGTGCGTCAAATTTGTAGCGTAGCGACTGCCTATGGCATTTGCGATAGTTATATAAGCGCTTTGTGGTACAACTCGTTCGCTTTTAATTTAAGACCATACCATACACTTTGATGATGTTGGGAGATGACAAGGATCCCAAGCAGTGGCAGAGCAAGGCTCGTAAAAAGTAGCTAATACCTCGGCCGTCGTCGACGCACTGGGTAATAATCTTCAAAATCACTCTCGTCTTCCCCTCCTTCTTCATAATCTTCATCATCCTCGTCATCGTACTCCTCGTAGCGATCGTTGTAATTATGCATCCAGTTTGGCCTAGGTCGAGCTTCGTATGGTGACCGCCCAAGCTGTCTAATGCCTACACTCCTCCATCTTGGGTGGTTATATATTGTGGAGGAGTCGTAGCCGCTCTCATTATCCTCATCGTCGCCAAAGAAGCTTGTCGAGGAGGGAGCACGACGGGCTTGAGGCCATGATGGCTGGTCGTTCTGTCGATGGCGGCTGGTAAATACTGGGTGTAATTGGGGTGATTGGCCGAGACCGAATGGCGAAGACTGACCATAGCCCATCTGCAAATCTCCTAAGAAAGGAGGCTGACTTGAACACCCTGTGCTTCTGCGTCTGCCTCCACTCACTCTCGTGCCCAGTCTCATGCCTGACCCCATGCCAAAGCCCATTCTAAAGCCCATAACACCCGTGCCGCCTAACCTACTACCACCCATGTTCACACCCAGAGGTGATGGGACACCGAACTGCGGGTGGCTTCCCATCATGGGACTCGGTCTGACATGATCCAAAAAGGGTGGTTGAGACCTTCCTATGCCCCCAGGCGACGAATACTGGTTAAGCAGCCTGTACATGTATGCTTGTCTTTGGAGTTCGATAAACATTCTCCTTTGATCCCTAGTGTCTCGTCCAAAACCGTCGCTATCGCCACCACAGGATTCGTCGTAGCATCGGTTCGGACGGAAACCGCAAGTAGGGAAGCTCATCAAACGCGCCATCGCAAACTCAGGTCCCGTTGGTCACAAAGTAGGGAGACAATCTTGAGCGATGAATAGAATTGGTGTGAGCAGCCGAGGTATAGTAATATGGTGTAAATTATTTGGTGCCCTTTGCGCTACTGAGAGGGCAAAAGAAACTCCAAGACATGGAGGTGCTGCGTGGTCGACTTTGTACCAAAGCGAACATGCCGCTAGATGGGGGAAAGTGTCCAAGATGTTTACGGGTTGATGATCTACGAATGGTTGGACGCACCTAAGTCGATGCAGATACCGGAGGCGTAGGCGGGGCCAGCATGATAGCCATCGCTGGCAAGGCGATTCTCCGGTCGTAGTAAGCCTGTATGACACAAGGCAAGCAGTGACTGGCATCATGGTATCACTGTGATACACTAATGAGATGAAGCAAACACTTCGTTTTGGAGGAAAGGGCAAACCACACTACTGCAGCCATGTACTCCTACTGGATAAAATCTACCAGCAGAACGAGGTGGATGAAAGCATGTGCAGGGTTCATATACGGATGAACAGACTAGTAGGAAGATGCTGATAGGATAAGGATACCGACCAAAGGGTCCAGGGCAATCATGATACCAGACAAACCTTGACAGGACGGCAGCAGATACCGAGAGCATAAGTCGTTAAGGCTCGTTATATGGGTCGAGTTGGGCTGTGCTCGAAAGAAAGCTGCGACGGATGCTCGGCGATGCGACACAGCGTAGATGACACATCGCACCTTCCCCTTCTTCACAAGGGGACACGGGTCGAGTCGTGCCTTCCGGGTGGTACAGTGGAGAGACTTGGAGATTTGAGGATGAACGACGGCATTCTGGGAGTGGCTGCGAGGAGGCGATAGCAGAACAAGACGTCATTACTTAATTTGCACCTGAAATCGGCAGGCGCGACGCGTTGACGCAGGACGCGTCGTTTCCAATTGGTGTGGCGGGACGTTGAAGAAAAAGTCCCCATAATACGATCAAGTCACGTGCATCCATCTCGGCTCCAGCCAACCTCAAATGTTCGGCCATGGTTGAAGCTCTTCTTCTGTCGCCGCAATACGACTACATCTCCCACCGAAGTGTCCCACGACGAACTGTGCCATCATCTCCCCGATCTGCCTAGCACGAAATCGCTGCAAGCCTGACATCATCTCGACTGCACCTGCCTCCACCACTCGCCTGCCACAATCCCCACACTAAATCTTTTGGCCTCGACACCACGCTTTCGTCTCGTAGCCACTTCCGCATCCGCATCTACACCACCACACAATGGCTCCTACTTCTTTTGCTTCGGCAGCTGCAGGAAACAATGCCAATCCAGCGCGTCCAGACTCCGGCGCTGACTGGTAAGTCTTGCCTTGCCTGCGCCCCATGTACCCACCACTATCGAGCTACATGCGGCACATTGTTATCCCTTGTCGCTAGACACAGCACTTGATTTTATTGTCCTATTTATCACAACGCTCGCTACCGCCATGATTCTCTTCCTGCCCGACGCTTACCCGGAAAACAGGGCTCGACGTACCAACGGTGCCACGCAAACATTCCGCCGACCCTCACACGCGACCAGCCTCTCCGGCTCGACAAACCACTCATCTACACGAGACCCTGCCGCGCCACAGAACCCGTCGACGAACTCGGGCGTATATGTCCCTCCCCACGCACAGCCTGGTCGCAATGGCAGCTCATTCGAGGGCCGCTACTCGCGGGACCAACTGACGCAGCTGTTCCGGATACAACAAGCGTCAAGCGACCTCAACGACGGACTGTCCGATTTGTACATGGGAGGATGGGAGCCCCACGCTACAAATGGTGCTTCGAGCGCTTCTTGGGGTCGCAAGGACGATCATGGCAGAGAGAGGGAGGCGCCGAGCGGGGTCGACCAGTGCTGGGATAGAGACGGTAGCATATTGCCACTCAGCCTGGCCGGCATGACTGACGAGGAGAAAGAGGTAGGAACTCACACCCCACCACACCTTCCTAACATACACTAACGCGCGCTTCTTCGCTTAGGTCTTCCACTCGTCTGTCAATTCGCCGCTGAAACCACCCACGCAGAACAAGGACGGCACTCCCAAAGAAGGCCTTTCGCTACGCAAGACATCCGTATCGCAGGGTCCAGGCACACCATATGGTCTTTCCTCGCCCACAACCGCGCGTCCAGGTGCCCGCCGTCGCGACACCAGCGAAGCGTATCCGTTCCCCTCGTCCCCCGCCACCTCACGATTCGCGCGCGAAGAAGGCAGCGCTGTCACTCCGCCACCCGCTCTAGTACGCCGTCGGACAGATTACAAGGAGCCTGTAGAGGGTCGCACTGCGGAGGAGCGCGAAAAAGACAAGGGTACGGTTGAAAGTGCTGGTGGCTTTGGCTCTGCAAAGCGCGCAACCACAGCACCTTTCAGCCCAGGTGGTAGTGCTTCGCCGTGGTCCGCGACTCCTGGTGGTGGTTTTGGCGCTTTCGGAAGCTTTGCAGCGCCGCAGTCAGAAAAGAAACCTGGCTACGGAAGTCTACGTGGCGAGAGTCGATTCAAAGGGTTGATGGGCAAGCCGAGCATTGAAGACTTTGGGAACGGGCCGAAAGAGAAAGCTTCAATGAGTAACTTGGGCAGGCTAAGCGAGGCAGAGCCCTCAAAGACAGGCAGTTCGTGGATGGAAACTCGCACCAACAGACCAATGAGTAACGATACAGATCCGTTCCCCGAAGACGACCATCCAACTGGCAGTGCTGCGTTGCGCGGCGAAGACGTTAGCCCGCCCCGGCCACAAGGCTTCGGCAATTTCGCAACGCCCCACCGCCCCGACCACCGCGACGATTCTGGATTATCCGCATTTGGGATGACTACTGCCGACACTGGACTTCGCGACATGTATAACAGGAACAACTTTACGGATCAGTCACCCCATCGGGGTAACGAGCCAATGAGCCCGACGGACACGAATCCGTACCAAAGCCCACACCACGCACGAGACCAGCATAATGACGATTCGGACGATTCCGGCGACCAGAATGCACACTTCCCTGGCATGAGCAGCTTCCATATCGACCAGTCTGTTCACTCGAGCATCCATAACGCGTTCGGTGGGCTTGGGGGTCTCGGAAAGGTGTCTGCGCCATTCGAAACTGCAGCAAGTGACCGCAGCCAGACTTCTAGCGTTGGACCAGCCCGAGGATTCCCTACCCTACCTGGGCTTGGCGGCCTTCCTGGTCTAGGAGGTTCTGCAGCGTGGCCTTCTGGGAACCACACCATGGGCACTCCGACTCGTGAACGCGGTGGTCTGGGGGGCTTTGACCATGCCTTCGGAAACGTTGGCGAGGCTCAGTCGCCTTCTCTGGCTGGCCTAGGCAATAGTTCGCTATTTGGACACGGTACTGTAGGCCGCTCTAGCAGGCTTGGCTCTCTGTTCCCGCCTTCCATGCAAGAACAAATGCGATCCAATGATCCGAACAGGGTGCATGCCGACGACAACTCCTCACATGGTGACCGGCAACACAGCATGACCGGCTCGTTTGCAAGGAATGCCTTTGGGGGGCAGGCGCCAGCCCGTGATACAGAAAGCCCGTTCCGCGCAAACCGTAATCTTTTTGAAGACTTCTCCAATGCTCACCATGACGACCACGGTTCGGCGGGACAGTCTCAGAACATGGCTACCACTTCACTCTCAATGGCTGCTCTTAACCCGACAAGGACTGCACAGCCATCCACGCCAGGTGTTGGAAGTCCAGCCTCCAGTCAGCCTCCGGTGCCTCAGCAGCGAATGATGGTTATGCCTGACAGGATGAGATGGATCTACCGTGACCCCTCAGGTAATGTTCAAGGACCTTTCTCTGGTCTGGAGATGCACGATTGGTACAAAGCTGGCTTCTTCTCGCCTGAGCTGCTGGTGAAGAAGGCTGAAGAGCCTGATTACGAACCCCTCGCCCAGCTCATCCGCCGTATTGGTAACTCTCGTGAGCCCTTTTTGGTCCCTCAGATCGGCATCCCGCATGGCCCTGCGACGTCTCAGCCAGGTAATTCCTGGGCAGGTGCTGGTCCTAGCACTGCCACTGCTCCAGGTGCTCAACCCCCATTCGCCAACAGCTTTCCCAGCTTTGGAACAACCCTTACTGCCGAACAACAGAATGCTCTCGAGCGTAGAAAGCAAGAGGAGCAATACCTCATGGCTCGCCAGAAAGAGCACTTAGCTCAGCAGCAACAAGCGCTCGCCCGCCAAGTCCAAATGGGAGTGCTGCCAAACCAGCTCAACCACCACTCCAGCGCGCACAGTCTGCACAGTCAACCAAGTTTCGGCAGTATCACATCGCCAGGCGGATATCAGCCATCGCCTACTCAAGGTGCCGCGGCCGGAGCGTCTGTTCCGGGACTCATGGACAACACCTTCAGAGTTGGTCCCGGTCCTGTTCCAGGCTTGGGTCCGATTGGTCCCGGCATGGATATGCTGAGCAACAGGAGAGACCAGGAGATGCCTGCTATGATGGACCGTCTGAATCTGGGACGTAACAACCAGCCTCCATTCGCTTTTGGACAACAGCAAGATTCCGATGCTCACGCACAATACATGGCCTCCGTGATTGGCGACCGCGCTCGTCTCAAGCGCGAGCAGGCTGAGCATGACGCCACGATTCGCCCTGGTGGCCCTGAAGACATGCAAAACGCGCGGAACTTCGCTGAGCGTTTTGCGGAATTCCAAGACTTGCGAGTCCAGACAGACATGGAGCAATCGTCCAATGCCGCCCCTCCACCAGAAGGCGTCATAGGAAAGCCGCCTACTTCAAATGCTCAGCCATCGCAGGAACAATCTGAGCCTGCTTCCCCCGAGGAACACGAAGGACAGGATCATCAGTCAGAGCATCAGAACGAAGGACCATCTGCTGGTCAGGAGACGCTGTCCCTCACTGAACAAGTTCAGAAGGCTGCTTCTGCTAAGCACTCCCCTCAACCAGCAGCTGCATGGAACAAGGTCGAGCCTGCGATCTTCCCGTTCCCACCTCCGCCATCCCAGTCTCCACTTCCTGCTCCAGCTGCTCAAAGAAAGCCTATCGTCGCTGAAAACCTCAACACTGAGTCTCGTTCAGGTGCGGCGACTCCTGCCGCTGATACCCCTAGTGTGTCCATTGCTCCTTGGGCCAAAGAGCCAGTCAACGCATCTCACGGACCTTCCTTAAGGGAGATTCAAGAGATGGAGGCCAAGAAAGCTGCAGAGCGTGAGGCAGCTGCAGCCGCAGCTCGTCGCGAAGCCTTCGAGAAGGAGATGCAAGCCCAAAACCAGTCACCTGCAGTTCAGCCTGGCTTGCCTTCGAGCTCCACCTGGGCCAGTGGTGCCTCGCCTGTCACCCCTAGCACGGCCAATGCTTCCGTCTGGATCAAGCCTGCCGCTACTAAAGTCGCCGCACAACCAACACCCAGTTCCAAGAAGACACTACAGCAGATTCAGAAAGAAGAGGAGGCTCGAAAGCAACGTGCTACTGCACAGGCTGTTGCTGCGGCCAATGCCTTTGGTGCCGCCGTTCCAGCTCCATCGGCTGGCAAGCGATATGCTGATCTGGCTAGCAAGAGTACACCTACGCTAGCTGCTGCTATGCCTGCTGGAAGCACTGCATGGACTACTGTTGGCGCGAGTGGCAAAGTAAAGACGCCAGGTGGCACCACTACTCCTGTACCCGGTGCAGTCCGCTCGACTAGCTCGACTATAGTACCATCGCTGGCCAAGAAGCCTACTGTAACTCGTAGTGCAACAATGGGAGGACAGTCTGGGAAGCTCAACGCCGAAGAAGAGTTCCGAAAGTGGGCTGTTAACGAGCTTCGTCATGATCTCAACAAGGGTATCAATGGTGAGTATTATTTGTTGTGATTCTTTGTACAAAACACTAACTGTCCAACAGCTGAGGACTTTGTCTCCTCCCTTCTTAGCTTCCCGGCAGACGCTGAGCTCATCACTGAATCCGTGCATTCCGCCTCCAATACTCTCGATTCGCGCCATTTCGCCGAAGAGTTCCTCCGCCGCCGCAAGCTAGCAGACAAGGGCATCATTGACGAACGGAACACTGCATCTCCTGCTGAGAACAAGGCCGCAGGCAGCGGTTGGTCCGAAGTCGCTAAGAAGGGTGGTGCCAGCACTACCCAGACACAACAACAGGCACCTCTCGACTCAAGTAATTTCAAGGTGGTTGCTGCCAAGAAGAAGACCAAGCGGTAGATTCGTTACGATTTGGCAGAGCTCGACAATGACTACACATTTGTCTGAACTTTGCACTTGTGCGCTGTTCGATATCATTGTGTCTTTTCACACGGTATCGCTCGTGGGTCAGCCTGTGATGGCAAGAGAACTATTCTGTGGCATGAGAATATGAGCAAACTTCACGACATCACAGAAGGGTTTTGTATCTTGGTCGAAATATTCGAGTGTGACTACACAGCTAAAAGCGCATACGTGCCCATTAGGAGTACATTGTATCCACCATGTCAGAAGAGAGCAGATAGCGCCTATGTAACTGAAATGAACCCAAAAATCATCGTTGGTAGCTGTTGGACTACTGTTACATGGACCGAATCCAGAGTGAGATATGCTACTATATTGTAACACGCTGGCCATTGTTGCTAATACGTGTGGAGAAAGACGCTTCAACTATTCAAAATTACAACGTCTCCTGCCTGCTTTGTCCTTTCCAAGCCTAGCTTCTCGTTCGCCTCTCTTTCTTTCTTCACAGACTGATCATCTTTTCTTGATTGTTTTCGATCGTCTTCTCGTCAGCATGTTAGCTGCGCAATCTCAAAAGCGTAGGGTGTATACACTGAACAACCCTAAACCTCAAACTTGAGTCGATGCAATCAGCCTACCCTCGGACATATCTCTTCAAACCATCATTGTCAGACCAAGCATCACATGCACGTGCGCAATACATCAAGATCATGGGGTATAGATGTGCTCTTCGTTCGTCTATCATATATATCTCTGCGTATTCGTTTTTCCACCTTCCACCGCAAATTGATCAAAGAGTGGAGAGGAAAAAGATTCAACCGCACACATACCCCTCAGTTTTTATACCCAAATCTTCTACCCATACACCATTTCGTAGCCCACCAGTGTCCGTCTCACCACGGCTGGCAGGCGGGGGTATCATCGTCCCATCGTATTCAGCTTGCATCCACCCATCACACACTCCCAACGCTGAGCACACAACGAAGATTGGACCAACAGAGACGCATAATCCACAAGAAAAGCAGCAAATTGGTATATATTTCTGTTTGCGCCGTAATTGGGGAATCATTCGGACAGAGAGCAACAAACAAACGCCGTAAACAAGAAACTGCAAAATGACGCATACAGGAAAACAAGACTGCGAACAACAACCAGCCAGGCCAGGCTTTTGACGTGGGTATTTTCGCCGTAGAGTAGGAGGGGTATAATTCTTTTGTCGTCGCACACGTACAAGAGACAATGAACGCGTAGCGGGGTATTCTTCGTTAAAGGCCGGGTACAGTAGTGGTATCAAATAAATGGTTCGAGATTGGTGTATCACTTAACGAGGAGGCCCAATAGGGGCCGGGTATCCAGATGCAGAATGAGAAGTACTGGGGCGCCCGCTGTCCACGGAGCCCCGCGGGTCGTACCTAGGGGTCACATCCCCAGGCGCCGCGGAAGAGGAACCAAAAGGAAACTTGGACTCAAAACGAGGGGCTGGCATAGGCCAGCCGTTGTTGTGGTGCTCGTCGTCCGCGAGGTTAATGCCGCTGTCGTTCCACGGGTTACGGTAGCTACCGGTGGATTCAAGGCTGGCAAGGGATGCCTTCGAAGCGTTGCTAGACGCATGCTTGAAGAGCGAACCGGGTGAGTTGGTGTTCTTACGTCCGTTGAAGATGGACGTAAAGGACGACATGCTACCTGGTTTGCGAAGACGGTCGAGCATACCGCGAGGCTCATCGTCACCAAAGTGAGAGCGAGTCGGCGAATCGGTGCTCTCAACAGCCGGCTCCGCACGCTGGAGCAGCTTAGATTCGAAGAAGGGCAAGGAGTCTTCGAATGAGTCAGACTTGGGACGTGGGAGAGCTCCACGGACGGTGTTAGTATCAAGCCCATGCATGACTAGATTGTTGAGAAGAAAGTCGATGGCGTCCTTCAATCCGCCAGCATTGTTTCGGGTGAAGACAATGTGGAAGGCTTCGATCTGCTCTTCTTTGCCATCGGTAGTTTCCGTCTGCGCTTGCTGAAGCTGAGCATCGACCTCGTGCTGGGTCTTGAGCTTGTCGAGAATATCGGCCTTGAATTCGGCAGAGCGGAGGTACTCGCTGAGTTCGGTGGTGGAGGGGAAGGCAAGATCGTGGGATTCCGGAACCATACCCAAAAACTCGTCGACTGCGAATGGCACCTGATATTCAGGACCGGACACCGTAACAATGTCGCTAGCTTCCTCAGTGCTAGGGAAGGTGATCTTGCAGTTGAACTTCTTCTCCAACTCGTCGATCTTGTCTAAACGAGCAATAAGTTCTCGATGGTATAGGCGGTTGATGTTGATAGTCTCAGAGACGAACTCGGCATCAGCCTTTTCAACCATGTCCATGATCTCTTGCTTGACCAAGTCAAGATTCTGAGCATTGCGCGCAGGAGTACGACAGATGACATTATCCACCTTGATGTCGTCCTCCTCTTTACCGAAGCCGCCGCGGTCCATGGCGTTCGAGAACTTCACGAAGACAGAGTACTTCTTCATGATGCGCTGGATGTGCTGACCGCCGATACCGATAATACGCTTATGGTACTGGTCAGGAACATGGAAGGAGATGGAAGCAGGCATCTCCTGTTCGACAAGATCTAGACCGTTCTTTGTGGCCTCGTACTGAGCACCGCGGACTACGATGTAGAAGTTGTACTCGTTGAAGCCATCGAAGACGATCTGAACACTGCTGTGGCTCATAATCTTGTTGATCTTGCCGTTCTTCTTACCGCTGACGAATTCCTTGTGCTCGTTTGCGAGCTCGATCTTGACGCTCATGTTGTACTGAGATTTCTTCACGAATGGGATGTTGCTGATGACCATCAGTGCAGCTCTAACAGCATCGTCAGATCCATAGATGTGGAAGTTGAGCTTCTCAAAGCTGACTTCAGCGCCGGAGTTGATGCAGATATCGGAGAGCATAGCGCGAACATCGGCGGGTGTAGGTGGTCGCTGCGTAGGGTCAGGATGGGTAATGAACCACGAAGCACTGTAGAATTGGCCGGCCTGGTTATGATTAGTATAAATCCGAGTACAGTGCGTGCGACAAACTCACAAGCTGCATCAGTTCGCGCACAGTACGCTCGACATGCAAGACGTCAGTGCCCTGGACACGCACAACACCACGCTGAACGCCAAGAGGGGGCAGTAGGATGTACGAGCCGTTGTTCTCAATAATCTTGCGCACCTTGTCCAGACGCTCCAACAAGATGGCGTCAAGCTTGGTGTCAGTGACCATGACAGGCTTCACAAAGACCTTGGTGGACATGACAAGATCGTGCAGACGTTGCTTGGCGCGCAGTATATTTTCCGAGTTCTCACCCGTAATGTATACTAGGTCATCAGGCCTTCGCTGGGCACCCGGCGGTGTGTAGCCGAACAGGCGAGGGAAGGGTGGGGGAAAGTAGATGGCTGTGCCTGTGGCAGACTCGATCATCTTAATATTCTTGCGCCCACGTCCGCATATCAGCGTATGCATAGTCAGCTCTAGCTTCATGGTATCGACGGTCCGCTTGAGCTGTGACGGCATCGGATTAGCATATTGCGCTAGCGGGCATCTGTGGGGCTCGCAGAACTCACAATCTGGTCGATCATAATCAGCACACGCGTTTTTGCATGCTCCATGGTCTCGAGATCGCCGTAGATGGCACAGCGCAGACGCGGGTCCATGCCTGTGTCAATGTTGCCATGGAAGCTCGCCGTCTCGATATCGGGCTGCTTGGGCATCAGCAGGAAGATGTCAGCCTTGGTGGCCTTTGAAATCATGTCGAGCTGTTGAAGCACGGCACCCTTGACATTCTGCGAGGGCGGGTCGATGATGAGCTGCGAGTCAATATCGACAAAGGACGATCGCTGTGCCAAGACGTCAGCATGTGCTTCACGGGCGTAATCCCAGCATCATCAGCCTACCAGAGAGATGGGCGTCGAGTTCAAGATGCGGCAGCGCATCGAGTTGACTATTTCCAGCTCGCCAGACAGGCACACGTTGGTGACGAGCGCCCGCAACGGGCCCCGCTGCAGGCCGGGTAGCGGCTTCGACTCGGCCGACGTGACGTTGGCCGAGACGCGGCCCTCAGTCTGCTCGCTCACTTCTCGACACAGGTTCCGCAGGTTGTCGACATTCTGGGCGTGGACAGGCAGCTTGTGTGTCGGGGTAGCATCTGCCGTGCCTTCCGGGTGAGTCCACCGCGCCTTCGCCCCCGGGCTTGCCCACATGATGTCGTCCGGGTCGGGTCCGGCGAGGTTGGAAGAAAAGGGCACGTTGAAGGACAGATTGACCTGGGTGCCGGGCGGTATGACGGGAGGCTGTGACGTCGCCGTCGAGGGACGCTTGATCGGAGCTGTGACGGGCATTTCGTGGTTGGACCTCGAGAAGGAAAAGGCCGTGGACGGAGCCATTTTCTCCCAGCCGTGACGGGCCTGTGCCGGGAAGTTTGATAATTTGTGCATGGTGGTGGAGTCGACGCCCTAGGTGTTGGCGGGCGGGAGGTGGTGGGAGTGGGAGAAAGAAGAAGGACGAGGAAGACCGGAGGGCAGCAGCTGTCGAGCGAGCGTCGAGCAAGGCGGTGCCTGGTTGTGATTGGCTTGTCACATGTGCTTAGTGGGCCACGAACACCATGACCATGGTGCAACAAAAAGAAGATATTCACCCCTTCCCACCCCCCAGCCCAAAAGCAGAAGCTTCTACCGCCCTTCGAGATTGGTCCCTTGAATTGCAACTTGACGTGCTTTTTTCTTCTGGTCGTGTGCCATGTGCTGTCCGCGTGCTTGCAGTGCCTGTTGAGCTGTGCTGCGTCGTGTGGGCCGGGAGGCGCCCTGCCAGTCTATCGCCAAACAAGCATAGCCGGCGCTCAGACAGGCTCGGTATTACAGCATCATGGCATATCCGAGTAAGAATAGAAGTCTAGAAGGGCTCCAATCACACCCTCTTTTCTACAAAGTATAAACCTCGTCGCCCTCGTCGCCTCGAGCCCTCACCTTTGCAACCACTCCACGCGCGTCAAACAGGCACGGTTGCGTGAGAAACACTGTGCGTGTGTGTGACGAAACAGCCCTTGTAGCTGGATCCTCGAGGCAGTCCGCGCTCCCCTCAGGATCCATCTGTCTACGTGGGGATGCGATCTGCCCATCTCTTGGTGTCAGAGCCCACTGCGCGGTTACGTCTCCCCTGCAGTGCGATGACGGGTGCCCGCTCACCAGACTCAAAACGGAAAACCTTACTCTCTAGTCGGCACCACAGCCGAGGAGCCCTACCTGTGCGCAGGTGGCACTGAGACACTGATACTTCGAGTCACTGAAGAGCACCTTCCAAGAGTAGGAGTGGATACTGCATCCAAATACAAATGCAAGTGAATACACCGCGCTAGCAATGGCTATCCAACGCTATAGACTCTTACAATTCTCTACAACACCAACGCCCATCACACACACTAACTAGGGTATCCTACAACCATTCAACACAAATCTATCGTTCCAACGAGCTCTAGTAGCGCGTGTACATGCGACGCGGCTCCACAAACGGATCTGAGGCCACTTCGATAGGTCCTTCTTCGACATATCGCCTACCCTGAGGTGCACCAACATAGCGACGCTCATCAAAAGGCTCCTGCATAACACTGACCTCACGGAATCGAGGCTGTGAGGCGCGAACCGCAGATGGCTGTATGCTCTCATGGCGAACATAACCTTCAGGCACTTCTCTTCGAACAACTTCTGGGCGCATACTGTACGATCGTGCAGACGCGTACTCTCGTGGCGGGCCCATCTCTTCATATTGTGGCGCAGGCCGGTATTCCACCTCTACAGGACGCCGGGATGGCTCCCGTTGCCGATACGGACTCTCAATCATCTCAGACTCCGATGCTTCAACGTAGCGTCGAGGCGGTGGAGGCATCCTCTGAACAGCGTCCTCTTCATACAACTCTGCACGTGCGGGTGCACGCATTGTTGGCTCCCGCGTTACAGCGCGCTCATAGTATGGCTCAACCTCCACTCGTCTGCTAGGTGGCGCCATCGACTCTCGCGCATCCACTGGTGCTGCGTAGTATTTGTTTCCAAACTGATCTACGACAATACGGCGTGGCGGTGGAGCCATGAGCTGCTGAGATGGCATGTATTCATGGATAGGTGATCGTGAACGTTCGCGTATGTATCTGGGTGCGGCTGATGGGCGAGCTGACGCTTCTCGGTACATCGGTGCCTCAGTACGATCGACGAAGGCGTGAGATGCTGCGCGAATCTGGCGAGGCTCGGGTGCTGCGTACAACTCATTGCCACCACCACCTGGCGAGTAAGGTCGTCGTGCATATTGAAGACTTGCGACCCGCCTGAGATCTTGTTCATCACGTAGAGATTTGCGTTGTGGTGTGCGTATGACAGTTGGAGACGAAGGCTCATCGTACTCGCGGTAAGGTCGTGTGAGAGGTTCCGGATCACGATAATACACAGGTTGCAACCTGGGACTGTTCTGCGCGGATACAAGCTCTACTTCATCGGGATGAGGCTGCAGCGCACGTCGCTTACTGGGCTGCGAATCGGGGTATGCAGCGAAAGGAGGAGGTGACTGCGGCTCTTCTTTAATGTACGGCTCGGGCGAGTTGGCCACACGTTTGCTAGCCTGTTGCTGTTGTTGGCGCTTCTTCTCGTCGCGCTCGCGCTTCTCTTCTCTTCTCCGCTTGCGAGGGTTTTGAACTGGTGCTGCAGGACCGTTCGGGCTTTGACGGCGTGATCTACAAAGCGTTAGTATGAAGATGATTGAGAAGATATAAACAGATGAGGAAGCGAAGAGAGGCATGCAAGAACAGCCATGACTGGCCTCAAGGCAGCAGAGCTGATGGTCCACAGTATGGCAACACTCGCTACCATACAATCATGGCTGAACCTGAATAGATAAGCCGCCGCAGGTGTAGTGAAGACCAAGCTGGTGATTCGACATGCGAAAAGAAAAAACGTTGGAATGAGAAGGTAAGAGAGTTCTTTAGTATCATACCCATTCGTACCCCCATGGCGGTTGCGCTGCCGACCCCTAAGAGGCTCGCTTGGGCCGATCTCGGCTGGAGGCGGAGAGTAGTCTTCCTCTTCTTCACCATCCTCATGCAGTTGTGCAGGCTCGGGTTCATAGATTTCTATGTCATCGGCCGGCTCATAGGCCTCTTCGTCGAGATCGATCACAGTAGGCTCAGCCGGGCGAGAGTGGACATTCACATGCTGGGCTGCTGGCTGCGCCTGTGAAGTCAGTGGAGCTACATCAGCATGGGCGTGGTCAGCGTGATCAACATCCTCTGAGGACCAACTGTTCGCCTTGCTAGAGTAGTACGAATTCTCGTCAAATGACTCAACGTCATCGCTGTTGTTAGTCGGAGACGGTAAGCCAGACACAGGCGGAACCAGCTGGTGAGCCTTGATCAAACACTGCTCGACATCGATGAGAGCTTCTCGCTCGTCTGCATCGTTGCCACGACCCTTTTTATCGAACTGATCCTTCAGGGCGCGCTCTATCTGTTGCCGCTTCAGCTGCTGCTCTGCCTTGACCAGGTGTTCGGATTTTGTGAGCAAGATGGGATCGATGCTCGAAGAGGAAGACTTGGCCGAGTATGGTCGCTGTGTAGGGGGTAAAGGAGATGTGGGAGGCCGTGTGGAGGATGCTGGACGCGGAGGAAACAGCTGCGATGAAGATCCGTTGGATGTGCCGTTGGTCGTGGGTCTGCTAGAAGCAGTCTGCGGAAGACGCGGTGCAACCTGTTCAATTACTTTGGGTGGAAGATGAATACGCGGGTGTTTGCTAGCAAGCACTTCATCGCGTATCTGCAAAATCTTCTGGAGGAACTCGGCCTCTCGAAGCACCTCTGCAGACACTGCGCCGGCACCGTTCAGATGCGACGGCGGCGCTGCGGCTGTCGACATTGAAGCGATTGGTGCTGCCATCACAACAGACGCGAAACTGAGCTTAGTACCAAACACCAACAAGCGAGCGCAAGACTGGCGATTATACAAATACAGGCGGCACCCGCGACTGAGCTGGGTGGGAAGATGATGAAGGGGAACGAGTTTCAGCAACACGCCAGCAGGTGGGTAATGAATGTCGGAGCCACGGCGCGTTCTGGTTTTCAGCAGGTGCACGCGCCAGTAATGCCACTAGGCCTGAAGGGGATGGTGGCTTCCTCATGTACTCATCACGGTTTCGATGACTGTAAATGTAACAATCGCGTCTACTTGAGAAGTACATTGAACATTCGCCTCGCTTTCGTCTACACTGCCGCAAGGTATGATGCTTGATCTGTATTATCACGAACACCATAATTAAAGCTTACACCAAGTAGACAATCTTTGGAATCTTCCAACGCCACCTATCCAGACAACACAACTTGGATAACTTAATCATCCCAACCCATTTTAACATTCAATTGCCTGAATCAATCCCTCTGTATCCATAAAGTTGAAGCCATGTCTTTCAACACAGCAGCGCCTCCGGAGAGCATGGAGTATCGTCAATATGACTCAACAGCAAACAACAACGCCACAGTGGACGAGAACGAAAAGCCAGTCTTCTTCTTCGATATCGACAACTGTCTCTACTCAAAGAGCCTTGAGATTCATAGAATGATGGCTGAGCTCATTGACCAATTCTTCCAAAACCACTTGAGCTTGTCGCAAGAAGATGCCAACGAACTCCACTACCGGTATTACCGCGAATATGGTCTTGCCATCGAAGGACTCGTTCGTCACCACAAGGTCAATGCGCTAGAGTACAACAGCAAGGTTGACGATGCGTTGCCTCTGGAGGATGTCATCAAGCCCAATCCAGAACTGCGCAAGTTAATCGAGGACATCGACACGAGCAAGGTCCGGTTATGGCTCTTCACCAATGCCTATATCAACCATGGCAAGCGTGTCGTCAAGCTTCTGCAGGTTGACGATCTTTTCGAGGGCATAACCTTCTGCGACTACGGCTCGGACAAGTTCTACTGCAAACCGCACGTGGAGATGTTTGAAAAGGCGATGGCGGAGGCTGGTATCAAGTCGAACGAGAAGTGCTACTTCGTGGGTGAGTGAGACCAAAAGTTCCCTCTACACATGGTTTGCTAATGTCCTGACGCAGACGATTCTTATATTAATTGCAAAGCAGCCGAGGGACGTGGGTGGAAGACGGCGCATCTGCTTGACGAGAACGACCCTGCACCCGCTCAGCCAGCAAGCAAGTACCAAATCAGGAGCTTGCAGGAGCTACGCAAAATCTTTCCAGAGGTCTTCAAGAGTTCATGAGACGGTACATATAAACATATCGTGTTTGCGCAAAAGGATAAGCAGGGTTCATGCAGCTGCATCAGATGAATCGTGCGGATCTTCAAGGCTATAACGATGATGACTACATCATAGACTAGATTCAAACTGGATAGAATAATCACAAGATTAACACTAGAGCGTTAAGACCAAAGGTTGGATCTACGGAATAGTTTACATTGCGGGTAACCATGGCTCGGTCTCTTATCGTTCGTAAGCACAAAATGCGCTTCTCCGTTGCCCTTGCGTGTTCTTACGACCAAACGTAGCACCAAATTCAGGCAACAACGTCCCGAGACTTTTTAATCCGTGTCCAAAACTCTACATTCTCGATCTAGGTTACCAATGAAGACAACAAAGCAATATCAAACCATGACTTCAATAACTACCACGAACACAACCCCACCCGCCCCGCAGTCCTCCGCGTTACCCCCAACACACCCCTTCAACACCTCAGCCAACGCAACAACACTCGCCGACCACACCAACCAACTCCCCATCCTATCCGGAAAAGTAACACCTCAACGAAAACCCCTCCTACGCCTTGAACTCCGTGACCTATCCTCCGATGGCGCACGCGCCTTCCTCCGCCTCATCCACGCGTCCAACGCGCTCGAATACGCCGTCGACGCTGTCCTCAGCTGTCTCTACAGTGACCTGCCCATATCATGTATACCTGGCACGCGCTCCGTCACCCTGATCTTGCGGGAGATGGACGGCGTTGCATACACTACGGGACGAGATCTCGATGACGACCACAAGGAGATACATCTAAACACAAGCTACATATCACATGTACCTGAGTCGCGGCAGAAAGAGGAGATCATGGGTGTTATAGTTCATGAAATGGTACATTGCTGGCAACACAATGGACAAGGCGCTGCACCTGTGGGCCTCACGGAGGGCGTGGCGGATTGGGTGAGGCTGAAGGCTGGGTATGCGCCGCCGCATTGGAAGAGGCATGGAGATTGTGATTGGGACGCTGGGTATGAGAGGACAGGATATTTCCTCGAGTGGTTAGAGAAGGAGCATGGGAAGGACGTTGTGAGGAGGATCAATGAGGGATTGAGAGAGGAGAAGTACAATGGCGAGAAGTTGTGGAAGGGGTGCTGTGGGGAGAGTGTTGAAGAGTTGTGGAAGGCGTATAAGAAGAGTTTGGAAAGCTGCGAGTAAGGGTCTGGTACTGAGGATAGGTTATCGGAAGAATTATTTGGAGTATCACAATAGGGACGGATTACTTTGTGAAAAAAGAATCCAGAACATGCAACAAACCGCGGTTATATCACGGGCGGTTCCATATACCAACACATTATCTCTACGATACCTACCAAAGATCTCGCCCCCAAATTTACCTCCGCCTCCTCGCAGGAGCAGCCTTTCTTGGTGCCGCCGCTTTAGGTCTCGAAGCTGCTGTCGGTCTCAGAGCACTCTCTGCGGCACTCTTCCCGGCCTCTTTCCTCTGATATGCCATTCCTTGCTCTCTGTCACGTTCTCTCTGCTTTGCAATTTTCTCCTCTTCCTTCCTCTGCGCTGCAACCATCATCTCTTTTTGCTTTCTCAGCTGCGCGTCTGCTTTGTCTCTTTCCTTCTGTTGCGCCTTAGCAGCCTGGTCTTTCTGTTTCTGCTCAGCCTTTGCGATCTGGTCCCTCTCCTTCTGCTGAGCTTTGAGAACTCTGTCTTGTTCCTTCTTCTCGGCCTTTGCAGCCTTATCTAGTTCCTTCTGGTAGACAGCTTGGTCGTGGGCGGCCTCTTTTTGTTTAAGCTTCTCTTCCTTGTCGTGCTCTTTTCTTCCAGTCGCTTCTTCTTTGGCGGCGGTCTTCTGCCTGAGTTTCTCTTCTTTATCAGCTTCCTTGGCTGCTAGCTTCTGTCTCCTTCGTTCTTCTTTCTCGGCGATTGTCTGCTTGAGCTTCTCCTCTTTGGAGACCTCTTTGGCTGCAGCTCTGAGTTTCGACTTCTCTTCCTTTTCCGCAATCTTCCGCTCTAGTTTCTCTATTTTGGCCGCATCTTTTGCTGTTAGTTTTAGCCTCCGATTCTCATCTTCAACAGCTTCTTTTGCTGCCAGCTTTTGTTTCCGCTTCTCCTCCTTGTCAGTATCTTTGGTGCCAGCAGTATCGTGCTTTGCAGTAGACTTCTGCCTTAGCTTTTCCTCCTTGTCTATTGCCTTCTTATCTGATGCTAGTACCTTTGCTTCAAGCTTCTGCCGTGTCTTCTCCGCCTTCTTAGCCTCCTTATTGGCTTCTGTGGGGCTAGTCTTCTCAGACTTTCCAGCATACTTTGCATCTTTGTCGTTCGGAGACCCTTTAGCATTCGGGAGTTCTTTCTTATCAGCCTCCTCAGCCTCCTTCGTGTTAGCTTTCTCAGTCTTGTGCACCAATCTCAACTCCAAAGCTGTTCTCTTAACTTCAACTTTCGTTGCATTCACCTCCTTCTTATGTTCGTAAGCCTCTTCCTTAGCGGCTTTGGGTTCTGAAGCCATATCGTCTTTGCCGTCTGACTCGAAATCTCCAGTCTTACTCTCCTTGTGCTCAGCGCCCTTTCCGTCTTTCGTGGCTTTTCTCTCGGCCCTCTTTTTCGCTATGATAACTCCCTTCGGTGATCCCCCTAAGTTCTCTGTGTCCCTGTCTTGTTCTACGAAGCTCTCCTGGTTGGGTTTTGCACCGTCTCCTTCGTTCCGCTTCTCCTTTTGACCATTGGCATCTGTCTGGTCTGTAACCGCACTGCCATTTTTGACACCCGACTCAGTAGCCTGTTTCCAGGCGTCAGCATCCTTTTTCGCTGCCTTCTTGTCCTGCTTCACTGCTTTCCTCTCAACTCGCTTTTTCTCTACTTCTCCCTCCATACTCGTGGGTAGCTCCATCTCGCCTTTCTGCTCGCTATCTACGCTGTCTTTTCCCATTCCGGCCACCCGTTGTCGGATATTGGCATCTTTCTTTGCTGCTTTCATGTCTGACTTTGCCAATTTTCTATTGGCTCTCTTCTCCAAAACCAAGGTTTGATCTGTACCAGATTGTAGTTGGGTAGTGCTTTGAACTCCACCTTTTCCATCCTTGTCAACTTTACCTTGACCATTGAAACTATTGGAATTTTGCTTAGTCTTGGCTTTCTTAGTTTCTCTTTTCAACTTCCTCTCTGCCTTTTTCTTTGCTATGAGATTTGCTTCCTGTGCTTCTCGCTCCGCCTTTGCATGTTGCTCCGGTGTGAGGTTGACATGCATGCCATTCTGCTCGTGCCGATGTCTTTGCTGACCATGGCCTGAACAACGCTCGCCTCGATGATCATGACGTACAGCGCCAGTGTGTGGCACGCCTGGGTGTCCCTCTAGATGCTGTCTTCGATTCTCATCCCATTGGTCTTCTTGAAAACTGCCTTCCTCACCATACGCTTGTCGATTCTGGTCTCTACATGCTGTATCGTAAGTTTGGGGTACTGGGATATCGCGAATCTCTTCGGTGGCTGTATGGGATTGTCGAGCTGTGCCTCTCTGTGGCCTATCCATGGTACTGCTGGTCTCTATATGTCGTTCCTCTTCCTCTTCCCTCATACGCTGCTTGTCCTCTTGTTGTTGTATCTTTCTCTCACGGTCAGCCTCTTTCTTGGATGCTCTATTCTCTTCCTCGGCCTCCTTCCTAAGCCTCTTATCTTCAGCTTCAGTTTCTCGTCTAGCCCTATTATCGTCTAAGTCTCTTTGATGTTGCTGCACCTTGTCTTCCCGTTGCATAGCACGTTCCTCTAGACGATACGCGGCTTCAGCAGCCTTCTGGTCTATCTTGTGTTGCCTCTCACTCAATCGGCTTTGCATGTTTGTTTCCTGTTCAGCCTTTCTAGCTTCCTGTGTCATAGCCCGCTCTTCGAGACACTGAGTTGCCTCCATGGCTTTGCGATCCGCTTTCTCCCGTGCCCGTTCGATTTTATCAGCTGACTGGAGTTCTCTTTCTGTTTTGCGAGCTTCTCGATCTATCTCTTGTTGCTGTTGCCGCTGAGTGGCTTCTTCAGCCTCCCGATCCCGCCTTTCTTCTGCCTGGGTCGTCTTCATCTCCAGATCGTTCGCTCTCTTCTCCTTCTTAGCTTCGTTGTCTATATCGCGCTGCCCTCTTCTCTGCTCAGCTTCCTCAGCTCTTCTTTCTCGCTTGGCCCACAGCCCTTTTCTGGTTTGATTTGTCGGCAACGTCTTGTGATTCTTGTTGTTCTTGCAGCTGTTGCTGTTCCTGCTGGGCCTGTTGCTGTAGCTCGATCTCTTCAGCTTCCTGTGCGGCTAGCTCTTCCGCCTCTATGGCAGCGAGTTCGTCATCCGCCTTCTTCTGCATTGTCTGCTCCATCTGAAGTGCTTGTTGGCGTTTCTTATATTTGCCGTGCTTCTGCGAAGTCACATAGGCGGCAGTTTCTGCTGCTTCTTGCTCTGCAGCTAGTCCTGCTTCTTCTTCGGCTTCCTCCTGTATCTGCTCTTGTCCTAAAGTCTCCTTTCGCATAGCAGCATGTATCTGTTCATGACGCTCCCGAGCCATTGTCTGCCTTTGTGCTTGGACATGAAGATGCTGTACCTGGTCTTGCTCTTCTTCTTGTACTATGTCTTCAGCATCCTCTTCTTCGTCCACCAGTCTTTCTTCTAAAGCTCTATGTGCTGGCACAGCTTGCATCTGCTGCTGACGTTGCCAGCTAAATGCTTCGTTTCGCGCATGGACTTGCATCTGAGGTGCTACCCCATCTACCTGTGCATGAAATGGTTGTCCTAAACCTACATCGTCTTCATCAGTGCCCTCTTCTTCCTCAAGTTCTTCTATCACTCCATCGCCATATTCCTCTTCTTCTTCCTCGTCCTCTACTTGTGTACTCACCAGATCTGGAGGAATTCCCCCCTGACCTCGAAGTTGCTGTATCGATTGCATGCGTTGTTGTTCATTGAATTGCTGTCTCGCCGGCACGTCGCGTCGCTGCTGCGATCGAACAATCACTTGAGAAGCTTGTGTGGATTTTAGAAGAACCTGAACAGTAGCCGGGTCTCTGTTCATTTCAATGGGAACTTTCTGATTCGAACCTGCTTCTCGTACCTTCCGTCTAGCTGCCTCTGTGATAGAAAGAGCTTGTGGCTTGTCGACGACGGGCTGTATTGGAACCTGCTGCTATGAACCATTGTTACTCTTGTCGGCTTCGCTGTCGTCCTCAGAAACCCCGTTGTCTGAAGCATGGTCATGATCGCTCTCCTCGGCAGTACTCCCATCCAACGACTCATCTTCGCCGTCATCTGTACTTTCAGCTTCGCTATCAACTATGTCATTAAAATCGCTATCTTCTTCAGCTTCATCTGAAGTCTCCTCGTCTTCACTGACTTCTTCTTGTTCTTCGTCGTCACTGATTTCTTTTTCGCTATCGACGTCCTCAACACCGAAATTGCTATAGTCAGAATCGTCTTTATCATCTGGGGCAATAACGGGAAATTCTTGATTGAGTTGATGAAGTGGAATGTCAGGTTTGCTCGAAAGTTGAGAGCCTGCAATAATCGCATGTGCTGTTGCCATGATATTCAGTCTTACCAGCATAAAGCTGTATGGTTCTGCCTAGGATATGTGATAGAATGATGAATCCTTGAGAGAGTTCCTAGCTTATGCGGAAAAGGAAGAGCAACCACGTAAGAGACTTTATATTTAACATAGCAAATAGGCTGTCGTATAACGATGAAGGCTGCTGTGATAGTCTGTCATTGAATTTGACATCAACTGCGTGAAGTGGACAGTATGCACGTGGAGATAGAATCAGTACTCTCGTTTCTGCGTTCTTCATACTTCCGCATGGTACCTTGATGCACAAATACGGTGATGCCCTTGCCCTTCCTGCTTCACTGCCAGCACCGCTTTGGATTTTGACTTGTAGTCAAGTTCCAACAAGTAAAGTGAATATTTTCAGTTTATTACTGATCATCCAAGGCTTATATTTGCCAATCAAAGCTGTGATATAGCAGTTCGATGTGAATTATAGTACGCTCTACCTATTCAAGAAGTATGGATCGCTACTAACAGGAGATAGATCTGTTACGATATACTTACACAGCTGTCAGTTGATAAACCATTACATTGAGCGGCACACTTCCATTCATCGACCTATCCAGCTCCAATCACATCGATGCCTCTCTCTACAATAAGATCAACCCCACCAAAACCACGAAACACAGTCTCATCTATCAAAATCCAACGGTATTGGACATGTGCATCATCGTTCCCAGAAAGACCTGCCCTACCTGTGGACAAGGTGGCAAAGGTCATGATCCATATACACGAAGGGGTTCAGATACGATTAATTGTGGAAAAACCGGCCCATTGTGCGAAAGAATTGTTATAGGTGATACCAAGGGGAAGAAAGGGGATTGCGAGGCATGTGTCTTGGAGAGCACATATGAACAGAGGAAGACGGAGGGTAATTTGACAGAGAAGGAGAAGAAAGCGGAAAAAAAGAAGGATGCAAAGATAAGGCTTAAGCTGGATGTGGAAGAAAAGAGAAAGAAACTGTGGCCTAGTGCTGAATGAAGCTAGTCTCATGATGATGATGTGAGAAGCAGATAATGGGACGTCTCTATGAATCGAAAAACGTTAGCTTGTGCTGAACTCGTGTTAAAGTTCCGTCCGGTAGCGATGGAAGTCAAGCGCATACTCGTAGATCTCGTCTCGTAGCTCGCGTGGTAGATCAAGAAGGCGGAAAGGCTTTTCGTTGTAGTGACTGCTCATGATGCTTGGCAGAGGTGGTGTGAAGAAGATGTGGTTAAGTTGAGCCCGCTGACGTTCAGGCGTACACAGCTGGTAGTGGCACCTGATCTTCGCTTCACTTCGCCTAGCGCATTGGACAATGTGCGTTTTGAGTATGGACATCGACGTAATCCTTCCGCGACTGGACGAAGAAGAGTCATCGCTTTCAACTTATACTCCTGCTTGAGCTTCTGTCCATGGGAACAGAGACGTGCTAAAGTCGTAAAGTATTATGGTATTGACAGCGTGGTATGAGAACTTGTTGGGTAGCCTTCCAGTCCGAGTTCCAGGTGATACGCCGCCAGAAAATCGCACTGAAGCGCTTAGAATACATGCCTAGGCAACCAGTTTACAGCCGTCTCCATAGCCCTCAACTCCCAAACAACCCGCTCGCCGGCGTACCCATTGTATTGCGATGCAAAGCTCACGTTGGCCATTGGCCGTGCCAACGCCCGAACTAGCGAAAGACAACTCTTACTCTACGCCCTCAACCTTTCTCAAAAACTCCCTGACCCGACCTACTTCGACGCCTTCTCCTTCTTCGCTGTCCAAAGCCGCCACTAAGCCCTCAAGACACTCTTCAATCCTGCTCTCCTCTACCTTCGTGCATAAGCTAACGACCTTGCGGTACATCATCTCCAGTTGCCCATCTTTCTCTTTCAGCATCTTGCTACGTTTGAGTAATGCGCCGTTCGCGTTCGTGTAAGTATGAAGTCGTTGTTGGAGGACCGAGGCAGCAGGCAGTTGCTGAACGGCATAGGTCTGATATTGCGGTTGATGCGATACCTGCTTGAGCGTTGCCGGGTCCAGTGGAATAGTTGTCGATAGATAAGAAGCTCCATCTGAAGCCCGACAATCTAGATGATCACCCGCTTGCCGGAGCTCATAGGGCAGGTCGTCTTCCTTGATGAGTATACCTGCACCTTCCAGATCGGCGTATCCTATTCTCTTCTTTTCATGCAGGTCGATGTCACCTGCATTGACGGAGAGCATGTGTCGTTGTGGCTCGAGCCAACGCTTCAGATTCGATATTCGCTTGGCCCGGTCTTGTCGTACACGTAACCGAGCACGTAGGGACTCAAGTCTTTGTTGCTCCTGCTTTTGTTGAGTGGATAGTTGGGTGATCAGCTCGTTCGTTTGATCTATCGCGTCTTGTTTTAGACGCGCTTCTTGCGTGAACTGCATCGAAGCTGACTGAAGGATGCCATTCATCACTGAAATTCCTGTTAACGAGTGGCTCTCTGAAACTAAGGTGAGTCTCGACTTACATGGTTGTATCTCTCGGCTAGTCTCCTCAACTTTGCTCAAGGGCGCCTTGCCCTTGCTGGGGCTGTTTGCGGCCATGATGACTTCGCCGTCGCCAAGATCACTGCCAACGCCAAAGTCGACCGGTCTTGTTCCTTTGTGATTGGGGATCGTCGGGTCCGCTTGTACTTCCATGAGTTGTGAGATGATGTTGCGGTTACCTATTCTCGCTGCTAGATTAAGTGCTGTGTTGCCGGCTTTGTCCCGCGCGTTGACCATTTCTTGCATGAACCTCATCAGTCCTATGGGTTTCGGGTAGTTGCTAGTGTCGTGGAAAGAAGGCATCTGGCTGGCGCCGATATTGCTCCGTACAAGATACTCAAGAAGTGCTTCGAGGTAGTACTTGCTGGAGGCCGCACGCCCTTTTATAGCACACGTTACCGCAATGTGGTGTAATATCGTCCGTCCTTGAGAGTCTCGTAGTTCGATGAGCGGCGCCAAGATCTCGAGCGTCTCCGGGAAGCAGCTATGATCCAGGCTGTTGTTGACGGAAACTGCACTCATCAACGGTGTCTGGCCGGAAGCGTTTCCCCTAAACATGTTCGCTCCTTTTGAAACCAACAGCCTCATCAACGACACTCGGGCCAGAGTCGCTGCCCAATGTAGCGCTGTATTCGAAGTGTTGTCGATTGGCATGTCGAGATCAGCGCCAGAGAGATGGAGTATGGCGGGGTGGTTGGTGAAGTCTGTCCTAGTCTGGTCCGCGAATAGATCAGTTAACATGGCCTGTTTTTCTTCGTTGTGCTTGGTGTCGGGGTGTGGTAAAGGTGGTAGTGCCGAAGGAACCTCGCCATCGGGAAGTTGGATGCGTTGTCCAGTGTGGTGTGGTTGGTAAAAGCTCTCACTTGGTTCTGTCGGCGAACCAAGATCACGCATTGACATGTCTGCTCCGTTGGGCTGCGAGTATGATTCGTCTTGCGATGTGCGCATGCGCTTTCGTGGTGGCTCTTGTGGGTCTTCTATGCCTGTGCCGTAGGCCGAGTCGTTGTGCCCTTGCCCGCTAAAACTACGCTCCGATGCTACGCTCTGCTGGCTGCTGGTGCGGAAAGATTCTTGGCTGGCGAGTGGTCCTTGTGATGGTCGTGCCATGCTTCTTCGGCCCTGCGATGATGAGGCAGGTCGTGGGGCAGGTGAGTTCAGCCGCGCGACCTTGTTCATTGCTGCAAGGGCGCTGGTGGCTGTGGAGGAGATGTTACTGAAGAAGGTACCGCCGACGCTCTGGCTGGTGGTGCGGCCGTCCATACTTTGGGTGTAGAAGCGCTTCCTGTTGGCTGCCATGGCCTGCTCTTTGGTGGGCGTCTCGATGCCCTGGCCCTGGCCTTGGTTGCCGTCAACGCTGATGTCGTAGTCCAGCAGTGGTCGCAAAACATCCTCGACACCGTACTGGCGACAGAACTCTCGTCCGCGGCGGTAGTTGATCCAGGTGCCCTGGTACTTGCCGTAGCCACCCTGGACCTTTTCGTGTTCGCCATTCAGTATCTCTTTCTCCAACACCTTGGTGCGCTTCCCCTTGTCGACGCCAGCAACCTTCAGGATCTGGGTAGCGTTGAGCCAGCCGTCAGAGCGTCGGCGCATGACAGCGACCCGGTTCACTTCCATTTCGTAGACGGAGACGCCCGAGTAAACAGCCTAGGTTTGTTAGCGTGCCAATGCGACGGCAATGTTGTTGTTGTGGTGGTGGTGCGTACGGTGTATATCTGCGGCTTCTCCATGGCGTGCTGCTGGAAGCCGTTCATGTCGGAAAAGGACCGGTTGAAGCCAGCGGGCGCAGCCATGAGTCCCTGACCATGGGGAGATTGGGCGTACATGGCAGACTGGGGCGGCGAACCTGCGGGGAAGGATAGCGACGAGCGCGCGACTTGCATTATGTCAGCGCAGTCGCTGGCGGTGTTGTTGGTGACTGTACGGGTCAAGCGACGATCATGGGGGCAGTCGCGGAGGGAGGCTGGGCGGCAGCGTGGGCAGGTGCAGTCGGGGCGCGCAACGTGTGCGCTGGAAGCGGTATGCTCGGTGAAGGGGTTGCGATATGCGATAGGCGATATGCGCCGTATCAGGACTCGATGTCGGTATGCGGGTGGGCGGGGAGTGAATTGGCCGTCGTCGTGGAGAGAGTGGAGATTCGCGTCCAACGCGTCGTCGGTTGTGCGCACTCGGCCAATCACACGTCTTGCGTGTTTGATTGCCCAGCCGCAGCCACCACAGCGTCTGCTACCCTTCCGTCTCGTCTCCCGCATGCCTGTCCAGCCAGTTCACCTGCTGCGAGCCCTTCTGCGCGAAGCCTCGTACCTGCCCGATGCGACTGCCCGTAGCTACTTCCGCCGGTACATTGTCCACCGATATAAAGCCTACCAGCCCAGGCAGAACGCGACTGCTTCCTTCGATGTCCACGCCGTGGACAAATACAGGCACAGGAGCTTCAAGAGGCGCCAGACAGCCATCATAAATGAGCGCACACGACCACTGCTGAGGAGAGGAGTGAAGGGCCTGAATTTCCTGCGCCGGGCCAACCAGGGCGAGATACCATGTCTGCAAAAGGTCTTGTTCTTCGCCTACGGTCGCATGGGAAGGCGGAAGTATGCCCTGCTAGAGAACATACTGAAGCCTGACCGTATCATGGACGGTGGTGCAATCGCGGCGTCAAACGAAGCAGGTCCGGCGCCCCTGCAGAAGCTCTACTACAGCAACAAACGCTACCTCCAGTACTTCGATGCGCCCAAAGCTGCTGACAAGACGCATCACACCATCAAAATCTCCAGTCGCTATTCTCGGTTGCGTGCCGTCCTCAGGACGCAGCAGGAGAAGGCCATCTCCATTAACCGGGAGCTCAAGAGTTCAGCCATGAAGACGCCCATCAACAATTCGTGGGAGCGACCTATGCCTATCAAGCGCGCGCGCAACAATGTCCGACGCTGGTATGCCGAGACCATGACGAGGATGCTCCCTCCACTACCTACTGAAGAGTGGGACAATATATATGCCATGATGGTTGGCGACCGAAAGATTGGTTTAGCCAAACGCAGAGGACACGGTACAGCTCTGAACGCTGATCCTGTTACAGAAGACGAACTTTTCGCCAGCACGGTAGAAAAGGGCATTGCATTAGACAAGCCCAGTAAGGCGGATAAACCAGCAGGCATACAACGACCACATGCTATTACAACTAGATTTATGCAGCGCATGTATACCAAGCTTCTCATGCTCTGTTGTAAGCTCGAGTGGGATGACGACCAGAAGCGATGGAAGGCTATCTGGGGTGAGGCTATGAAGACCATCAAACCCAGCCTCTACAACGCTCCCACGGATGAAATGCTCTTTGCAGGTGTCGATGCGACTGGCAAAATCCCGAGGGCGCCCAAGAAGCATGCGCTGGCCAAATCGCTACACGTCCAGCCACGGAACTCAGAGGGCGAATACATGCGATTTCCCTTCTTCGCCGAACAACTCCCTGAAGATAACCCAATACGTAAGGAACTCGATGAGTGGAAGAGGAAGCGTGCTGCTGCTGCTGCGCGAGCAAAGAAGCAGAAGGCGTCATAAGAAGAAGCTCAGTTTATTAGGTTGTACTATAGATACTAAAACCTGTCCTAAAGGTATACGTACTGATCCGGGTTGAAGAGCTATCAAGCAAGGAACAGTGTATATCGTTAGGGTAGGTCTTAATACTTACGGTACAAGTCAGTAAAATCAAGCTCCTCCCTAGGTGGGGTAGATCCGATTCCGATTACATCTCGGACTAGTTTTACCCCACATCGCGACTACCACAGGGCGCATCTCACAATGACATAAATCAACGGCGCCCTTTACTCTACAGTCAGCCATTGCAGCGACCTTGGTAACATTACAACAACCAAAATGGCATCTTCAAACGCAACAGTTCGTCACGCGAGCCGTGAAGGTACAGCACCTCCAGCGCAATAGTGGGAGCCTACTAACAACTTGCGCAGATGTTCCTACAATTCTCGCTCTGATCGAGGAGCTTGCTCTCTACGAGAAAGCCAGTGACAAGGTCGAATCTACCGAGGAAATCCTTACACGCACCCTTGCACACTACGATCCTTCCACCTCGACCTTTTCTGAAGGCTTCGCCCGAACACTCCTCCTTACTGACCCTGACGGCACCGTAGCTGGCATGGCTCTATACTTCTACAACTACAGCACATGGACAGGCGTGCCAGGTATCTACCTGGAAGACCTCTTTGTTAAGGAGAACTACAGGAAGAAGGGTTACGGGAAGAGACTCCTGAAGGAGCTTGCTGGAGAAGTCCTGAAGGTCGGTGGCAAGAGGCTCGAATGGAGTTGCTTGACTTGGAACGAGCCCAGTCTTCAATTCTATCAGAGCGAGGCTGTAGGTGCGCAAACGAAAGATGCATGGGTGGGTCTAAGAGTGGAGGGGGACGCACTAGGGAAGCTCGCGCGTTCGTAAGCACTGAACGGGAAGTGTATTCAGTGTTTGCTGTGACTTGTTCCTGATCTTCTTCTGCTCTTGCTTAGGTGAATGAATGCCTCAGGGCCATCCACGTGAACACGCGCCTATGGGTCCGTGCGCGACAATCGTCACCAAATATCTTACTCCTGCAACTGCACCCTGGTCAAACTCCATCCCTCTCAGTCTATGGACCGATAGGACTCAGTAGCAACTTGTTGGGAGCAGCTATGCAAGTAGGTCATTATGCGTAGGGTGTGATTGGACGGTGATACTAATTCAACACAGGCTGTTGCAGCATTAGCAGGCGAAGAATATGTTTGACGACCTCCAGCGGTCTAACACCCAACGGAAAGGCTTCGAAGAGCTCATTCACCTTTGCGCCGACTGCGACAATTTCCCCGTCCCAACCGTTGAGAGTATCAAATAGAAATTCGGAATACATCGTGACGTGAGTGAGGACATCGAAGAAGCTGCCGAAGCGTACAATCTTGCTGTCTGTCGTACTATCGGTCTGGCTATGCACAAGAAATTACCACGAGAACTCCGCGACATGGTCTACGCGTACCTGACCACACTTGAACTAGAATTGTCAGACAAACCTGATCTCCACTCGCGAAAAGAATTTAGTCAACGAGTCCAACAACCAAAGTGCATGGAAGGCCTTGCCAAACCGCCGAGATATACTACATACTTTGCCTTGCAGCCTCACTCGAAGAATGATGGGCTTTGCTCAGAGTACTATTGGCGAGACGATGTCGTCAGCTCCAAAGTGGCTTCTGAGCCTATCGAATCCTGGTACCGGAACAGCACGTTCTACATGAACTACACAATAATGGATCAAGCAGAGTCCGATAAATGATTCAAAAAGCTGTTTAACAAAGATCTTTTTGGTAGTGGTTTGCAACCTCGTGAGCTCATCGCAAAGTTCAACCGCCAGATTTTGCACGATGATAAATTCCAGCAACCGACGCGAATGTCCTGCGATGTCTCGAGGGTCTGTGTTTGTTCTGGAAAGTGACACAGTTACAAGTGCTTGTGGAATTCGTCTGTAGCGATGGGGCCGTAGAGTTCAGGAGATTTATGGACCTCATACGTCCAGTGATTCTGCGTCTACGAATATCTAGTCAACGTTGCACAGTACTGGCCTTCAACTGGTACACCACAGATCTTGATGGCAGAATTTCCTGGGAGTGAGAGCAAGAAGTTAAGGTGGAGATCTAGAATGGTGACATATCGGCGCTGAGCGTCATCTAGGAGGAAGGAGTAATATACTACCTGGATACAATAAAGCCCCGGTAAATTTGTATATACCCAACAACTTCTTGACGTGCCTTGAAGGACTTCACCAACTTCCACATCTATAATAGCATTACCGGAATATACCGAATACCTTTAGGGTACTCCAAAGCTAAAACGCACTTTTGAACCCCGAGCGCTTTCGTGTAGGTGCCTTGACGGAAGCTCACATGACGTCAACCTTGGAAGCTTTCACCCAGCTTGCCAACAACCTCCGGTAGCATACTCTCTAACTACCAGCACTAGCGACTTCGGTCAGAGTGCTCGGCTCTTGGAAAATCATGAACCGGCCGATTCGAAGTCCATCATTGACGATGAATGAATATCTCGGAGGGCTCGGAAGCCTTGGGCCGCAGTAAGGCCGGCCGGCTTGTATCAATGAGGAAGGGTATGAGTGAAGCTTGACGGCAACTCAGAGAAACAATCAACATACAGACATAACCTTGCCAATTCATTTGGCGGGGTGTGATGTATCTGTTTCTTAGCCCTCCCTCAGCCGTCCTGGAATTGGGCTGACCTTGGAGAACGCACTCGATTGCTCGAACAAAACTAGTTGAGATGACGTATTGATATTAAAGAGAAATTCAAGCATACAAGCGCAAATACGCATGTAGACACCATGTAGATGTAGGTTAGCAAAAATGTAGTGCGCGCGAAAATAGCAACATTGACAGGCTGAACTACTTGGGTACCTGCGTCGTGAGACCCTGCGACCTACTCTATCATGCAGCGCCATGATCGCACAACCTCAGCTTATTTTCTTCGGAATTTCAAGCAGTGATGAGATCAGAGGCTTTCGCAGGTATTTCGGCGTTTCCCAAAATTCCGCCATAGCTGAAGGTTCGAGATAATAGCCAGCGGCAGATGTACATTTTCGGCTTCGGGAACCACCAGCAACCCGAAGCCGACAAATTGTAGGATACCACGGTAAAAGCCTACATTTGCTATTTACATCGAATTGAGTGTAGTTTAGATGTTTCAGTACTGATTGGACCAGTCCTGTTGACCGCTTGCTACTTTGAGCTCACCTTGCGAACAACCCAATTCGGATATGCCTTCGTAAGCTGGGTAGTACCCTGGCTGCTGACAGGTCACATACAGATGGCCATGTGTTGAACACCATTTGACAACGGCCCTTCTGGTCGGGTTCGGACGCTCACCTCCTTCCACGACCAGGATCAGATCTTGAGGCGCAGTTGTCTACATACCTAAGGCCATGCAATAGTCAGTATATATGAGCAGGCTGCTCTTCGGTAGTGAGATTTCCATCAACAAACAGATCAGCTTCCATCTCGTCTTCACAACTCTATCACTGCAAATATGAGCAACCGTTTCGTCTCCCCTCGTTTCGGGAGGAGAGCTGTACTCCTCTTTCTTTCTGCCTACTTCTCCAGTTACACTTTAGCAACTGCTGCACCCGAATCAGTGGACGTTGCAATCATCGGCGCTGGTCTTTCTGGTCTTACGGCAGCGCGAGAGCTCCTTCACGGTGGCAAGTCTGTCGTCGTGCTTGAAGCCAGAGACCGTGTCGGCGGCAAAGTGTACAACCACCCTCTGAAGAATGGCGGTGTCACCGAAGTAGGCGCCGAATTCGTTGGTCCGACACAGGATAAAGTCCTACAAATGATCTCTGACCTAGGACTGGAGACTTTTGATACATACGCCGAAGGGAAAACCATCTTGTGGCGCAACAGTACCCGCCTTACCTATACACCGGACCCAGCACTCGGTGGTGCACCGCCAATCGAACAGTCGTCTCTTGTTGAAGTCGCTGGTGCACAGGGGCAACTGAATGCATGGGCAGCTGAGCTCAATACGAGTGCCCCATGGTCACATCCCAAGGCTAAAGAGCTGGACAGCATGACTTTCCAGCAATTTATCGATCAGCAAGCAACCCTCTCGGACACCTCTCTTGTATTGACCACAGCATGCAAGGCCATATTTGCTGCAGAACCACGCGAACTCTCCTTGTTATATGTCGTCGCATATATTGCAGCCGCTGGAAACGAAACAACTGTCGGAACCCTAGACAGATTGATCGCCATCAAGGACGGTGCTCAAGAGAAACGGGTAGTGGGCGGAACCGGTCTCATTCCGGAAACCCTAGCGAAGAAAGTCGGCAGTGAGCATATCGCCCTCAATGCCGCTGTATCAGCTATCACCAAGACAGCCCATGGTTACAAAGTCGTTTCTCGAGCGGGAATGGTACATGCGAAGGAGGTCGTACTAGCTATGGCACCTCCGCTGCTGCGTCAAATCACCTTCTCACCATCACTTCCCACCAGCCGCAACCAGCTCAACCAAGAGATGAAGATGCCCTCGATTGGGAAAGGCATTCCAATCTACACCACTCCCTTTTGGCGCCACGATAATCTGAGCGCACAAGTCTTTTCTGACTATGGCTCCACCAAAGTAACCTTCGACAGCACCCCCGAGGACACCTCTTTCGGCGCAATTCTAGGCTTCATTCTCGGCGACGAAATGCGTGCTCTGGATAAACTGACCCCGGCGCAATGCGAGGAGAAGCTTCTGGCTGATTACAAAAGGTACTTCGGGGACAGCGCGACAAACGTGACTGAGTTTGTGCTACAGCGCTGGGACTTGGAGGAATGGTCCAGAGGAGGTCCAGTAGCGGTTGCTCCACCCAATGTGCTCACACAGCACGGAAGCGCGTTAAGAGCAAAGGTCGATGGGTTGCATTTTGCTGGTACGGAGACGAGCCCGTACTGGACTGGGTACATGGACGGCGCTATCCGAAGTGGAGAAAGAGTTGCTAAGGAGATTCTAGAGCACTGAGTGTGGAGCCGGAGTTGGGGTAGTGGTGAGCGGTTAGTGTTGTGATCGATTTACTATGCGGTTAGAACGTAATATACTTGTTTCTGTCTTACAACCAATCAATGAATATGTCGAGCAAGAGAGCCTTACGATCTAGTTCAATATACATAGTAATTACTCCAGTTTGCGGCGTGATACCCGGTGATCTGCACACCCGCTGAACCTAGTTTCCGTAGCTAAGTGACTAGTTGCTCTTTTCGACGCCAGATCGGCATGTCGTGATGTGCCTCGGCTCCAGATGAATATCACCAGGAACTTGTATAATAGGAAGCTCCAATATGGATTGATTGCTTTTTCGTCCCCGCATTATTTTGACTCGTGTATTGTTCTTTGGCTTGGTATCGTGTCAGATCACTATCACAGCAAGATATCCGACGACACCATGCACTTCTCACTCTCCCTCCTGTTTCTTTCAACCATCGCATTCTGTTCGCCAGTTCCACAGGTCCTGCCCACAGCACAAGATGTGACTCAGTCGGTGATCAACATCCATAACGCTGTTCTCGAGCTCGATGCCACAGTGCAAGCCTTCCAGGGTGGCTCTTTTGAGACAGCCATCGTTGAAGGCAAAGAGGTGCTTGCTGGCGTAGCAAAAATCCACACTGTGAACCGGGAAGGTTTCCGACGTGCGACTCTTGCTCTGCCGCCATTTAGCGTGGAGGATACGATCAAATTCATTGATACGGTGGTAGCGACTGGTTGGTTGTCACAATCTTTCCAGCACGGACAGAGTCCTAACTTTATGCATAGTGGATGTCAGCATCCCGAATGCTACCAAGCATCTTCGCGAAAAAGAGCCCGTGTTCAAGGCAAACGGCTTCTCGGCTATTGTCATCGCCAGTCTGGCATTGTTGGAGTTCGATCACGATACCTTCAGTGCGGCAGCTGCGAAAAACTTCAATCTCGCTACCGACAAGGCCAAGTTGGCTGAGGGTGTTGGAGCGGCGGCGAATATCCACAGCGTTATCCAGGATACCATCGTGTTCTACACTGTATCAACAGTAGTATAAGGAGAGACACGTAGTCAGGTTGGGCATGGCGGTGTAGTACGCGTCCGTGGGTGCCACGCACGCGCAGCTTTGTAGGAAATCGCACCCGTACCGACTACCACACGTGCCTGATTCATCGGCTTGCACCTGCACAGATCTTCCTGCATACTAAAAAGCAAACATCTCACCGATGAAGTCATCGCCTCAACCTTGTTTCCCTTGTGTACTTGCATAGTCTAGATGCCGCTAGCTCTCCCGTAGCGGCCTGATGCGATCATCGTCATCCCAACTTTGGGATCTCTGATCTTCAAACTTCCCTGCGCACATCATTTTTGTTGCGCAAACAAATAGTAACAACATTACAAGGAGCGTTTACAGTCAAATCCTTTGCAATGGGTATTTGCGGCAGCAAAGAGAAGAATGACGGCCAATCGACCGAGATGGCGCGTCCATCACAGCCCGCAGCCTCAAATACGCCGACACAACAAAACATCCCAGTGGCCGGAGAAGGTGCGACAGTGAAGGCGCGCAGGTCACCCGATAACCCGATTGTGTACTTCGACATTGCGATTGGAGGCCAGCCGATTGGGCGCATCCAGATGGAGTTGTTCCTCGATGTCGTGCCAGCCACTTCAGAGAACTTCAGGCAGTTCTGCACTGGCGAATCCAACCGTGGCGGATACAAGGGCAGCACTTTCCACAGAGTTATCCCGAACTTCATGATCCAGGGTGGTGACTTCATGAACGGAGATGGTACCGGCAGCGCGAGCATCTTTGGAGGCGATTCGTTCGACGACGAAAACTTCGAGCTCAAGCATACGCATCCCGGTCTTTTGAGCATGGCAAACTCAGGGTAAGCTACATGACCGGCTGATCATTAAGATATCGCTAACCATCCCACAGCCCAAACACCAACGGCTCGCAATTCTTCATCCTGACCGCTTCCACACCGCATCTTGATCGCAAGCACGTCGTTTTCGGTGAAGTCCTTGATGGTATGGATGTAGTAAAGAAGATTGAGGCGACAAGGACTGGGCAGGGTGACAAACCATTGAGCGATGTCGTAATCGCTGGATCGGGGCAGCTGGCTGGCGCAAAGCCTTTGGCTTAAGGAGTGAGAGATGGGTGTCGGTGTAGAAGATTGGCCGATCTGCAGTATATAGGTTTCTATGCACGAAGCTGTAATAATAATAATGTAATAGGTCCTCGAGGAGAGAGCTGCCAAAGGGGTATGTGCAAAGTCTACCCTGAATGTCCTCGTGAGTTTCCGAGATGCTGAGCAATCTGTTAAAGCTCTTTGGTAGGAGTCTAGCACCTCTAAAAATGCACGACGCATTGCAGTCAAGTGCGAGTTGTCCAGCAAGCGTAGGTACTCGCATTCATCAATGGTTCAGGAAGGATAGGGTTTGATTTCTTATTTTTATCATTAGCCTTACGTTCCAGCAAGTGCTTGTCTATTACTCACCCATTCAAGCTATCGTATGAATTCATCAAATTCTAGCATCTGTATACGCAGGGCTTCTTGCTCCCAGAACTCCGCCGCTTGCTCAGCCCCTCTCCTACCACCAAACTGCACAGCGCCGTTTCCCATGTCGCCTTCGGCCCCGTCCATGAGGCGCATGAAGCAGTTCTTGTTCTTGGGGTCGTTGAAATGCGCGTATGGGTGATCTGGGTTGAGCCACGCGGAGCAAAGATAACAAAAATGCGACTTGCATTGCGCGCAGGTCTAAATATAGGTGTACAGAGTCAGTATGTGTTCACTTGTAGCTCGTGCAGGCACATTACTCACCATGTGGTTACATCCCATGCTTTTCTGGCACGGTACAGAGCAGTACGGGCAGGGTGTGGTGTTCTTCATGATAAAGTTGAGCGATGCTTGGTCCTCCTCGGTCAGTTGTGTAGCATCGCGTGGCTCGCAGCGTACGAAATCTCCGTGCCATGACGCTAAGCAGACAACACAGAAAGCGAGTGTGCAATCTTCGCAAACCTGTAACCGATCCATACCTCGTACGCCAATTCCACGCTTCTCTGGGCCAGGCTCAGTGTTGGTTTCCTGTTGCTGAGCTGGACTCTCGTCGTCTGCTTCAGAATCCGAATCGTCCATCTGAGTTACATCGGTAATCTTGGGGTATTTGGTAGTTCGCATGGCACCTTGACACCATGTGCGTGGACAAAACACGATGCTAGGGTCAGATTCAATCTTTTTCTTCCGCTTGATCTTGGCGTATCGCTCGACTTGATCGCGTGCTATAGGGATCTGTAGCAGCTCCTTGGGCGACAACAGCCGGTCCTTCTTCTTCCCACTACTACCACATTCGGTGGACATACACTTGACGTTGTTGACGTCCCCCTCCTTTATACAGTTGTTGTAGTAGTCTTGGAGGCAATTGATGCAAAAGACATGGCTGCAGCGGGCCATGCGGTAGCAGGCAGACCCCTTCTTTGGCTCGAGACAGACTTCGCAGTCGAATGTATCTTTATCGAACAGCTCCTTCTTCATCCGGCGACTATAATCTACGAGCTCCTTCCGCATAGAGGAGGGTAGCGTAAGCCCCTCCAGACCAAAGGCATTTTCGGCTTGTTCTTGTAAAGAGGTAATATAGGCGAATAGAATGCTACCTCCGCCGTACTCATCCCATAACATCTTTGCTTCTGCTGTGAGTGTAGCCTGGAGGTCCTCGCCTAGCCACGATGGCGACGTAGACAACCTCACTACGGGCGGTGTTTGTTCGGGATACTCGGCGGGTAGGATAATTTCGAGACGTAGTGGGGGTAGATACGGAAGTCGTTCGACATCTTGCTGTGGCTCGAAGGTAATAGGCAAAGGCTTGGTAGGCGCCACGAGCAGTTCAAGAGTGGCAGAGTAGGGGTCGCTATCGCTGATAACCAACTCCGGGTAGATGGACTGCAGCGTGCTGAGCTCTTCGGCGCGCTCGTCTTCCATAGTGAAACTGTTATGGTGGTAATTTCTCGGGGGATTGTGTATCGCCCGTCGAGTGAGTTGTATAAGGATGTGGCGACAGCGGAGAGAGGGCGGAGATAAGTCGAATGCGGTCGCAACGAAGTATCAAAGGGCGTGGCGACTGTCTTCTATCGGTAGCGCGTAAAGGCAAAGGACCCCTTAAAGAGGCCCATGGTGAGTCAGACGCTGGATTGCTATCACTCAGATTCCACAGATGCTGTCAAGAACTAGGTCGTCGCAACTGGCACTGGAACGCAGCCAATGGCCCACCGAGGTATCTCGCATGCGCCGCGCCAAGGCCGACAGGGTATTGCCGGGAATGCGCCGTCATGGCTACTGCATGTGCATCCTTCACTCTTGACAGCCCTGGAAGCTTCACCTCCCACGTGAAGTCGCTATGGAGGCTCCACCGCTTGCGTCACTGTCGCTGACGCATGTCCATTATGTTTGTTCATTGTGCTGACAGCAAGAGCTCAGCTAATGCTCCCAGAATCCCGCAGACCGCATCTCCTACCTCTGCGCATGGCTTGCTCTCGTGCCCCAGGGACTGTGCGTCGTCTATGCGACGCTGATATGGTCCAACCGCGAGATTGAGATCTTCCTCATGTTTGCCGGCCAGATGGCGTGCGAAGCGCTCAACTGGGTTCTGAAGAGATACATCAAGGAAGAGCGGCCGCGGGGTAAGTCGAGAAAAGGACACTATTCAAGCGTAGTGCTAATACTAGACAGAGATGCATGGAAAGGGCTACGGAATGCCTTCCTCACACGCCCAGTTCGTATCCTTCTTCTCCGTTACCTTAGGCCTGTTTCTCCTCTTCCGACACGTTCCCCACCCGACGGATACCCACACGCCCTTCTCACTGGGTGGCCGTTTCCTCCTTTCACTCCTAGCATTGGCTTGTGCAGGAGCTGTAGCTGCAAGCAGGATATATTTGAGCTATCATACACCAAAACAAGTTGTGGTCGGATGTGCTGCCGGAGCTATCTTCGCCCTGGCTTGGTTCGCCTTCACAACATATCTGCGGAGAGCTGGCTGGATAGAGTGGGCTCTCGAAACCCGGGTCTTGAGAACACTGCGTGTAAGAGATCTTGTGATACAAGAAGACCTGGTTGATTCTGGCTGGGCACGTTGGGAAGATCGGAGGAAACGACAGATCTTCCAGGTTCAGGGTAAGAAAAGCAGGTAAGCCCTGAAATCTCTGTATATACTACTACGGTACTGCGCTGTCATACGCGTGCGAATCTGTCAATACTCAAATAGACGTGCTGCACCCACAGAATCACATCGGGATGCGGACCATTCCTCAAGCCTCTTGACTTTTTTAGCTCCCGCGGGCCGCCGACAACCTCGTAGTGTCTTTTTGCGATTCCAGTTCCGACTGTCAAGAACTCGGCCGTCAGACAAGCATGCCCCTAGTACCAATCACCGATCATCGTGTCATGACATGTAAAACCAGCCACCAACGTCAGGCGGGCGGAGGCTTCAGCCGTGTGCAACGGCATATTCTTGCCCCACAGAATACTGAAACCCTATCACAACAGGTGCTTTCTTTACAAGGACACGTCTTCAGTCAGCCTTTGTTGGAGTTCGCCATTCATGAACGGCGATCCCGACACTTAGTGGTTCAGACTATATGTGGACCCTTGACGCGCATCTTCCGTCACAATCGTCATGCCTCCGTCTCCGTGTCGTTGGCTAACACTAAGATCTCGTCAACCTGATTGATTGACCGCTATAGCACAACGGCGGCCGTTAGTTGCTTTTAGATCGTCGTTAGGACGCGTTCCCCAGCCACGGTGTATCCGTCCATTTAGTATGGACATTTTTTTCGTCGATATCTTCTACCATCTGTCTTACACAGCTTCCTGTCGAAATCAAGACCTTTCCCTCCTCAAACCCTCTTCCTAAATCTCCAATCGACAATGCCGCGCATGTCCACCTACCGCGAGCCAAAGCCTCCACCACGCCGGCGTTCCCGGAGCCAAAACGGTAACAGTAGTCCGCTCCCACGCAATGAATCAGATTACGACGTACCCGCTCCTGAACCCAAGAAGCATCTCAGCAGTCTTGAGGGCCACATTGTAGCAGCCAGTGGAGAGTTTGTCGGCACCTTCATGTTCCTCTTCTTTGCTTTTTCTGGTCAACTCATGATCACCAATCAAGCCAGTGATCGTTCGATTCTCAACGGCGGTACGAGCAGTCAGCAGAATATCTTCACAGCCTTGGTGTATGGCTTCAGTTTGTTGGTAAATGTTTGGGCTTTCTTTCGGATCAGCGGAGGATTGTTCAACCCTGCGGTACGTACTCTTTCACTCGTACATACGAGAGGAAGGTAGATGATACTGACATGTTCCAGGTAACGATTGGTATGGTGGTTGCCGGTCAACTTCCCTTTATACGGTCACTCTTTCTCTTTCCCGCTCAACTACTCGCATGCATGTGCGCCGGTGGACTCGTCGAATGCATGTTTCCAGGAGATATCGGTGTTGTCAACACTTCACTATCTGGCGGTACCTCCATCGCCCAAGGTGTCTTTATTGAGATGTTCATGACCGCCGAGCTCGTGTTCGTCGTTCTGATGCTAGCCGCCGAGAAGAGCAAATCTACATTCATTGCGCCAATCGGTATTGGCCTAGCGCTTTTTGTAGCCATGATGGGTGGTACGTCCTACCTCTTACTCAAGTAGAGCAACATTTCCGGTTCAAGGAGTTAACACTGTACAGGCGTTTACTTCACGGGCGGATCACTTAACCCTGCGCGTAGTTTTGGTCCTGCTGTTGCTTCACGAACGTTTGTCAGCTACCACTGGATATACTGGATTGGCCCTATACTTGGTGCACTCCTTGCTTCGGCATACTACCGCTTTGTCAAGCACTTCAATTACGAGCAGGCGAATCCTGGCCAAGATTCTGCTGGTGGTCACTTCTCTGCATGAGTGTCCAGAGAACGCTGAGGAAATATAGACAGGCAAACACGCAACTCAGCTCAGCTGGCTGGAATGTTATGTGTAGGTGTTGAGGCCATTTGGTACTTCCAAGGAAAATTCGTGGTTTTCGTACATACAGCGAGGAGTTATAGGGGCTATTTTTCGTTTTTGGAATACTGGACAGCAACCATTTATATGTTGGAGCGGGTATTCTCATTTAGTGGGGCATGTATCCGCTTTTCGTTACGGGTCTGGATACATGGACATCGGTGTAGAAAAGAAATGCTACTTAAAGATCGAGTCAAAGGAACACACTGTTTTAATTCTAGTAACCTGTTCAAAGTTGCCACCGCACCCGAGTCTGTAATGAAAACCCGTACCTCCCTTTTGAGAAAATCTTTCAGATTGTTCTCTGTTGGTTAGCTGACCCATTGGTACAGACAAAATTCATATGTAGCAGGGACGTATGTATAGGCGATGATGCAACTCTACTACAAGATGCTACCACAGTATACTAGTGCGCAATTATTGGTCCAGAAAAGTGTCTTTCCAATTTTACACTCGAGAGATAGCATGCAGTCCTGTGTGAATACAAGCCAACATCAAGAGAAGCTCTTACTGTGGACCAAAGGTTTCTCGCATCCGATATTCGCGTGCGCCTTCGCCATATACAAGCTTATCGCTTTGCCGCTCGTTGTTTCGGCAACGGTCGCTTAGAGTACGCAAGTTTCGAAGTTGCCTTTTTTGTAGTAACTTCAAGAAATTATGATTACCTTCGACAAGTGCAACAGATAAACAGCCAAGAAACGAAATCTGCTTGGCTAGCAGAGTGGTCGGCTGTCATCCTGACTCTCCGACATTTCGTGGCTATGCACTTCCCATTACAATGTCAAGATATGAGAACAGCTTGGTGTCGACCCACCAATAGAGTTCGAGTTGCTTTCGATTTTAACATGAGCGACCACGGACAGGATCTGCACCGACTGTTGCCCTAGCATATACATACCGGAAAATCCATTTGATGACTTGACTGGGCGCGCGTACCTAGACATACTCTGGCGTAAATGGTTGGGGGCCAGGAATCTGCTGTGGCTTGCATGCGACGTTGACCCACTACTAGGATCTTACCCCATGCAACTGACGCCTTGTTGCCTGCTTTGCAACTTTGCGAACTAACGTTTGATACTCTGAGGCTCCGCTGCTCGATATAACCAGCTTCAGAGGCTCTGCTATGGTTACTATCATTCTTCCGACTAGACAAGTGCTTTTCAACCATCATAGCATTTCGATACTCCGGTTAACTTTGGTGCTAAGTATACTCTCACTTTATTCGTTCCTTAACCCAAGCAGTCAGATAGACCACGCAACACTACAGTTCCATAGGGCCCATCTGATACAGAGACATGGGAAACGCTCTTAAAGAGAGTATGTACCACGTGCTCTGGCCTATTTCCGACCCAGCGTCTCGCAGATGTGCAACACGTGCGCTTGCTTCTGATTGGCTAGTCTTCGCATTCGCCCTCTCGCTTATGGTGATACCGGCAACCGCCTTGGATGAGCCACGCCCGCCGCACCAAATCGCCTACGGCCAGTACCATGCCCCTGAAGCACTGGTAGGCCTATGTACGGCGGCCATCGTCCTGTTCGCAGATCGCATTATCGCTTATTCCAGTCTACTGATTGGTCCCTCCATGGGCGTTACCAGCGTCTTGTGGCTTATGATGCGCAATGACGGTGCCATCAGCCCCGGATCGTCCTGGATGTGAGTAGCATATGTTCTGGCCATGTTCTTTGCAAGCAAAATGGCGCTCATACGAGATGATAGGGTCTTTGGAGTGTGGTCCGTATCAATTGGAACGTACTTGATCATCCACTGCCATCGTGTGGCCAATCACCATCTGTAAGACCAACTGCAGAGCCTCAAGTGTATAAACTGACGAAAGAGCACAGATTTGTCTTGTTGACCATCGCGGTAGCCGTTGTTTGTATGTATCTTGTCGCGAATGTCCAGGCGACGACATTGCAAGGCGGTCTGGCGACAGCGATACCAACATGTGCATCCTTTGCCGCATACACCGTGGCTTATTTCTTCCCGAAGAAGACCATCGGGCATTTGGAAGAAAGAGATGCGATGGCGTGATATGTGTCTCGAAGATTGGCATGACTTGCAGACTACAAGACTTGGGAGACCTATTGCGCTGAAGATGTACAATACGGAGCGATAGTGCGCAAATGTTGGTGGCGGCTTGAGAGTTTTTGCCTTGGTCTGTTTATGCATGGGTGTCATTGCTATGACCCAGCGATAGTCGTTGCCGGGTGGCCTGTTTGTCGCGATACCGACCTGCATTTCCCTGCCGTATGCGTTCTAGCATGTTGCTTCCCGGATGGATGTGGACTTCGGCATAGGTGGATGCAAGGTCTTCTGCTCTATGTTTATATGGAAGGAAATTATGGTGGACACATTTAGGATACCTTTTAGTGTCAGGCACCATCCAGAAAAGAGAAGCGTATTTCGGACTGGTCTCTGCCTGTTCAAACGCCAGTTGATCTTACAGACCCAATTGGTTCAGGGGCCTTTCGTCATCATAAGGGCATGAATTCCTAAGGTCCTGACAACACTCTCAAACTGTGCTCCAGGAACTAAATCGGGAATTGAAGTTGCGGTTCATCGAGCAGTTCTAATAGGCCATCTAGTAGCTCAACAATGTGCTGGTGGAAGTCTGATATGTAATGATGTGGGAGGTGGAAGTCCTGGCGCATCGACCACGATGAACCACGAGTATCGCATGTCACTTGTTCAGAGTATAGCTGCGAGTGGTGCTTGAAGTCGAAGGGTTCGTTGACATCCTTGTTGATTTGACGCTCGGGGTCGACATGGAGATAGGCAGATTGAGATCCGCTCAATCTAGAGAAGACAGTACCTCGGTCCACAGACGCTGAGGAGGAAAAGACGCTTGACTTGCACTTTGCTCATCTGGTCTTCGAGTGATCCGACATTCGCCTATTATCAGGCCATCGGCGAAGAGGGGTAGCACTGTGTTCAGCCCCAGAGACGATTTCCATATCAAACCGTGGTTCCGACCGTTTCTTGTTGATGACCTCTCTAGCCTTTTCTTCTGCGTCCCTCATTTTGACGAATGAGCTTCGAAAGAGGCGATCCGCATCTTCGTTTGATGAAGCCAAGGGCGCAATCTTGCCAAGCCAGTATGCCCCACGATCACGCCAGCAGAGGACGGATCGGGCGTTGCCTTGGCCAATAACTGCAAAGTCTTGTTCACTCTCAGCGTCGCCACTAGCATCGGGTTGTTCCCGCCATATCTCAACGCCGTCGAAGATGTCTAGATTGCGTGCATGCTGTGCTACGCGAAGCGCTTGCTCCAGGTCGGCAACTTCAAGCAGGACAACTTTGGCTTCCACATCTCTGGCAATATCAAGCAGCCGCGGGTAAAAGGCATCGCCTTGCTCTATGTCTGTCTGCTTGAGCTTGTGGGGAGGTACTAGCGCGAGCTTCGGTTCGAAACCGCGGACTGAGCGCGTGGTCGTTTTCCAGAAGGCGGATGGCGAGATGTACGGCGGGTTCGAAATGAGAATATCCCAGAAAGATGGCATTTTCTTGAAGTTGAGGGCAGCTGTTAGCGACAAGACGCCTTCAGTCTGATCTGAGAAGGGATTGACCATGATGTCGGCTTGTAGGAAGTCCCATGTCCCATTGTCTTGAAGTTGTCGCGTCTTGCGTAGTCTTTGAAGGTTGTGTCTCGCAAGACGCAGGGCCTTCTCCGAGATGTCGACACCCAGAACACGTAGGTTTATGTTATTCGACGCCGAGGATATCTCGTGGTGGAAGAGGAGGGGTATACAGCCGGTGCCGGTGCAAAGATCAAGTACGCGTATTTCTGGAGGGAGACTTTGCGCATTCCGTAGGAGACTGGCGATATGTGTGACTGACGCGGCTGTATCTGCTCTGTTCGCATTGTCAGGCATGGATCCCTTCGAAGTCGTAGTATGCTGTACCTTGGGATCAAGACACCAGGCCTACAGCGTATCTCCAGGTCACCAAAGTACTCCGTGCCTAACAGATACTGTAGTGGCTTTCCAGCGGCTCTTTCTCTGACCAACTGTCGTAGCAAAGAAGCCTTAGCTATTGTGTCTCCTTTGGCGCGACGCGCTTTCGCGACTTTCTCGACGTGTTCGCGGAGCCATCGCAGCTCGTTCTGGGCGGCCTGCAGTTCGCGACACGGCGCAAGAAGAGCAGGAAGAAGAGCGTCTATCGCGCGCGCCTTGCGGATGAGCGATGTTGTTATGCGTGGCATATTGAAGTAACATGGTGGGGTGGACTCGCGGCCACACTAGCGTTGCGCTCATTTGGTCTGCTAGCATTGCGCCGTAGTCAAGTTTCAGCATGGTAACAATACATTCGGGTGTTGCTCTGTACAGTGGCAGCAGTACTTGGTCTTTCTTTCAAGAAAAAACCTATTACTAAATTTAGAAAAACGTCCGGTGCCTGTGGGCAACAAATGCAGGATAACGGTTGTACATTCTGAGTACGTACGCCAGCGCACTTTTCGAAGGCTTACCACGGATCCTTCTTTGACAATCCGCGATATACTTCGCCCTGGCTGCATACTGACGCCTGCATCTGCAAACACGCAAGATGGCGTCCGTGTATAGTTCCCTTGGCAGTTGCGCGGTGCCACTCAACACGCCGTATAGCTAAGCTTTAATTTCCCCGCGCAACAGCCGTTCTGACCCACACTCTCCAACCACTATCCCGCACCCCATACTTCTCCAGCTCACATTTATCCAATTGCTTTTCATAGCGCGTGTTACTAAACCAACTGTATCCACCTGCTTCACGGTACTGTGATACCGACTTTCATCATGAACAACTGTGTTTCCTTGGCCCAGCCACACACGGATGACTATTTCCAGACCTCGGAGGTGAAGACTGCTGTCCAGTGCTTCATGCTGAACAACCCGCAAACTGCAGCCAAATCTTCATCGCTCTGATTATATCGGACAACCTGGCTCCATATAGTTCGTAATCTACTGCAAAGCACACAAAGACATAACCAGTCTCAGGCACAAAACCACCGACTACCCATCCTTCTATCCACACAACTCTTCCCCACATGTACAGATGCACAAGTCGCCAAGTACCTTCCACCATTGGCTCTAAACGAGCGGAGAGCCATCTGACTTGTGGGGTCGCACAACTCAGGCCTATCTGCACAGAGGACTTGGCAATAACTTGTATCGGCAGATGGGTAAAGTCGCTGCTTGCATTCAGCCCACACTGGGCAAATGATCTTCGTGGTATAAGGCAAAACGAACGGCGTCGCTTCGACCACGCTCCCGCTGTAGGAGAACCTAGCTTTCCACCTGCCTTGCCCTGTTTTCATCCACAAACTTTTTGACCATGTCTGATAACAATGGTTACACGTGGCGCGACCACTCGCGCTTGTTCCTTGCGTGTGGTGTTGTGATCCTTAGCCCGTTCCAGTATGGGTTCGATTTCGGTATGATTGGAGGCTTGCAGGCTATGGTCGGGTTTCTCAAGGTACGAAACAATTGAATGACTTCTTTCCTTAGAGTTGATAGCTGACTGCTGATATTAGATATTCGGATATCAAACCGACAAGACACCTACGGGATGGAATATTGATACAGAAAGACAGCAGCTCATCTCCTCTCTTATGACGCTGGGAGCTTTCATCAGCTCCGCTACTGCTGGTGTTCCATCCACCCGCTTTGGACGACGCATGTGTCTGGTCGCGGCTTGCATTACTTGCTTTATGGCCAATATCATGATGATGGCTACGGAAAACATCGGAGCCCTCTACGCTGGTCGTCTCATTATTGGTCTCGCGAACGGCTACTTCATGACCTTCTCACAACTATACCTGCAAGAGAGCAGTACGGCGGAACTTCGTGGCGTGTTTCTGACAGGTTTCAACTTCTTCGTCTCCTTCGGGACACTGATTGGCACCATCATTGACTGGGCCACCGCGAAACGACCAGACAAATCCGCCTACCTTATCCCGCTCGGTCTTATTTACGTGTTTCCCCTGATCATCATCTGCACGATATGGTTCATCCCGGAGAGCCCGCGTTGGCTGATTCTTCAAGGTCGTTTCGAAGAAGGTGTAAAAGCCCTCGAATGGCTTCGCCCTGCGCGCCACGATTCTCGAGCAGAGGCGTCCGCCATTTTAGCTGCCATTGAGAAGGAGAAAGAGACAAGTTCTGGCATAGGATGGCTCGACATGTTCAGCAACCCCGTCGATCGCCGCCGTACTTTCCTCGCCGTCTTCGCCGTCTTACTCCAAGCAGCATCGGGCTCCATGTTCATCATCGCATACAAAGCATACTTTCTCCAGATGGCAAAGGTGTCCGATCCCTTCGCCATGTCTAATGTCCTGTCCGCCATCAGCATAGTGGCCTTCATCGCAAACTCCTTCATTGTGGTACGTTACGGGAACAGGCGCGTGCTTCTCATGACCGGCCTACTTGTCTGCGGCATCCTCCAACTCATCATCGCTGTCGTATATCACCAAGCGCCCAACGCGAAGTCAACCGGGAAAGTTACAGTTGGTCTAACCGCCATCTACATGTTCAGTTACAACGGCATGATATCAACTTACGCCTGGCTCTCTGGTGGCGAACTCCCTAATCAGCGTCTGCGCTCCCATACATTTGGTCTGGCTGCCAGTGCCGGTTTCGTGGGCGCATGGCTCACTACATTTACCGCACCATACTTTATCAATCCGCAGTCTATGAATTGGGGGCCGAGATATGGTTTCATTTGGGCGCCGTCTTGTGCAATTGCTGCTACATGGGTCTTCTTCTTCCTTCCTGAGGTCAAGAATAGGACATTAGAAGAGATTGATGAGATGTTTGAGGCTAAGCTACCTGCGAGGAAATTTAGTAGTTACAAATGTGTGGGCGCTGCAAGGCACGATGATGAGGGCAAGGGGAGGAGCAGTGTGGAGAAGGAAGTTGCTGTGTTCCAAAATGAGAAGGTTGCTGTTGAGACAAGTGTGTCGAGGGATTAGATCAGTGTACGGTGAGTGTGTAGACAACCGTCAAGAGTGTGTAGGTATAGGTGCGAAGTCGTTTGTCGGGTATCTCAATATATTGTTACGTTCCGTCACGATTTATCTTCAACCAAGTATTCGCTCAATAACATATCGTCCGCCAGGCTCTTTTCTTTGCACCACCTTTCTAATGCCCAGACCCCATCCTTGGCTACCCTTCTCACCCATGAGGCTCATCTCGACCTCACACTCCCGCTTATCCTTACTAATCTCTGCAATCTTACCCTTCGGCTTACTTGCTTGTAGTAACGGTGTGTTGAGCGCAATATTGATAATCTGTGGCCTCGTAACAGGAGTAAGAGGATGCATGCGCGTCTTCGGTGTCCGACTGCCAGTAATCGTGGACGTTGCCGCGCGCTGGAGATGCGAGTAGATTATATATCCTGGCATCTTCGCTGGTGGCGTACGCGCAAGTATAGAAGACGGGTGCAAGAAGACGTATTTCGAATGTGGGTCGTCCGAACGCTCTAATTGTGAGGAGAATAGCGTGACGTATGGCACATCGATGGCAGTCTTAGGCTTCCTCGGAAGCTCGGGAGGCACAGGAGCAAGATCAGCGCGCATAGCAATCTGGTCGATGAAGCCTGCCGCACATATCTGGGTAAGGAGATTGATATTTCGCTCTGAAGGTGCTGGAAGTTTTGGGTTGTACGTTCCGATGGCGGTAGGTCGATGTGCACGAACGATATTGGTGAGCTGGTGGCGGAGCTGGCTAGCTTCATTCATAGATTTGGGATTGAGGAACATGTCTTCGCAGAATCGGTGCGAGTCAGGCTCGTATGCGTAGGCACAGATTGCGTTACTGAGCTTAATGCAATCACTCTGCTTCGCGTTGATGCTCATTTTAGCCTGTGCGGCGTTGTAAGCTCTGCGCAGCCGTGAGCGCTCTTCGGCTTCGATGTTGTCCTGGTCTGTACGAATGGCGTCAGGATCTCTAGTTGGCTCACGAAGACCCAGATTGTTTTCCGGCACAATGAGTTCCGGCACAGACAAAGCCGCTACCAGTGCGATGGTCTCAGCTGCGAGGTTCTGCGCAACACCCATAGCGACCATACGGGCGAATCGCGGATTGAGAGGATACAACGAAAGTTCGTGACCAAGCTTGGTAACCTTGCCGTCCAGAGATAGTGCCCCCAGATACGAGAGCAGGTTCTCAGCTTTTTGCAGACTCTCCCTATCTGGTGATGTTGGAAAAGGGAAGTTGACAACAGGTGCGCCCATGCTCTTCAACTGCAGCACTACGCCCTCCAGGGGTGTTCGTGAGATCTCAGGAGCTGCATACTCATCAAAGTCTCGCTCGAACACGGCCGATGAGTATAAGCGATAGCAGTGACCGGGACCGGTTCGGCCGGCTCGGCCTGATCGCTGGTTGGCGCTGGCTTTGCTAATCCATCCTACTTCGAAGCTTTGAACGCCAGTAATAAGATCGTACTTCTTTTCCTTGGCTCTTCCGCAATCGAATACGTAGCGGATACCAGGTATCGTCAAACTGGTTTCTGCGACGTTTGTAGCAAGGACAATTAGACGAGAACCATCGGGAGGTGGCTCAAACACCCGCAGCTGCTGATTTGTGGGCAGCTGCGAGTAAAGAGGTAGAACATGGACGTTCATGACGGTCTCCTCCGGTTTTTCGTCCTCGATCTCAAATTCTTTGTCGTCCTCATCATCAAGTCCCATGATTACAGAGCCTTCCGAATCCGAACCATCATCGTCTAAGTAGTCCTGGCTTTCGGCCTGCCCACCTAGCTCAATGTCTTCTGCTTCTAGCGGCGTCTCTGCCGGAGAGATCACGACTTTGCCAGCCTTCACCTCCCGCCCCTGTGTGGAAGGAAAGGCTTCCTTCAACCGCTTCGCGAGTTGCGAGATCTCGTTCTGACCAGTAAGGAAGACAAGCATTCCGCCCTTTGGCAGCTTTCGATGACCCCTGCACACCTTGCGATACATCTCCTCAACATAGTCTCGTTGTGTGCGACGTGAGAAGTGGTTTACAACAGTATACTGACGACCCTCTGCTTTGATCAGAGGAGGTGGCTCGCTTCTGAATAGGCGTTTATTCTCCGTGAAGTCCGAAATGCGTAGAGTAGCAGACATGATGATCAGCTTCAGAGGTTTATTCTTTGGGTCTTCCTTGACCATCTGTGCGCGGAGATCCACTATCCTGCTGAGCATGCCAATGAGAATGTCGGTGTTCACACTGCGCTCGTGAGCTTCATCGATGACAATCGCAGAATACTTTGTCAGTACAAAGTCTTGGGTGATCTCTCGCAGCAACACACCATCAGTCATGAACTTGATAGCGGTTTTGGCACTCGTTGACGTATCGAATCGGATCTGGTACGCGACTTTCGTACTTTGGTCACCAAGTTCATCACCAACACGTTTGGCCATACTGACAGCAGCTACACGACGTGGTTGCGTGACTCCAATCATACCAGGTGTGGGGCCATCTGGTGCTCCATATCCAGACTCTAGGAGAAACTGGGGCACCTGCGTGGTCTTACCACTACCGGTGGCACCCCAAACTACCACCACGTCGTTGTTGTGTATAGCCTCCATAATCTTCTGTTCTTCCGCTACAATGGGAAGCTTCAATCTTGATTCCTGTATCTCGGACGATCGTTCGACGTTGACGCTGAAGGCCTTCCGTATCCCGTCGGTCGCAGTTTTCGTCTCGAGTTCTGGGGGTAGAGGATCTTGCTCGGGAGCTCGAGGTTTGAAATTGGCGGGAATCGGTGCGTAAGAAAGTTGGTTTGTCGGGGTAAATCCGACTTGCTCATTCCTTTGCTGCGTGGCCCATGCTTTGAAAGCTGATGCCCTTTCCTTCTTTGCGACCTTATTCTCCTCGTCAGGACTTGTGTCGCTATCCTCATCGCTGTCGTCCTCCGAGTCTTCAGAGTCTCCAGATTCGTCTGACGCTTCGGATCCTGAAGTTGATGCTTCTTCTTCAGAGTTTGAGCCAGAGTCTTCAGACTCAGCACCAGAAGGCTCTGACTCGTCCTCATCATCCTGCTCGTTGTTCTCACTACCCGAGCTGAAGCCCTCCCATGCTACCTCATCTTCAACCACGACAGGTTTGTTGCTCTGACCTTTCCTGCGCTTTCTTACTTGTATGACGGGTTTGCCTGACTCGTCAACCTCTAGAGGCCTCTTCAGGCCGCTTCCAAAGAGTCCACCAGTCTGCCTTGGGGCCGCAAAGATTCCCGTAGTCGGTTGAGAGACGTCGATTTCGGGCTCGGAGGGTGACGGTGACGGTGCGCGTTCTTGTAAGGGCGCATCGGATTGCGCTGTTTGCAAGGGTTGTCGTACGGTTGGTTTCGGAGCAGATACCGGTGCTTGTTCATCGTCGTCGTCATCGTCGTCGGAGCTGTCGTCCTCGACTTCCCTGAAGTCGCGCTTCTCAAGAATCATGCCCTCGTTCTTTTCTACATCTATGCCGGCTCTACTCTCGGCCAGCGCGCGCCTCAGTGCCTCTCTCTTGGTATCCGCCCCTCGACCAAGCTTCTTGGAGCTTTGGAACAAGCTGGTGTCGACCTTTTGGGATGCGAGCTTCTTTAGAAGTTCAAGGTTCTCTTCTTTCTTGAGTTTTGTGTCCTGCAAAAGTTAGTCCTGAAGTTCTTCACACAGCAATCCCAGCGCGATGTGGCCGCAAAAAGTGTTGCAAGCCACTCCAGACGGTGTCTCGACGTACAATGTATTTGTCGAGGCGCTTCTTCTTCTTGCCGCTCATCTTGCCCTGTGACTCTCGTGTGAGCTCATCCTTGAGCGCAGCCTTTTTCTGAGCGCGCTCTTGCTCCTCCTGGGGCAGAATCTCGGTCGCATTGGCGTCGATAGTGGCATCGTTCGCTGGCGTCTTGCGACGGGCCAGAACCTTGTGTTTTCGCTGTCGCGGCACAAACTTGGGCATTTTGGTGGTTGCGGCGTCGAGGACTGTTCGCGGCGCCCGAAAGTTTTTGGTGGGGATCAGACGCTAGCGGGCGAACTCCGCATCACTCCCGCGCAAGTTGAGTGGGCTGTTGGCCAGAGACGCAACAACACAAACAACGAGGCACACAAGAGCAACTCGAATCACCATATTACTGGCACGCATACATTCTCGGTAGCTGGCGAACACAAAGCACCCAGCTCACACTCCATCGTAATACCTTTACGATTGCAGCTGCCCCTCTGCACCAGACATACCACCGCACGAACACAAACGCAATGGCAGCACCCACCACTTCAGACGACTATACCGTGACGCCTGCCCCATACCCAGCGCGTACCAGCACGTCCACCTCGATGATCAAGAGTATAAAAACCACAGCAACGACGGTCAATTTTGCGGACAAGATTCTCATCACTGTCACGCAAAATGGACGATTAGCACATTGGGTATGCTCATATATACGATGCATTGTGATGACGTTTGCTGATACTGCCTAGGTACATGTACCTCTCGATATCTCTGCAACCGATGCTTCGATGACTTCGAATGCCTCCCTTGAACGCGACGAAGACGATCCCAACTCAGACCTCCTTCCTATGCACCATCTCACGGCTACAAATATACTTGGCGGTACGATAGCGGAGCTTGATGTTCTTGGACAAACGCTCGCGACACAGATTGCCAGTGCTATCAAACAGCGCGACGACAGGGAAACCAGAATGGTTGTGGTTGGTATGGGATTGGACAAGAGCATGGTTGGAAGAGAAGCATTCAGCGAGCTGATTGGTCTTGTGCTGGGGGTCATATAAGAGGTCGTCGAATTCGTATTGCTTTAGTCTATGCAATGCTCGACGTGATGAACTATGGGATCATGTGCCCAAGCGTTCCTTCGTCAAATCTCGGGTATGTCTTCCGCCCGTCCCCTATGTTCAACCTTTTTCCCTCTATGCGCCGTTTCATGCTGACATTCCAAGTACCGTAACGCCAACCCAATGCAATCCAGATCCGATGCGGTTATACACTCTCGCGGAGTTTGTTGATCAAAACGTCGACTGATTCCATGTCGTTAGCGTCCAACTTTTGTTGGGGCTTGAACTCGGCAGGCATGTGCTCAACGGCGGCATCGAGCGCGGCCTGGAAGTTGCGAACGGATGACGAAAGGGCGAAGATGGCCTTCTTGCGGACCTTATTCTCGGCATCTGAGGTTGCCATACGAACGAGGGTAGGGATAGCGCCGACTACAAGGAGCTGGGACCTGTTAGCATGGCCCATAGGCGCGCAGGATTGAAGACTACTTACCCGTTCTTGTGTTCTGATGTTGTTCTGGACGGCAGTACCGCAACACCATGCAGCATAGCGTCGGAGTTCAGCGTCTTTGTTCTCCAGTTGTTCCACGAGAGGCGTCCACAGTCCCAGGCTCTCGATGTTGTTCGCGTTGTCGAGGTTCTCGATGAGTTGCTCAAAGTTGTCGAATGCGGTTACCCGGTGCTCCAGTTCTGCCTCCTCGTTTTGAATGACTTGCATACTTTCTTGCATCAATTGCGCATCCGAGGGACCTGACATTCCAGTCATGAGCCGTTGCAGCGCCTCAGCGTCGAGTTGTGGCGGCGGTTGGTCGGCGGCGGCGACATCGGTGCGCGAGGCCTCGGAGTTTTGAATACCCCATTTGAGGAGGTTGTTTAGTCCTGGATCGTTCATGTTGTCGGATATGTGTTTGATGTGCGGTTTCTTGTGTGAAGAAGGAAAACGGCTGCGGGGTGTGTAGACATTGAATAATTTTGGCGGGCCTTATGACGCCGACGCCTGGCGAGGGGACCAGCAGCTTCGCGGGCCTTCCATGGGACATGCTGCCCAACACAGCAACGCAGCTGTCAACACCATCAATCACATGGTGTCAACGTGACAAACACAATGGAAACGGCGTGTTTGTGTGAATTCTCGATGTTGACCTGAAATGACATAATCACGACATGCTAGCATCGAGACTTGAGTTGATGCTACAAATGCTCGTTTGGCTAGGTGCACGTTGACTGCCCCTCCGCACACGTGACCAACCACCCGTCGTATTCGGAATGGGCGGGGATATGGCGAGTTGGCGGTGAGCAGCCGCGGATGGCTGGGGACTGACTTGTGCTTGCTCCCGACTTATGCATTCACAGCGCGCCGTCGAGAACACGTAGGTCCTAGTGGAGTGTCTATGATTGCTATACGCCAAGGATTTAACACCGCTGCCTGGCGGTCTGGTAGAGTTGACGTGCGTCGACAGCAGCTTCCTTCATGCTGTGGCGGGGAGCTTGCGTACTCTCCAAGTGCGTACCACCAGGGCAGAAGATGATGGCTCTAGGCTGCACAATTCCGCCAACAGATATAAGATAGCCAATGCCGTGATCGTCGTGAGCCAACTGCCCAAACGCTGAAATTATACACAATCCCCTTTAGGAGCCGCCCGTTCGTGCAAAGCCTCCTTCGCGCCTGCGCTCCTGCCACCCCGCTAAATCTGGGCAAGGCCGACCCGCTTATTTAGCACACCCAGTTCTTGCCTCTGCGCACCAGAAACCTCAACCTCAACACCGCCGCCGAACTTGTAAGCTCCCCGAACACCTCCGTACCCTTTTTACTTTTTCACCGCTAGCTGCATCTCTGAGCTTAAACACTGACGCTCAATTGCTCCAGCGACTCTACACAGACACCCTTCTACAACTCCACGTCTACTCTAATCTCACCCTAATCAATCAACATGGAGGGTAAGCAAGCTCCACCCCTACCGCCCCGTGTCCTAACCATCGCCGTCCACCCTACTCTCTATCTCAATGAGCTCTGCTAACCTCTATTGCCTACTACAGAGGAAGTCGCAGCCCTCGTCATCGACAATGGGTGAGTTGGCACCGCCGAAGCCCAACACCGCCATCCCTGCTGTGGAGGGGCTATCCGCGCCCTCGCCTTATCCGAGCCGCGACGAACCCGTCCACAGCAGCGCGCGAGGGGGCAGAGATGAAACGAGCTTGAGCTGACAGTTGACAGTTCGGGTATGTGCAAGGCCGGTTTCGCCGGTGACGATGCGCCCCGAGCAGTCTTCCGTAAGTACCTCCATCTCCGCCTTATCAGCCAAGGCTGCATCAAGCGCGATTCGAGAGCACTTTCTGACAGCTCGCAGCTTCCATCGTCGGCCGACCGCGTCACCATGGGTACGATGAACCTCCCGTAATTCCCACGCAATCCGCCATCTAACAACACACAGTATCATGATTGGTATGGGCCAGAAGGACTCATATGTCGGTGATGAGGCACAGTCGAAGCGTGGTATCCTGACCCTGCGATACCCCATTGAGCACGGTGTCGTTACCAACTGGGACGACATGGAGAAGATCTGGCATCACACTTTCTACAACGAGCTGCGTGTTGCCCCCGAGGAGCACCCCGTCCTGCTCACCGAGGCTCCCATCAACCCCAAGTCCAACCGTGAGAAGATGACACAGATTGTTTTCGAGACCTTCAACGCTCCCGCTTTCTACGTCTCCATTCAGGCCGTCCTGTCCCTGTACGCCTCCGGACGTACCACCGGTATCGTTCTTGACTCCGGTGACGGTGTCACTCACGTTGTCCCCATTTACGAGGGTTTCGCTCTTCCCCACGCCATTTCCCGTGTCGACATGGCTGGTCGTGATCTGACTGACTACCTCATGAAGATCTTGGCTGAGCGCGGTTACACCTTCTCCACCACTGCCGAGCGAGAAATCGTCCGTGACATCAAGGAGAAGCTCTGCTACGTCGCTCTCGACTTCGAGCAGGAGATCCAGACCGCCAGCCAGTCCTCCAGCTTGGAGAAGTCCTACGAGCTTCCTGACGGTCAAGTCATCACCATTGGCAACGAGCGTTTCCGTGCTCCTGAGGCTCTCTTCCAGCCTTCCGTCTTGGGTCTTGAGAGCGGTGGTATCCACGTCACCACTTTCAACTCCATCATGAAGTGCGATGTCGACGTCAGGAAAGACCTGTACGGCAACATTGTCATGGTATGTTACATGCTACAATCCTGCAAAGCACACAGCTAACAGCAACTAGTCTGGTGGTACCACCATGTACCCCGGTATCTCCGACCGTATGCAGAAGGAAATCACCGCCCTCGCCCCATCCTCGATGAAGGTCAAGATCATCGCTCCCCCGGAGCGCAAGTACTCCGTCTGGATCGGTGGTTCCATTCTTGCTTCCCTCTCCACCTTCCAGCAGATGTGGATCTCAAAGCAGGAGTACGACGAGAGCGGTCCCTCCATCGTCCACCGCAAGTGCTTCTAAGGTACTGGCAGTCATGCGTCCGAGCGATTCATCGACTGACGGTTTTCTTCCTAGCGTGTTCCTGCGTACGGTTCTCGAAATCATGACAAGCCTAGTAGCGGGGGCATCCTTGTATTGGCGCCTTGTTATCCCGGGGTTTTACACATGTCGATTGTCCACAAAATAGCACAGCGGGCCAATGGTTGGGTGTTTGAGTTATGGAGGAGCTTGAGCTCACATGAAGGTGTAGTAAGGATCTTAAGATTGTAGCTTAGAGCCTATGGACACTTTCATATCCCTTACAACTTGTGGTCACCAATGATGATAATGTGATAATGTGATAACGTGAAGTCGGTCTCGGTGACTATCCATTCGTGAGCACGTGTCCATCTCAGAACAAGTTTGCATACATACAAATAAACAGTTCAGCCATAATCGAGACGCGTCTGATTTGTGTCTGCACTTCGACTGAAGTAAAGGCGTACAGACCTGGAGACAGGTGGTTGGATACCCCTGCTAGCGCGGAAATTGAGCACCGGCAATCGGAAAGGCAACAAGCGACGCGTTCCTCTACAAATTGCTTACCTGCAACCTATAATCTCACGTATGGCATGTCATAATATGACTCAGGTATCCGTGTAGGCTTTCCCCCGTTACGTCGTACCGCTGCCTTACTCCTATGCTTTTTGTCTTCTACGTCACGCCGCTGAATCTATCGACACGATTTCATCCGAACTCCAATCAATTACGGAACTGTTGCATCTAAACCCACCTCTACTTGGCATCAGTCTTCGCAATGCCCACATCATCTACCAATGTCGATGCTTCCCCATCCGCTAAATTGAACGATGAGACCACGCCTCTCTTGACCCACGTAGATCCCACACCCATAGATGAGTCCGTCGATCCTTCAGAGCAGCAAGATTATCTTGAAGATGACGATAACGACAAGAACAAACCACTACCCAAGGCGCAGATCTTTCTTCTGTGTTATGCCGTTTGCGCGGCGCCTATTTCCTTCTTCTCCATCTTTCCTTACATCAACTTCATGATTGAGAGGGTAGGAGGTGTGGATAAAGAGGATGTTGGGTTTTACTCGGGATTGATCGAAAGTCTGTTCAGTGCCACGCAGATGTGTGTCATGATTCTCTGGGGAAAGGTATGTGACCTTAGTCTTGCTATGGGCAAAGGATTATTGCTGACATAGTCTCCAGGCCTCTGATCGATATGGAAGAAAACCCGTGCTAGTCATCTCATTGTTGGGGTTGACTGTCGCCACGGTTCTCTTTGGTCTAAGCAAAACTTTGTGGCAGATGGCGCTATTCAGGTGCCTGGGTGGGGTTTTTGCTGGAACAATCGTCACTGTCCGAGCTATGCTCTCCGAGAACAGTACCAAGCATACTCAAGCACGAGCCTTCAGTTTCTTCGCTTTCGCTAGCAATATGGGGATTTTTGTTGGCCCGCTGATTGGTACGTCATTATATAACTACTCGAAGTTGACGGTAGACTAAACGCAAATCTACAGGTGGTGCACTCGAAAGCCCAGCGGACAAGTTCACATCGACCTTCGGCAAGACGCAATTCTGGCATGATTACCCTTACTCACTACCCAACATCGTCGTATCAGTTATTGCCCTTTCTGCAGCGATTACAACTATGCTGTTTGTCAAAGAAACTTTGCATATCCACGGCGATAGGAAGAAGACCGCAAAGTCTAACATGTCTACATGGGAGCTTGTCAAATATCCTGGCGTTATGCGAGTACTTGTAGTATATAACTACGTGATGCTCATGGCATTCACCTTCACGGCTGTCTTTCCAGTTGCCCAGTACACACCTATCAGCATGGGCGGTCTTGGCTTTACAACAGAGCTTATTGCTGCGTGTACAGCACTAAATGGAGCTTCTCAGGCAGCCTGGCTGCTTATTGCATTCCCTTTACTGCACAAGCGGATAGGTACCGGTCGTGTGCTCTGGCTTTGTGCATCAGCCTGGCCTGTTCTCTTTGTCGTCGGTCCGGTATACAATGTTCTACTTCGGTACGGGCATACTACCGTTTTCTGGGCTACCGGACCACCCGTCATAGTTCTCGCAAGTGGGGTTTCGATGGCATTCAGTGAGTATCTGTTCCTATGCTGATGGGCTACGTACACTAACTATACATCAGCTTGTGTTCAACTCGCACTTAACGACATTTCGCCCTCACACGAGACTCTTGGGACGCTTAACGCTGTCGCACTTGCTGCTCAAAGTGGCATTCGGTCCGTGGCTCCGGCTCTTGCAACTAGTGTCTATGCCATCGGCGTCAAGTATCGTATATTGGGTGGTCAACTTTTCTGGCTTTGCCAAGTCATTTTGGCATTTGGCTTGTTTGGACTTCTGAAGCTGCTTCCTGCGAAGGCGAGAGGGGATGTGAAACCAAAGCAGTCGAACAGTAGTGCTTGATACGTCTGTTTAGTACAAGAGGTTAAAGAAGTTTCTATTTGCACTGCCGTACCTGCTGACATTGTCAAGGGCAAAAGATTACATGTCGTATCTATTTCTCCTTTCCGGTCATCACAGACTCCAATCTGTCTCTGGTTATCTACCTAGCTGATCTATCTATTCACTACTTGTCCTTCCCCTATACCCTCGCTCTCTCGACTGGTACCTCATTGAACTTCTCTGGCTATAATTTATTGCACCTGCGATACCTAGATCGCTCATTACTACCTCAAACTGGAAGTCAACCCTAACAAATTGCTTGTATGGAAGAGCGACGACTATTGAAGACAACTTCGCCGTCATTTAGAGTCTTGTTGTTGCTTCTCTTGTGGTAGTCGGTCGTACTTATGCGCTTCTTCGCCTCCTTGTCGCTGAACATAGAATACAAAGAAGTAAGTTCTCGATGAATTATGCCCCAAGTTTATTACACCCTGAACGTATGTGCTGCATCTTGGATCAAAATAGTGCAATACACAACGTCAGCTTAATCTTAGGGTGTAGTGTTGGTGGAGTATATCTCATGGAAAACGAGGTACTCCGTAGGGGCCGTGGGGGAGAATGAGCTCAGTCATCGTCGGTACGGACCACAATCAACTCCAATCCCCACCTCTTATCTGATGACTTTCATCGATATCCTTATCTGCCCATATATTGACCCTCAACGTCCAGGTTTAGAGGCACAGCTGCCAAGCTTATGCCAGTTGACGCCGTCGCCTCTACCCTATATTTCGCCAAACGTAGCTCTGTCCAAGTCATTACTCGCGCTCTTGACTATTGGACTATGGACTCGTCAACGTTGTTACACTATAGCTTGAGGAATTTGTTGAACCCCACAAACTACCATACGCTTTCTGTCTCACACCTGGGCCCAAGGAGATCATGTTCAGTAAGATTACATCTCAGCCTGACATTGATAAGGCTGAACGGTGGAAAATATTTCTTCTATGCAAACAGGCCCAACGCGATGAATCTGACTACGTTTAGTGCAATACTCACTACATTGATAGTACAGGAATGACGAGCTGTCAGATTCTGTTAACTCCATGTTTTACTGGTAACAGGAAGCTATAGTGTACTAAGCTGTTATGGAAGATGATCAGGACCTTGAACAATCTGTAGGTGCCTGGTGGTTCACACGAGGCTGGACTGTTCAAGAAGTTATTGAGCCTAAATTCTCGACGTATTAGAACTCTACATGGTAAGAAACTGGCGTTCTAGAGGCTTTGGTAGAAAATGTCTCAATCGGAATGATTATTGACATGAGATTTTTGCGTGGCGCAAAAAGGCTGATCTACGTTCGCGGGAAGAGCTTCGCCAATTGACCAGAATGGGCAGCCAACCACAATGCGGCAAATGCAGAGAATACTGCATACTGTCTCATAAATTTTCTGGATGTCATTTTGTCACTACTCTACAGGAAAGGAGGCATCAAGGCGTTCGGTATATCGCAAGAAGGGTACCTCAGAAGCAATCATGACCAATCGTTTCTCACCTTATAGCTTCCTTCAAATGACAAACTTTAGATGTTTTCGGACGTGCATCTCCTTACTAGTCACCCTAAAGACTCTCAAAGATGCAATTAGATATCACTGACTAGTGGGGGTTGTTGCACCATTCTCTTTCGACAACAGAGGGCTCCATATTAGGCTACTAGTCTTCTGAGGTCAGTGTATCAAAGTCGGGAGAAGTCCTCGATACGTTCCTGTTTGTGCTTATCATCCGCAAGGTAGGCCTGCGTATCGTGTTACATGCCTTTGTTGCTTGTAGAAAGATCTGCCAGAATATTTGCGTTCTCACGAAGTGACAAGTACTGTATCCATTCAAGAACCCAGTTCGATGAAACACGCTTGCATAACTGCTATAAATCCAGAGCTCACAGGCGCTTCACAGCCCGAACGCAGTGAATCGAGATTTTAAACGACTTGCTAAGCTCATGGAGATGAGAAACCTTTTATCTCAACATTTCTACTTGAACTCCTCCTCTAGTAGGGTTTAAGGTAATTCTTGATCAACAAAGACAAGCCAACTATGGAATCATCTTCCGTGTTATACCTTAGCCTCTGAACACGAGGAACGATGACGAAAAATGGACTGAGTGTAAGGATTACAGTTCGAGTGAGTATCGAGATTCAGGCACGGTATGATGCAGAAGCAAGCATCTGTGTTCGACCTTCCTGGGAGTGTGTCTTGGACAGACCCAAGTGATATCTCCAACAAACGAACCTCAGAGAAGCCGTACAAGTCAGAACCTCGTGTCATATCCATACCTGGCCGAGCACCAGTGACACTCGATGGAACAACCTCTTGAGAGCGTGCCTCTAACAAGGATACGTTGTCTCTGTTTGTCGGTATGATGGTAGAAAACGGTCGTCTTGCGCACATGTTGCGTGCATATCCAGCCAGTGCGTTCGAGTCACTCCTGACCACAGATCCATTGGTCCGCGGTGTCTACTCTACAATAGTCATTTAGTTGTTGTCTCCATCGCATCGGTTCGAGTTGTGGTCGCTGGGCACAATAGCCACAGGAATGTATGAAGGACTTTCGATAACCAAACATAACTCGTTGATGAGAACGAATATAGAGAGGTATCTTGACTCTTCACAGTTATTATTGCTCTTCTGATACTGAGTCAAGTGTACTTCAACAACTACAACGCCTCGTACCACACTCCGAATAAAGTGGCCGGACGTTTGCTTTTGGCCTGCAGGCTCACAGGATTCGTAGGGTACGTCATGGAAGATTGGAATTTGGGGTTGTTGAAAGAAGCAGGAGCTTGGAATCGAAACTGATGTTACTTGAAAGCGAACGAAGGATTTCGGCATCACATTTGAGAAGCGATTGGCCGGACAGACAGCTCTTACGTTTCTAGATACATGGACATAGAGTCGCATAATATGTATTCTCGAAGCCTCTGCTGAGTTCTGTAGCAACAACTTGAGAGATACTGATTGGTATATACCTTCAGGATCCGCGTTTCTAGCAAATCATCACGTGGAGGAACCGAGGTGCAATGATCGCAATTAGTAGTCATTGTATCGCGTAAAGGAAGACGCGTTAGTCCACATCACTCATATACCTACCTTGCTGCATCGAAGTTACCAAGACTTGCGTAAATCTCTAAACTACAAAGATGTACAACACCACTGCAACCGTCCACGTCATCCCCTAAGAAGCAAAGTAACATCTCTAACGGCCCGTCTCGGCGTTATCCAACCGCGCCGACAACAACACCACATAATCTCATGACGTCTTAAACCCACACGGAAGCTGAAACACGTGCAGTTACGATAAGGCTGCCTAAGCTCGCATGCTTGCACCAAGTTGTGATGCTTGCATACCCAGCCCAGCCCCAGCCATCGCTTATCTGAGCCCCCGTGCAGCAAGCACATCGGCGTGATGACATCGAAGGCGGGATGATCACACAACACAGACCCCAGAAACACGCGATTATCTTGCCCAGACTACACCCCAGCCGTCCGCGGACACATACTCGTTCATCACTCCGTTGGATCGACATTGCGCCTGCGACGCAAAAGGTTGCGGCTAAAAAGTCCCAAAGGAGCCAGCGCACGGCTTGCGATGTATGAGAACGTCCGGAGGACGATCAAACGTCATGCATCGTGATGAACAGTCGCTCTTTGCGCCGCGGGTATTATTGTTTTGAGTTTTACTTGTTCCGTGTTCGCGTCGGGGGAACGATGTGCGGGCGCTTTTATTGAAACTTGTGTCAATACACGACGAAAACTCGATCTAAGTAGTCACTGCCGTTCGCTAAAGGCGAAACACTCCGCGCCTTGGCTCGTCGCAAAGCAAGGGCAACACAAGCAATACGCAAGCATTCTTTCATCGTCACTTTGTATCAAGCAGACAGGGCCCTCATCAAGACAAGACAAGACGCGAAGGAAGATGCGACAAGCGTCGTCACCACGCGATCATCAGCATCATCACCACTACGACCCACGGCGCGCAACACTCCATGTCACCGCCCAGCCGCGATGCGACGAGATGGAGAACTAAAGGTTTAGTGCCAACCGTCACGGAGGCTCGGCACGCTATAAGGCCACCCAATATAACGACAGGATGCGAATACGTTATACTGAATACGCTCAATGGCCAGACATTGCAATTAGTCTTTCGGTGCCACCGTAGTGATCTTTACATAGCACAATTGGAATACGATACGAGAAGTGAGCACATCTTCATCTGCCAGTACTGGATACCAATTAGCGCAAGCCAATGGATTTGATCAATTGACTTCATCGTACATGCCCCAATCCGACTAAGCGTCACGCAGCCAACCTCGCAGCACAAGTATGTCATGTTTGGCGATAGCTTGCATGAGCCTATCCAGCCGTTGCATTAGGGACGACGCGATGGCGTGCAGCTGTCTTTACCCCGCTTGGTCGCGAGTACAGCAGCTACCACAAACAACCCCGCATGCCCTTGTGGTTGCTCCACGGAGGTCGTAGGTGGCTTGCATGCTTTGTGCCCAGGTATCTTTCTTATCAATGTTGTGTGGATGGACATAAGCCAGGAAGGCGAGTGACGGGTGACTAGCGGCAAATGTTGGCAAGGCCGTGAATCTTTCCGATGTGCTAGGGTTCTGTGGAATAGCAACCCTAAGGTTTGAACAACAGACGATTAGTGGAACCATTATAGTTCAGTTTTGAAGTCTAGACAAGTAGAATGCAATGTGTAGATGTGAGTCAATTGAGACAAAGGTTTTGAAGCAGCAAGGACATGTTCACAGCAATATTTTCGATTGGGGTATTAATTGAGACAATGAAATTATGCTTCTTGGTATACATGAGAAGACTAGCAAGACGTGATGAAAAATTAACCTTGCTTTCAGGTGGGTTCATCAATCCCGTACAAATATCCAAATACACATCGCGTCATAACTGGACGACGACCCTAATTTACTCATCATCCTCCTCCTCAACAGCGCGGGGAGCAAGGACGTAGCGGGTTGTGCCGTGCTTGTCCTTGCCGTGCTCGAGGGACAGCTTGCTGAGGGCAGCAATCATGTTCTCAATAGCAGGGTTCTTGCGGCTGCGGTCCTTGCGGCCGAGAGTGTCGAGCCATGCGATGCGGTTAAGCAGGTAGTAGACGATAGCAATGATGATGGTGACACCAATGGAGTAAGCCCAGACAACGACAACGGTGACAATGTCGACCCATCCGTCGTCACGGAACCTGCTGTTGATGGTAGGGGGGTTGGTTTGGTAAGGAGCACCAGACATCCAGCCGAAGAGGGTGAAGATGGTCGCGAGAGCGTCGACACCGAGAATGGCGATGATGAGCTGGAATGAGGGGAAAGTCTTGCCACCACGAGTAACGAAGATGAGCCAGTTCTCAGTAAGAGCAACCTCGAGGAACAGAATGGGCTGGATAGCACCGAAGTTCTGGATGATACCTCCGCTGGGGATGAAGAGAGTACCACGGACGATCCAGGTACCGAGAGCGAGGAGGAGACCAAGGATGACGGAGATGAACCAGATCTTGGGGAGTTGCCATTCGACGGGACGTTGCTCAGAGTGGGCGTTGTCGTAAGCGACAGCGACGGTGGCCAAATCAGCGAAGAGAGCAAGGAAGACGATGAGCTCAGCGCGGATAGTCTCGTTGAGGATGATCATGGAGGTGACAAGGTAGACTTCCAAGTGGAGACAGAGAGCGATACGGTACTGGATGTAAGCCTTCATACGCTGGAAAATCTGGCGAGAAGTCTTAATGGCCAAGACGATGGTGGACAGACCGGGGGCAAGGAAGACGATATCAGCGGCAGCCTGAGCAGCCTCAGTGGAACCCTCGACGGCAATACCACAGTCAGACTTCTTCAGGGAAGGAGCATCGTTGACACCGTCACCAGTCATGGCAGTCAAGTGACCACGCTGTTGAAGCATCTCGACGACCTGGTACTTGTGCTCAGGGAAGACTTCAGCGAAACCGTCAGCGCGCTCGACAAGGTCGTGCTGGGTAGTACCAGTGAGACCACCGCCGATGAGCTTGGAAGAGTTGTAGACCTTGGTACCGAGAGCAAGCATCTTGCAAGTCTCCTTAGCGATGGCAATAGCGTCACCAGTCAACATCTTGACGGGAACACCGAGCTGCTGGGCCTCAATGATGGTCTGAGCGGTATCCTCACGAGGGGGGTCGAACATGGACAAGAGACCGAGAAGAATCCAGTCACCGTCGTTCTTCTGGTAAGCGACACCGAGAGATCGGAAACCACGGCGAGCGAACTCGGCGGCCTTCTCCTTGTAGAGGGTAGCGGTGACCTCGTCGCAGTTGGCAAGGTTGACAATGGCCTTGGGGGCACCCTTGGCGCAGACGTACTTGTCACCACCCATGTGGCAGACAGCGGTGATGCGCTTGGAGACGGGGTCGAAGGGAGTGAACTTCTCAGTCTTCCAGCCCATGTTGAGGATCTCACGAGCCTTGGGGTAGCGGCGGATGGTAAGAATGGTAACCTTGTCAATGGGGTCGAGCGACTTCAGGTTGTGGGAAGAGGCAAGAGCAGCGACAGCCATCATCCAGTTGACGTCCTGGCCCTCAGCGACGTAGGGCTCACGGAGAGAGAGCTGGTTGGCAGTGAGCGTACCAGTCTTGTCAGAGCAGAGAACATCGACACCAGCAAGCGACTCAATAGCAGTGAGCTTCTGGACGATAGCCTTCTGCTCAGCGAGGTAGGCAGCACCGACAGCGAGGGTGGTGGTGGTGACGACGGGAAGACCGACGGGGACACCGACGATGAACATGATGAGAGCGTAGTGGAGAAGAGTGACGGACTTGTCAGTTCCCTCGCGGGCAGTGGCAATAGGAATGTGACGGAAGAAACCACCAATCCAGGCGAGCAGGATGAAGAACATGACGAGGACGAGAAGCGCCGTTCCGATGGAGTTCATGATAGCCTTGAAGTGACCCTGGTCCTGAGCGCCCTGGACGAGGGTAGCAGTGCGACCGACGAAAGAGTGCTTAGCAGTGGTGATGACGATACCGTAGGCCTTGCCGCGCTTGCAACCAGTGGTGTAGTAGGCGACTTCTCCCATGTACTTGTCGACAGCGAGAGACTCTCCGGTGATGGACGATTGATCGCAAGCAACGAGAGGGTGGCCCTGAGTGATGGGGTTCTCCTCGTCGAACTTCTCCTCATCGACGTCGTCATCCTTCTCGTCCTCGGGGTCAGCGTCGTGGAACTTGTCCTCAGCCTTGAGCTTCATGTACAAGTCGAAGTCCTCAGGGTGGTCGTAGCCGCAGATAAGACGGGCGTCACCGGGGACGGATTGACCCTCCTCAATAACGACGATGTCACCGGGAACAAGCTCACGAGCGAGAATGGTCTGTTGCTGGTTGTCACGAACGACGGTGGCCTTCATGGCGATATCACCCTTGAGCGAAGCGACGACATCAGCAGCCTGCTTCTCCTGGTACCAACCGACGATGGCGTTGAGCAACAGGATACCGCAGATGACACCGAAATCGACCCAATCCTGAAGACCAGCGGCGAGAAGAGCAGCGAGCTCCATGACTATGATGCGTTAGTTTGGCGCTAAACAAGTTTGTGCAGGGATGCTTACCGTAGAGAATGGGACCAGTGAAGTAACCGATGAACTGCTTGAGAAGGTTGGTCTTCTCAGAAGAGATTTCGTTGAAACCATAGCGCTTGCGACGCTGCTCAACGTCGGACGAGGTGAGACCAGTTCGGAGCTCAGTGTTGAGGTCTGCAATTCCATGTTAGCAAAATTCCTCTTGATCGTGTTGCTCATTTCGGATGCTGCAGAAGCGAGTAGTTTGGTGGAGCCGGGTTGCATGATTGGCTCCACCATTTCTGCCGCTATCGCGTCGCTAGCAGGGAGCAGCTTGAGCGCGGACCATGCCAGCCACCAAATGTCGAGGTAAAGCTCAACAAAGGATGAATTGGCGAGGTAGGTTGAGCGCTGCCGCAAACAGCAGTGCTATGTGATGCAGGTGCATGCAATCGAGTGAGGAGCAGGATGGTGAAACTTACAGTCGTCGGGGACGGCACCGGCATCCTGGATGGGAGTGGCAGCGGTAGCTGAGCCAGACTTCCAGAACTGCCACCAGGCCTTCTTCTTGGTGGTTTGCTCGGCGTGAGGGTTGGTTCGGGTGTCGCGGTAGAAGAGGATGTACTTCTGGAGCGCGGTGTATTCGTCCATGCCCTCGAACTCGGTCATGGAGACGATGGACTTTTGCCGCTCAGCGGCGCTGGACGCGCGTGGGCGCTCAACATCGTCGTTGGGCGCCATCTTGTCGAATTAGGGAATGCTGTTTCTCGTATGTATTATTATATCCGGTAACTCTAGGCACAGAGAAGGCTTTTCCGAGGCGACTTGACGATGAGGTTGAGTGTCAGGTCGAATGTGCTGTGCAAATGGGTAACTGCAAGCAGGGCCTTCTCTGTGAAGAAAATGTAATGGGAGCGGGAGAGGCTCTGGTTAAGTAGCGCGGCAGGAACTCACCCACGTATCAACCCAGGGAAAAACTCAGCAAGGACCGACCTTTGGCCGCTATGAGGGATTTATGATTGTCATAAAGCTAACCATGGATGGGGATTAGCTCGAGCCGAGAGTCCCGGGGGTGAATTTGCAGAGATGCGGCCCGTGCGGGATACGCTACATCATCGGCGCGCGACTGCGAGCAGAGATTGGCCGTCGCATTCACCGGCCGAGGGTGATGCGCTGATGACGGAGGGCTGACTGCCGTTGACTACCATCCCGTGCATTGTGCAGGGCGATTGAGGGTGCCGGCTGCGCGCAGTTGCGAGGGCAGGCTCGGTGCCAGTGTGCCAGACGCTGTGATTGCCTTTCCCTCGGCGCATGTTCGCGACTCTTGCTCTACTCCACTCAGCAGCGGCAGCAGAGATTAAGCTGGAGATAGCGCGACAGTCCGCGACAAGCGTGCAGCGCTGCAGGGATCAGCTCCCATGACGTTTTGGCAAGAGCGTCCGGCAAACAGCTCCTCCACGCACCTTGCTCACTCTGGCGGCACCAAGCTTCTGCCCTCACACATAGGAAAGCTTGAATGCTTGGCGCCACCGCGAGCCACCCAGCCCGCATGCGAGGCATTTTTCGCCCCGTACGAGAGAGCCGCGTATCCAGCGCTGCTGCTCCCCACGCCTGCGCGACTTTTGCATTTGCACAATTTTCTTCTAGCGGCCTTCCAGACCCACGAACCAAGATATGCCACTTATCCCATCAGCCTCAACTGCATCCGTCGCGCCATAATATCCGACTCCCCCCATGCAATACGCGCGACCAGCATGCCCAGATGAAGCAATTGTTTTCTGCCCCCCGCGTATCGGCCGCCGACGCTTCTGCACAAAGCACCGCACTCCATGATTGAGCACGGCCCTCGCGGCTAAGGGGCGCGTCGGGGCCTGCCTCAAACCAGCCTTAGCAATTCATTACATGTCCCATATCGGCCGAATCAGAGGCCCTGCTCGCCCTGCGTCGCCTGGCCAACGCCTCCCAATTACCGTCCATGTTATGGTAATACAAACTGCGAGTCCACACGTCCAAACCGCGCCGTTGCGATGCCACAGTTTGACGGTTGCGCAGGGTCTGCTGGTTGGCTGGACCTGGCCAGCCTCCATGCTGCATCCATGGATTGGCTTTGCCATTGGTGAGGCGCATGCGCGATTATGCCCCATAGCCAGACCGTGGAAGGCCTTCCCAACGAGGAAGCCGCGACGGTGTGACACGTGACCTCATTCCCTGTGGGTGTGGCTCGCTGGCTCTCGCCTACCTTGGCTGGCTGCACGACTGCCGATGCTTCGCCGGTACACCAGTGAGCCTCACCGCATTTGCCTCCAGAACGAGTGCGGGAATAATCATCGCACCCACAAAATATCACACACCGTCGCTGCCGACACCAACCTCTCCATGTCTGCCCCGAGCAGCCCTGAGTCGCGAACCCCCACCGGTGTCGGTCCGCCACCGTCACGCGCTGTGCGGCGCCATGCTGTTTCCATGTCGCCCGACGTCTTACCTGTCGAGATATGGCACATTATTATCATGTATTTAGACGATCGTTGTTTCGCCTGGTTTGTGCTGCGCCAGACGTGTCCCTTTCTGGCTCATGTGACGGAAGATGTCTTCGCACGATACGTCTCGCGTACCTGCAGCCTACGCTTTGCGGGACAGACACTAAGGACCTTGCTGTAAGCCGCGTTTCACCTGCCACTGCTCGGGAAACTTTCACTCACGATGCCAGCCCTCCTGATCTCCGTGGTGATACTCAACCTCCAACCCCCCAATATCAGGCCGCGAATGTGCAGCTACCATCGTTTCGCTTCCAGCCCTCGTCTTTTGTTCCCGCAAACACTAAGGCCCGGCTTGTTCTGAAACTATCTTCACCGGCAACTGCTCGCGACACGCCATCCTTGCACCAGACATATGCAGGGACAGCCGACTTGACGAGCCGCCTCACTCAAGTCTTCTTCCAGCCAGGCGCTGTTGCAGACGCCGAACGCACCCGTTTGCTCAACCAAGCGCACTTTGTGCTTTTCAATGACCAATTGAAGAGCATACGCCTTCCGTCGGCTGCTGTCCATGTTGCTGCCCAGGAACTATCCCTAGATTGGCGCCAGCTCTGCCATACCTTCATGCGCGACGAATTCAAGTGTCGTTTTGGCTCCAGCGCATCGGTCGCTTGGTGGAGAAAGTTTCCTTGACCGGCTCTTGTGTCCCACATCAAAAGCCTACGTATCAGTGCCGCGAAACAACAACACATTCTGCCGCCTGGGCAAGCACACGAATAATCTAATTATCGTTGCACCTCAAAATGGTTTTTGATGGCCCGCCAAGCAGCAGATCAATTTTGCGCCAGACGGATCTGTGTAGATCGTCCTTGGCGTTGAGCACACCCAACTCCATCTGGCGATCAAATGTGTCCGCTGTGCGCGATTCCTCCTTCTCCGCCTGGGCACTTAGTTCTGCAGTCTGTGTCCGGATCATTATCGTTCACCAGCCGCATTTTACTTTAGGACAACTATGCCCAGCCTCTCCAAGCGTTGCACTTGAGTGCGGGATTTCTGACATGTCCTTGGCTGCCCTCGCGGGACTATCCGAGCCGTGGACTTTCAACCCTTGACTTTCATGAGACCATACGACCTTCCTGAGACAGCAGTCGTTGTGCATCATATTGCCGTACGACAGTTTCGTTTGGATATAGTTTCTAGATGACATCGCTTCAGGGCCACATCATCGTCGTCGTAGAACGAACATGGATTACCCACTGAATGATCCTCATCAGCAATGCAGTTACCCCAGAAATGAGACAGTCCACCTCCGTGGGGATGCCAAGCCAAGCATTCGGTAGTACACGCGTTGCTTCTCCTCGCTGAACAGTATGTCAGCAGATTACGTGTAGTTGTCCTCCGCTGCCAAGTGTCTCTGTGTCGACGACAGTCTCGGCGGAGACCGTGTACCACACAACATGTATTCTCCTGTCTGTGCATCATCTTGGCCACCTCGCCTTGTTACTTTTCTTAATTGCACTGCACCGTGTGTTACTTTGCGGTACTTGATCGCTCTTGCACATTTATTGGGGGCGACCTCCATCTGTAATTGGTCGATACTTGCTCACTATCGTCTATGATGAAAAGAAACGGTTCGATGCGCAAGACATTGGCACCTATGCCAAGCCAAGAAAGGAGTACGTTGGCAAACACTATGTTGTATTCATATGTCTCTCTATCAATAAGTCTGAGGGATGCTCATATACAGCTGATCAGCAAGTACTACGTCTCCTTTTCCGTTGTGTCTGCCAAGTGTGAGATTTGAATGTATATTGTTTCGCAGAATATCAATGAGATAAAGCTCTATATTTTAGAGTAAACTGATGTAACATTGCTCTTCTGTTGGCCTTTGATGGCCTATGGTTCAGTGCTGTGCGATGCCTTGCATCGCGTGACCCGCCCCACATTCGCCTCTCTGGAGTATGGACCCCGAAAGCTCCCAAAATGCGAAAGAACTAACTCAAATACTAGTTTTTGTGGAATGAACCGCTCAGAAATTAGTATCTCGTTTCTACCGGTCAAAGTGGAGAGCTGGTGTTAGTGTCGAGGTAGCATCGTTCGTCCACTTCGCTAATTTCACATTTTAGTACGCAACAGCAACTAGAACGAAAATTCGGCGCAGCACCATCCTACTTTAGAATACTATGAAATCTACATGTGTGCATGAATAAAGCCAGGAGATCAGTTTGCCCTCATTTTTGAAGCACGTTGTATTATAAGACAGGTCCAACTCACAGGCCTTAGTGTAGTCTGTCCCGCTTTCGCATCCACCATTCTATACAACGCCCGTCCTCAATGCCGCCATTGCACTCCCCATAGCAGTAACAATGTGATTCGCCACAGGTGCTACGGAATTATGCGGAAACAGGAAAACATACCTCACCATAACATCACGTCCATCTTCCAATGCATGAATCCCACGACTCACGCTCCTCCCCTTACCAACGACCTCGCATCCAAGCATAAGTCGCATATTGGAAAGCGCACTGTTACGCCAGCTCGAGTTGATAGTCGAGTAACTGAACGAAGTCGCAGGGTCTTCCGCCAAGTAGATGCCTTTTCCGTATACGGCGCCGGTGCGTTCCAAAGATGTGCCAGAGCAAACGACGAGGCCTTGGGTAAGGATTGCCGGGAGGCGGTCGAGTGATGTGCCATGAAAGAGTACTGTAGTTTCCGAAGAGGGTTTCGGTAGGCGGGACAGGTATGCTGTTTCGAGCTTTGGACTCGCATTCGCGAGCACAAATTGATGGGTACCTATTGGTAAGTTTTTAATCTTACACAACCCACTCGCTGTAGCTATATAGCCTCGAAACTGCGTACAGGCCCATGAAATGAGCTTTTCAGCGTCGGCATGGTACTTTTCAAGGACTCTGGAGATGTGGACTGCGTCACGGATCACAGAGAGCTTTGGGAGAGAGTTGAGGATTGCTTTGATGGAGCTGGCTGTACGTATAGGGCAGTCTGGGAGGAATTTTAGGGAGCCGGTACAAGCTGCGTTGTACACAGAGGATAAGAGCATGTCGACGGTGAAGATGTCCGTCCGAATTTCTGGTATGCGGATCTCTAGTGGGAGGGAATACCTATGATGCTCGTGATCAGCGAACGTACTATTTGCAGCTTCGTATGTAATGTCGTCGTACCATAGCTGCGCACATGCGACAAGACTGCAAGGCGTCGACCTTCGTAATTGCGCCTTCTTCGCTTTTTGGTCTGCTCCACAGCAGACACACACGCGGCCCATTTCTCTGATGGTACATGAAACGGTGGAATAAAACCCTGCTATCGTTACATCCCGGCTGATAATGTGCTTCAGAATGAGTCTGTTAAGCTGCCATATGAAGACACTTTGCGGTGAAAAGCATACATGCTCGTGTGGCACTATAGACGACTCATAGCAAATCCATGGGATATGTTGCATAGTCTCAAGATCAGCGTCGCTGTCGTAATGTGTACAGAATCTTGGCGGCGTGTTCCCATAACGGTTGAGATACAACCGTACGAGTAAGTTATTTGCTGCGCTTGGTACGCCCATGGCGCTTCGTTGTAGCTCAGTGTACGAAGCGAGCGAGAAGCCCATCTCGACCTCGTCATCGTCTATCAGCTCGACTAGATCAACAATACCAGCAGGCAGTTCCAGTATTTCCTCTTCAAGGAAGCTAGTGTCAGGCACGTCATACTCCTCAAGTAATAGGGCGGTACCCACAGGGTCTTTCATCTTGAGTGCTCGCTTCAGACCCTCGAGGCGATCGGCTTCTCGCATAATTTCTGCTTCAATGCCCTCCCAGAATGCTGTTGCTTTGAGAAGCTCCGTTTCAGGTATTGCATTACTGTATACCTCCAAATTGAGCAACCGAGCGAAGCAGTCAATGATAGTCTTCATCTCCGGTTTCACGCCGTCGTCTTGGATCCAGCCAGCGACCATGACCTCAGCCACTGCTAATGGAATGTCGTATCTTCTTCTAGGAAAGACGTGCTGTGAATGTGGTTCGATGTCCTTGGGGGTCGACGAATCGCCTTCTAGAGTGGTTTTGTATAGTTTGCATGTGCCCTCGTAGAAGACATAGTCTCTCCCAACAATCCTATTGAGACCGGCTTGTTCGTGGGTAGGAAGGCCGGGTATATCTAAGAAGCCAAATTTCGCATCGAAAATTTCTTGACAAGCTAGTATGGTGTCGTCAGCCGCGCCAAGTAGTTTGTGCAAGCATTCTTTGACTTCGTGCACGTCCGACCTCTTGCCGGATAACCATATAACGATCCTCTGCATGATCGCCTCGGATAGACTACCTTCAGCTCTTTGGAGACATGAGAGTATAGCGAGATTCTCTGTTCTCTGTGATTCTTTGCTTGAGGAAAGAATTGAGCGTACTGCGATGGAATCACCACCCAAGTCTTCAAGAATCATCAGAGTACGACTAAACTTGTTCACCTTCGATACCCAGGAAAGAAGCTGAGGGTCCAATAAAGATGGTAATGTATGCTCTTCGGTGTCGTAGAAGACTAGATCCTTGAAGAGTGTCTCGAGCGATTGCATGAACGAGAGCCAAGTTTTAGTGTCCATCGTTTGGGCCAAGTAATCAACGAGGGCAGTTCCGTTCCTTGCTTCGAGCTTATCGTCTTGATCCAGCCATCTGTACAAGAGAGATCTCCAACACTGCGTGCATCCTTTTCGGATGGCCAGAATGTTCGTCAAGGCAATGATGGCTTGCCGCGAATCATTCTCCGCCACTTTAACGATACGTAACATGTCCCCAACAAACGTAGATTGTTGACCTAGACCGAGATCTACGGCAAGCTCAAAAATGCACTCGCAGCGATGTACTACAGAGTGACTTATATCTCTCGAAACAAGGATTGCGAGCATGCGCCGGTCACTGTCATTCACTCCTTCCACAGTGTTCTCCCAGACCTCCAAAATATCGCGCAACGCTCCGTCAACAATATTGCAAGTCGCGTCCATATTCAGTAGGTGGTCGAGACAGTGTTTCTCGATGATTACTTCTATCGAGTGTCGCGCCTTGATGTCTTCTGAATAGGATCTTGATAAGATGGACCCAGTGGTGATGTCAGGGTCAATCCAAACGAATGCATTCCTTGTCTGCACTTCATCTAAACACAAATTCTGAGCTGCGATATAGATCTCCTTGATCGAAGTCATTCGTTTGTCACTTGGCCAATCTCGCATCTTGGTCTGGAACTCAAGCCTCAGCTGTGGAAATACGTGTGTGGATGCTTTAACGGCAGTACAAAATCCATGTAGCTCGAGTAGTAGACGTAGCCAAGCAGGGGTGGTGACCTGCTCTCGTATGACAAGTTGGCATTCGCGGAAGCATTCCTCAAAGCCGTGAAGGAACCAATCGTGGAGGAAAAGTTCGCGGAGAGTTGTCGCTTTAGGTTCCTCGAGAATAACAAGAAGCCGTTGAAGGGGGCTGATATGCATTCCACAAATGTGCTCCTTCTCAGACCATATTCTACGAACAGCGGCAAAGTAATCGTCTTTGGATTTATGGCCAATTTCCAGGGACGCATCCAAAAGATCTAGCTCGCTCTTGGTGATCGCTCGTCCTGTCGTCAAAGATCGGAAGAGGTTGAATAGGCTTTCACCATAGGATATTGACGTAGAAACTGAATCCAAGCCTCGCAAGAGTCTTCCTAACACGGCGGCCAAGCATACTCTTGTAAGCTCAGGAACTTCGATTACCAGACCACGATAGTGTATCCATCTGCGTTGCTCGCTATAGTCCGCTACCAACCCATGGCGTAATGTCCTTTCGGCGCCAGTAACCAGATCAGGCCCTTCCAAGGCCAACAGATCGAGGACAGTCGACGTCCATCTGCTGTTTAACTTGGAATATCGTGTGAGGCGATCGACGTCTGGTCTCCATGAAGCCCACATCCTCCAGGCCGGAAATTGCTCATCGAAGATAATTTCTATGCTGAGCGTGCCTGATGAATCAAGAGGCAACGATACGTCCAGTGTTTTCATCCAGTCTACTGCTTGCTTAGCTGCGACCCAGTCACATGTTAATCGGTGACCTTCCAGTTGGGCTGCATAATCCTTTATGGCTCTGCGTAGAATCGCCGCGAAGTTACCAAGGACACCTTGCATGTTCCGTGTTTCGAACTCCTTCAGGGCGCGCGTCACGCCCTTCAGGTAGCGGCCGGCTGCGCTGGCGCCGAAAGTGGAATAAGGCAGAAGCATACGTGCCCATTGTGCTTCTAAACGTGTTGTTGAGGCAGGGTTGCCTTCATTCGCGGCTATCAAGCTCTGTAGCCATGTGTCGAGACCCCAGTAACTTCCATATACGATATTCGTTTCAGCAAGTAGCAACAGGCTGAGGCTTTGCGTTGTCATAGCATGTGCTACAGCAGCTACTGCGATATCTCTTGTCCGATGTGTTTGAACCAGTTTTGTCAGTCTTATATCTGTATCTTCCTGACTAAGTTTGCCCTTCTTCTTGAGATAGGTATCGGTGTGGTTACGGACGAAGCCCCATGGGAACCGAGGATCTGAGGGGTGCAGTTGCCCAGCAGTGGCCTCCACCTCTTCATGCCATAATTGACTGTCTTCGACCTTCTTGAAGAATGTGGGATTCTTCAAGGGGAGTGTTCTCTTGGCCCAGGACATACGTGAGCGTTTGTCGGTGGTTCGTCCGGCTACAGGAGGGATGATAATAGCGGCGTCCATGCTTGTCATGTGTCTTTGTAATATTTACTTTTTGCCAAAGAATATGTGATAAAGTGGGACTAGAAGACAGGGCTGCTTGTAGTTTTGTCGCGAACGGTTCGTGCCAAAGTATCTATGGATCTGGTACTTGGGAAAGAGATATGAGAACATCCGAGCAAATTGTGACTATCCAGGGCGATGCGCCTAAGAGTACGACCCACCCGTGCTTGTTTGGTATGATTGGGAGACCAGCAAGGTCTGGAGTAACAAAAGATTTGGTAGTGTTCGAGGAGGTACAGCCAACCGGCTGAGGTAAGTGAACCTGATGAGCAAGTACGAACATCAGATATTGGAGACCCATTCTTGGGCGTGACTTCGAAAGCATAAGTCCAATCGAGTACCTAGGTATGCTGTCCATGTGTTGAGTGGGCTGTTACTGCAGGAAACCAAGACTTCGTGGCTGCGCACAAGGCTGAATAGGGTGGCTTGTACCGAATGTAAGTTGACCGGCTCCCAAAACAGCTAGGGCCATGGCGATTGGTTAGGCTGACCACGGTACTAGACAACGGTTAGCGAATATACGAACATAGGAATCCAATGTAGAGGACCACTGGCGGAAAACACTTGGCAGATGAGCCTAGCAAGTGGGGTGTGGGGATGCCTTGTGGGCTGTATGATCTAAAGGTCCTTGGGTGCCGCGCCGGAAACCGGCATCATCCAATCGCAAAATATCTCCATACTTAAGGCCGTAACCTAGAATACCATTGAAATGATTGTCTGTGTGATGTGCTTGACCATAGCCCATATCTTTACAGCCGCCTACAGCCGTTAGGCATAACGTATCACCCAAGAAGGCACTAAACCACTATCGCGAAATACACAGGGTTAATATCTGAGCCGAAGAAGCTACTATAAGCTCTTACATGGCTGAACAATTCCCTTGCTCTGTGTCTGGGGCGACACCACAGTTCCTTCGCAAGTGTGCAGCGGCTTGCTTGATGAAATCGCCCGTCTTGTGAAAACATACGAGATTGCCTTTTGCGTCCCGTACTGCCTCACCGATGGTGAAGTCATAATACTGTCCGGTGTGAGAGTCTTTGGCAGGGCATTTAAGGCTTTCTATCGCTTTCTGCTCAAGGTCTGGCACTGCTACGACGTTAGCTGATAGAGCGCCATCGTCTTAAGCGATGACTTACGGGTTGCAATATAAAGAAGAAACTCGTCTACTGCTTTTCGACTGGGGAGGTTATCGCTACTTTGATCTTCCAGCAAAACCGCTGATAGCTTCTCCATCCGGACGATCGTATCAGTCCGCACACCCTTGGACATTTTGTGCTGCTCAACGCGGAGAGCCGCTAAAGAGCGGCCTGTTGGATGTAGGAGAATTCCCTTGACATCTTTCGGTGTGAACATCTCTTTGCTGAGAGGGTTCCGAAATATACCACTGTTTGCCTGTATAGCCTGAACGAGTTCTTGAAGAGGGTTTATGAAGTCAGCAAACGTAGCACGTATAGTTCGCACATGTAGAATTACGCACCATCCATCGACCACGCGTAGTTGTCTTCAGTTACGTAGAAGTCCTCCCTTGCGATATCCTTGACCTCGTCTCCGAGCATAGTCTCGTCATTGACATAATTTCTTTCGAGATGTTCATGCTCAACGTGCATGAAGCCTAGCTCGCAATGGATCTTTAGCTCATCAGGAAGCGCCGATTCGATTGCTCTCCGGCGTGTGACAAGAGCATCGCGGATGGAATCGATACTTGCGCCTGAAGGCGTGCCATTTGGCGCGCGAACCCACTTGAGCATGTCTTCCAGATCTGTTATGACAAGGTTGGTGGCCTCTTTGGAATTGTTCCGAACATTGCGCGCTACAGAACGAGCACTTGCAGGCGGTCGCATCCCAATGTAGGTGGCGTTATCGTCACCATCTACCATAGCATGGACTTTGCCGAGGTTTTTGGATTGGGGCAAGCCGGATTTCCTCTGGAGGGCCTGTAGACGTAGCAGGTTAGCGAATACGTGAGTTGCCTTTGCACGTATATTTTGGTATCCAATGACCAGGTCTCGCTGCGAATCGTCCAAATCGCCGACCGGCTTTCCCAAGATCAAGTCCGAGTGGTTTGATTCACGTTTACGTATCGGTTTAGCCTTATGTCGGACATTGTTGATAACCTCGCCCCGTGATTGCGTCAAAGACGCGGGCTTGGCTTCGGCTGCCTTCTTTTCGGGCGCTGGAGGTTCTGGCTTCTTCTCGAGAATCTTCAAGAACTCGGCAACATCAGAGTCTGTTGGATCCAAACTCTGAAGTTTCTTTGCCTCGTCTAATGCTCCTTCTAACCATTCGTTGCCGACTGACATGTAATGTTCAATAAGCAGCTTTCTAGCACCTATGCCTGGTGGATGTCGGGATATATTCTCGTAAAGTTCTCCGATGTAAGCCATGTCTGGACCTCCGATTCCAGAAACGCTTGTTGTTGCGGCCATGACTGCTGGGGTGTCCGTTATGCGGATGTATCGTAGTACCAGAAGAAAGACTATGAGCTCGGTGTGAGTGCCTTTGAAAACCTGCGCTCTGCTGGTCAGTGGATTATGTTAGTCGCATAAAGGCATCAAAGTCTGAGAGCCATAAGGCTGAACCAGCGGGTCGCGGCCCCATATAGCTGGCCCGCTACATATGGTGACCGGTGACTATCAACCGCAGCACTGGAAAAGGCGGCGCAGGCCCGGAGTACACCAGTGGCTTAGCGCAACGCTAGTGTTCCCTATACCAACCATGGAGACAACCGCCTCTGCCAATGGTGGTGAAGCAGATAACGTGCGTGAGAAGATTACCCATGTAAATGTCATAATGCCTATCGGCTTTCCAAAGTACGTTTTCACATCAGCCTCGCCGTTCTATGTCGCAAGCCTGCCTTTAGATCTAGGGTATCAAGCTCTCTCTAGTGAATCAACCCCAATCAGAATAACAAATCCGGATATTCTCCCAAAACCCCATCCTTTCCGCCATCAAAGAAGTCGTGCATGCCGTCCATTGCTGCAAAGTTCTCAGCCACCTTCAAGCCCCTTAGTCGCTCTGCCTCGATAACGTCCCAGTTCCAATCCTTCGCCTCGACAGCCTTAGGCAGAACATCGCCATTCGCTTCATATTCTTCAGGTACTTGTCCCTGATAGACCCAGCCTTCTGGCTTCATTGGGACCATATCGGCATCGATCAGCGCCTGCTCAGGTGGGACTGTAATTCTGCCTCTCTTGATAACATACTTTGCAATCGCAGTTGCATATACAGCGCCCTTCAGCTTTTCGAGATCCACGTCCTTGTTGCTCTTAGACTTCTTCCAAGGTTGCAGTGTCCAGCTCTCTGGTTGTCCTACACCGGGCTTAACTAGATGTGTGACTAGATAGAACCACTTCCTGTCCCAGCAGAGGAGTCTTGTCCACATCTCGTACTTCTTGTACGGCAGTATCTCTTTCTTGAACAGACAGCTTATGCCACCTAGCGCGATCATGTGCTTACCCCGTGTGCCTTCAGTTGCACCTACTGCTCCTGCTACTGCATTCTTCTTGGCGCCATAGAGACGACTGTTCTTCCTGATACCGTTACGGATAAGTGCAGTGAAGAGATGTGTACGTGATATGTCCATGTCGCTGAAGTAAGTGCTGTTGGACTTGTGCATGTTGTAGTCTGTTTCGAGGAGCGTAGTGCGGGTCGAGGTTATGATCGGTTGGAAGAGCGCATGCGGAGGGATCGGGGTCGGTTGGAGATAGAGCTGATAGAAGAAGGCACGAATGAAGCGTAGCTATGTCAGTCAGCTTGATGTTGCGGTTCCAAGTATTTCGCTCAGTACGTACATGCCATACGAACGGCAAATTCTTGAGGTTGGCTAATGCGAGAAGAATCGCTGCTATCCTCCACACACCTCCGGGCGCGTTGTATCCTGTCCATTTGGCGAGCATAGCCATCAGGTTGCCTCTCAGCGCAGGTTGCGACACGAGTGCTGCTATCGACGCGCCCGCAACGACGATGCTAGCCGTCTGCGCCATTGTGACCATGCCAGAAGGCAGCTGTTGATGTAATGAACGACAGGAAGGAGCGGACACGTTCTTGTACACCAATCGTCAGCATATGACACCTCATCCCTTGCGAAGGTTCAGGTGCATTGCCTAATCGCGAGCCGAGGCACGGAATGTTCCGCGCTAGAAGCATGTGGACGAATGCGCAGATCGGCTTTATCGATTCGCAACTTACTTGCCTTCTAAGTGATCTCAGCACATAGTCGTTCAGTTCAGCGACTTGGAGTTTAGCTTGTCAGCAGCACGTGTCTGAATCGCGCAGCTCATCTGACAGACCATCGACTTAGCCTACGACCTCTTCTGGGACAGTGAATCCAATACATGCATACTTTCAGGTATCAATACGACTGGGATTTTCAGCTCACCACTGGTCGTCGGTTGTGGTATTCTTGTACGTTGATCTTGACCAATCGAACCAGAATACCTAGATACGACGCGTATGGCTGCAGCTCAGCCTCGTTGCAGCCGCGGTCAACACCCTTGCCTTTAGGCTGACAACCTAGTCTCTCTGATCTTCACTCTCCAGAGATTCCTTCGAGGTACGGTGAGGTTTTGAAATACCAGCTAAAACTAACACCGTTACGCCAGCTTCACTTCCATTCATTACGCCATTATTCTCGGTCACAAGTGATACCTTTCGCTCGAAGACGTTTCCAGCCTTCAAAGTGTAGACGAGTTGCAAGTAAATACGGAAGAAAGCACGCTACTCGGAAGAAAGGTCATGGATCGTATGTAGAAAGGGCTGATCGACCGGTACTTCAAGTATTCTCCAAGATGGTAAATAGTAATTATTTGTTTGTGTCTCTGTATATGATTCCTAGTTCGTATGCAATATAGCATATGGCTTATCACTGAATAGCAAATGGGTATATAGATGTGGCCAATTTGACCAATGCCTGCAAGCATGTACATAACGCCGTCATACCAACATGCCGCTTGTCATCACTTCAACTCGCAAAAGTGTATCACTGACTGCTTCTATCCTTCCACCGCCGCCCAAATCTGTGTATAGCCTTCACTGGGCTATGCCTGTCCACTGCGCCGATTGTGGTGTGCGCAAGGATTGAGGTCGCATCTGGTGAGCTCGTGTACCACATGGGTAGGCATGTCTATAGCCGACCTGATGGGTGCCGTCCCGTTCCCGGTTGCTGATGAGTCGTTCAACACGTGTCGAGTGTTAAGGTTCCTTTGTCGTTCAGCCTGGTGGCGTGGCTCGACGGGTAGATTCACTCGTTCGAATAGGTGTGGATACACTATCTCGCTGCATATCCCTCATCGCTTCAGCATAGTCGTTCTCAGCAACCAAATCTCTTCTGTTGTGGTTGACCATGTCGTCAATAAATTGGTGTTGTTTCTTCTGCACGGGTTGTGCATCCGCCCTCATTGGACCGTCACCTAACGCACTGGGTACGATATCTTCCGGATCCAATCCAGCATTAGAGTCCCGGTAATCCGGTTGATTGGGAAACATGACTGAGTCTTTGTGAGGCCTGCGCGCCCGCTTTGGCTTGTATGGGAAGTTGCTGGGATGTATGTAGTCGCCATCTGGGCTGCGCACATTCTGAAGCGCATTGGCTTCCCTCTCCATCTCTTCCCACGTGGCGACAAGGTTGTTGTCAGGACGACTCCGACTATCGCTCATGTCACCCGAAAAGCTGCCCAATCGACTGATCCTGAAGGCTCGCAGGCGGTCGAGCGCCACCTTGAAATCGTCGAGAACAACAGAGTCCGTCAGGCACTTGAAGACAAATGCAAACTTCCAGAAGGGATTGATGCCTGTAGGACCTGGAAGACCAATAGCCCTAGTAACGGTAAGAATGTCTAGGATGATGAAGATTATGCTGAGCAACATGGACAACAACATGATGCCGAAACGTGGCGAGATGCGTATGATTTCTTTGAGGCTCAGTTCGTACTGGGTCTTGATGACCCAGAAGAGATAGATGGTGGTGAAAATCCACCAAGGATCGCGACATAGCGCCTCGTACGGTCGTGTAGACAGAAATATCTTGTTAACGCCATGGAAGTAGGCGAAGTTGGCGTATATCTCCAGGATCCAGTATGACTGAGCGAGGATTACAGTGCCGATGAAGATGTAGCTGACAGGCTTGGAGAGAAATGGTTTAATCTTCATCCAGGCAATGACATTATGCAGAGACCATGAAGCGTTTAGGAAGATGGCGGCAACGGAGAGCCACCACGCGTGGACTGGACTGGGGAAGAAGAGCCAAAATCCTTGCCATATGCCGAGGATGAGCTAGAATTGATCAGTACGGACGTAAGCAGACGTATTAATGTGGACTCACTTCGAGTAGAATCAACTAGATGGTTGTCAGCGGTGGTCATTGCTCAAAGGGCTTCTCTACTAACCTTGTGCAACAGCACGCCTCGCCTCATGTTGGCCAGCGTGATGAAGGCCATGATGATGAGGGACCCAACCAGATAGCCCTGCGCCCATGCTTCCAGTATGAGTTCCTCTGGGTCACTGGGCTTGGGCACCACTTCATGCTCCTTCCATTGCATATCCGGTATGGGACTCATGGTGTTCGCAGAATTTTCGATGTCGGTTCCGGAAGCCGGGGCAGATGCCGAGGAAGCGTGCTGTGATGTCACAACGCGAAAAGCTTCAAAGTCAATCTCAGCACTTTTACCATGGCAGGCGTGGGTGTGAGCGACAAGGACGGGTTTATGAGGAAAGATGGGGAATGAGCACAAGAACAAACGGGCGCAGCTGGGCGTTTCTCGTGGCGCGCCAGTTCTCCGCATCTCGCCATGACCTTTACGGGCGACGGTCATCCTGGAGGCTCCGGGGGCCCGAGTGCGTGCATGTTGGTGCTTTGCCTAAGCAAGGCGTAGTGCGACTGAATCATGGCCGTGGCGCTCAGTCGGCCACTGGCACCACGCGGCCAAGAAGTGTTTGTCGAAGCTGTAAATACGCCAGCCGTTGTCGACATAGCATCGAGGCCCTGAGCCATTGGCTGGCCCGGCAAGTCTTTCGCTGACGCCCCCGCCACCACGAACCACTGCAGTGTTTGCAGTCCGACTTCCGCAATGGAATGGGGACTGGATGCGCAAGCTCGTGCGAAAAAAACTCCCCCAGCTGTTGTGAAAGCGGTAAATGGCAGCACAGAGGTGCGTACCATGTAACAAACACACGCGTTGTGGTGCCTGGCCGGCTAAAAATTGAAGCTCAGCACGCCTTGACCGGAACTGGCTTACCTTAACGCCGAGTGCTGGCAGGTGCATGCTGCATGGATGTTGCGGCGGGTGAGCGACATGGGGCTCAACCGACGCTGCGGCCTGGGCCAGTGTCCTGGAATCTGGGGACGAAGTCTATCTACATTGTTCATCTCCTTGCATCTAGTCGTTTCGTGTGCGAGGCTGATTTCGCTTGAAGGATAGTCCATCACTAAGCGTCCTTCTTTGTGTGGAGGACAATGGTGGTAGTACGTCAAAGAACATGTCTCAAACGAGCAACGAATGGCGTCTCTGTAACGTGACTGCACAACAGCTGCAACAGGTAAACCCTTCTGCTCAGCTTGCGACGACAGATGGCTATGGAGTACATGAGGTGAGATGGTTTTATCCGGAGGCTGTGCCCGACGCAAATAGGCCAATGGTCTATAATGGTCGAGGCATGTGTACATGGTGGTGTTGGTGTCGCTGCCGAGGGACGTCTTGGGCCCTGAAGCGACTAAGGAGCGTTATGATTTCAGGATCGACAGGTGAGGCCAGCACGCGCCTGCAGGTGTGGTTAATCTCCCGACGTCAACAAAAGCCCAACCAAGGAAAAAGTAGCTTCGGCACCCAAATCCGATACTCGCAAATGCGATAGTTTCGCTGGTGACAAAAGTCTAATGCGACGACCGGGTCTCTGGGTCATCCGTGGACCTCGTACTGCATAATTGTCCAGCACAAAGCTTCTGTGCATGGACGAGTGCGATGATTGCGACGGCCAAGGTGGCGTTGGCGACGATGTCAGGCGCAAAGGTTCGGCAGATGAGTAGTGAGTAGTGAGTAGTCAGCATGAGGGGGGAGCTTCGATGAGTTTCGACTCATGCTGCATGCAGCCTTCAGTCACGGTGAGTGAGGCACATGGCGACGCCTTGGGGAGAACGCGCTAGCTGCCCCGCTGAAGTCATGGACAGTCGCCGCGTCCAACATTATTTGTGGCCGACGCGCGCAGAGTCCCGCCCTAGCTCACGACATCCAGCGACTGCAGCAGAAGCATCGTAATTCAACATGTTCAAGAAGAAACCAACTGTAGGAATAATTCCGCACGTACTCGCGCTCAGACTAACCCTCGCCAGATCAAGCCCCTCTCCCCGCTCAAGTCTAGCGACCGCCGCAGGACCGCCGACCAGATCATCGCCGACTTTGGCATAGAGATTCCCGTAGAAACCGACGCGAGTCCTGAAGACAAGACAGCCTCCACCGCCGGCCTGACTGCACTGCGCAAAGCAATACTCCCAGAGAATGCCCTGTCGGCGCGCTTCACCACCACCGCAGGGCCCGACCTCAAGCAAGTGTCAGGAACAATATACGTAGGCAGCCATGAGGGCACAGGCGGACATCAGAGAGTCCTGTGGGTCAAGGTTGGCGACAGGATGTACCCTACCGTCTACACCCTCTGGCACAACCCCCGCATAGTCCCGCTGCTATACACGCCACTCGTCGTCGTCGAGAAGATGCAAGGAGGCGCCGACTTGATGACGCCTGGTCTTCAACGAGGCCCGCCTTTCCCCAAGAGAGCGACCAAGGGCACAATCGTCGCCGTTGCAAGTCTCGAGGCTCCGACTGTCCCCATGGCCGTTGGCGAATGCACCATCGACGTGAGCGCGCTGGGCAAAACCCAAGGCACCAAGGGCATTGCTGTCTCTACCTTCCACTGGGCAGGCGACGAGCTGTGGTCTTGGAGCTCAACAGGCAAGGCGGGCAGTGAGCCTCCTGGTATCCTCGAGGGCTGGGACGACGACAATGGCGACGAGGCGAGTCTCGCTGAACGCACCGCAGCCGTAGACTTGGATGACGAGGACGGCGGTGTTACTCTCGATGCCACTCCCACCCAACGGTCAGAGGCGGAGAAATCACAGGGTGTGCAAGGCGAAGATGCGCCATCTAACAATGACTTCATCGACGTTCTTGAAGATAAAGAGCTGACAACCAAGGGTATGCCTTTTCCTCTTCACTACATCAATCATCTGCTGACAAGCTTCAGAAATCGATGAAGCTTTCAAGAACGCATTCTTGTACGGCGTCCGCTACCACATGGATCACAATAAGGGCCATCCTTCCTACGGCCTCGACTTCCCGCTCTCGCAATCAAACGTCAATAACATGCTCGTCCAACCATTCCTCCCCACCTACACCCCCGC